TTGTCAAATGGAAAAATGCATCGGGTCAGAGAGAAAACAAAAATATGATTTGCTATATACACGAAGAGAGTGTTGGAGATAAACTGATGTTAAAGATGACCATATGTTTGCGCTAGAGACCTCCAAATCCTATTATATGCCCAAGTTTGGATTAAGTAAAAACCCATGTGCAGCAAAAAAGGAAAAAAAGAAATCAAACAAATGGTAAGATGTAGGAGTAATCATGTGTATTGTTTGGGTAGATGATTCTCTTCCAAGCCCTGTTGTTTTGCCTGTCTCATAGCTACTAATCTAATTTTCATGCCTTCTGTCTCCTCCATCACTGTGTTTTCAAGCCCGGATGTCTTAGTGTTTCCCCTTTTCACCCACAAGTAGATATATAGCTGACATATTTTGTAAGTGGCTTGACCTAGTTCTAACAGATTACTATTAAGTGTTAATGATAATAATTAATTGCATATAACAGTCACCAACGATGGGATATTATTGAGTCATCTGATTTAGCACGATTGCAGCTTTTTGACTCTGGATTTTCAATGTCTTCATTTGCAAAACTGCATTTTTAAAACTCAGAATGGAGTCCTAGTTAAGCTGTATCATTACCATAAGATGCTTTCTGAGCCACTGCGTTTTTCAACCTCAAAACAGAAATGAAGTTACTCTCCTTTCACAATCTATAAACCATTTTGAGAGCAATTTTCCTTATTTAATAGGGGTTGCCGTTATGCTTGTGATTCTTTAATTTAAAGTCAAACACATTAGGCTCCCAAATATTAAAAATAATGGCAATTGAGAGAAGGGAAATTGGAAGGCTAGTACAGTGGTACCTCAGGTTACATACGTTTCAGGTTACATACGCTTCAGGTTACACACTCCGATAACCCAGAAATAGTGCTTCAGGTTAAGAACTTTGCTTCAGGATGAGAACAGAAATTGTGCTCTGGCGGCACGGCAGCAGCAGGAGGCCCCATTAGCTAAAGTGGTGCTTCAGGTGAAGAACAGTTTCAGGTTACCATAAGATGCTTTCTGGGAGACTTCCGGGGAGGCGCCTCCGGCAATGGCTGGATTCCTCTGATCGGGAGGAATCGGCTCCGTGGAAATCTGGGTCTGGCCGCCACGGCGAAGGCGGAGACCCGTTAAAAATCACAGGTGGGAGAAGCCTGTGAGCATGGGATTCGGCGGGTACCCTTTGCGCCTCCCCCACTCGCGGGGAAACCCAGTTTCGGGGATCCAGAGCGACGTGGGGTGAGCGGCGCGGTGCTTCAAATAATCTGCTTCTTCCACGGAGCGAAGCCGCATAGCTGTTGTCGGAGAGCGCTGACTTTTTCCTGTGGACAATTTGACTCTAAAGTAACTACCCGTGAGTAGAGCTTAATTGGGAAAATTGGATTTTTTAAAAAAAAGTCTAATTTGGCATCAAAACGGGGAAGGTTCAATACAGGAAGTCCGCCTTCCCCTTTTGTAAATAGACTGAAGCAATTGAGGCTGCAAGCTGAAGTCTTGGAAAGCCTTTTGTAAAAGACTAAATTTCCATAAGTAAAGAATATAATCCCCCCCCCCCTTGGAGGCAGGAGAAGAGGGGGGAGGGAAGTTGTCAACTGAGTTTGCCTGCGGAAGAGACTAAGAGAGGTAAAACACCGCCGCTCGGACCCTGGGAACGGGCTGCTAGAAGGTCCGACGTTTTGGTGAGACGTTTATTGACAGTGCTTGGATCGTGTTGACAGCTAGCATAAGAGAAGATACATTGTTTCTACTGTTTCCAGCAGTGAAAGTAACTGAAAATTGAAATTAGTTTTGGGTCGTTTGAACTGTGCTTTAAGAGGATATTACTTATCAATACAAATAGAAACTGTTTCCCTCTAGTGGAAGTTCTTGAAACTGGCGGCTACATAAGATCTGGGCTGGGAAATTTCCAGTTGTAAGATAAAAACCGTGAGACTGTGAGTTGACCTTGAATCTATTGAGTGTTATGGCAGATGTGAAAGACGGAATGTCGCCAGAAGAGGCCTTAGTGATTGTACTAGTGAAAATAAATGATTCGCTGGAACAGCTTCACAAGAAAATGGATGTGATAAATATGAAAGTGGATGCTGCAAATATTAAAAATGATTTAATGGTAGAAAGTCTAAATAACCTGGGACAAAAGGTGAATATCAATACAGAAACCACCCAGAAATTGATACAGGAATCTATCCTGATACGGCAAACTGCGAATGAAGTTAAGGAGAAAACCCTCGCTGCTGAAGTTAAAGTAATTCAACTGGAGAGAGAGTCCCATCCATACAAGGACGATTTGATGAATACGAGCTGACACTTGATATGACTGAACTTAAAGAGAAACAGATGAAATTGAGGATCAGAGCCCTACCCGAGGAAAAGGAAACCTGGATAGAGTTTCAGGAGGAGATAGGACTAACATTGGTTGAGAAAGAGAGGTATTGGGGGGTTAGTATGACCGCCAAAAATGCGAATTTATTCAAGGGCAACTGTGAAGGACGTTGGCTTGAAGAGAAGGGGGATTTGGAAATAGGGTTAAATTGGAAGTTGCTATTGTTGGGCCGAGTTGCTGTGGTGGGGACGAGGGTTGCGGTGAGGTCGGGGATGTTGCTATTGTTTCAAACATTGCAAGTTTTGGATGGGAGGGATTGTTTCAGGAGGTGGCAGAGGGATGTCTCTAGATCTGTATGGCAGGGCAGGAAGCCTCGAGTAAAATTTAAGATATTAACGGATGCTAAAGAAGGAGGTGGACTTGCCCTGCCAGACCCCTAAATTTTGTTGTGAATCATCTGCTTTTTGCTGGCTGAGAGAATCGGCAGAATCCGAGACCAGGGAGAAGAGCTGGTGGAAGAAGACTGGAAGTTTAAAGACTATTTATAGAAATATTGCAAAATTAATGAAAGTTAGAACAAAGTGGGAATGAAGTTATATGGCTTTAGCAGAAATGTTATAAGGAATTAAGTATAAATAGATTAATTGAGCATTAAAGGGAATAAAATAAGGTTAGAATGTGTTAAGATAATTATAGGATAGAAAACAGAGGAAGATGGAAAGGAATTGCTGAAATAATTAATTGATGTGGAATACAAAAAGGGAGGTGTGAGGAAGTCGTGGAAATAAGCGAATGAAAGATATGACATTGAAATTGTTTAAAATGCTCTTTGTTTTGTTTTATTTGTCTTGCATTATATTGTGTTGTTTTTTGTTTGTTGTTTCTTTTTGCTTCTTTGCTTTGTTTAACTCTTTTTCTTTTTTTTGTAACTTTTAAACTCTTAATAAATATTATTAAAAAAAAATAAAAATAAGATGCTTTCTGAGCCACTGCGTTTTTCAACCTCAAAACAGAAATGAAGTTACTCTCCTTTCACAATCTATAAACCATTTTGAAAGCAATTTTCCTTATTTAATAGGGGTTGCCGTTATGCTTGTGATTCTTTAATTTAAAGTCAAACACATTAGGCTCCCAAATATTAAAAATGATGGCAATTGAGAGAAGGGAAATTGGAAGGCTAGTACAGTGGTACCTCAGGTTACATATGCTTCAGGTTACATACGCTTCAGGTTACATATGCTTCAGGTTACACACTCCGATAACCCAGAAATAGTGCTTCAGGTTAAGAACTTTGCTTCAGGATGAGAACAGAAATTGTGCTCTGACGGCGCGGCAGCAGCAGGAGGCCCCATTAGCTAAAGTGGTGTTTCAGGTTAAGAACAGTTTCAGGTTAAGAACGGACCTCTGGAACGAATAAAGTACTTAACCCAAGGTACCACTATACAGGCATTCCCAATGTGGAACATCTGTAAGGGATGGAGAAATATGGTACATGACTGTTCACTTCTAGCAAATGCAAGCTGGTATATAGGACTCCTGGCACATCTAAAAGTAGTGCAGAAGAAGGAATTCAAGGCAAACTACTCCTGCTGAAATTTCCTCTTCTACACAGCCAATATTCACCAATCTGATGCTATCCAGATGTTGGACCACAACTCCCATCTTCCCTGACCGTTGGCTAAGCATGCTAGAGCTAATGGAAATTGGGGTCCAAAACACTGTTTGTGTGCACGCCAAAATGGGGGAGACTGTACCCAACTATTAAAAGGTGTGCGAGCCCTGTCCCCATTTTTACTAGGTCCCCATAGCTTATATTCGTCAGGGAATGAATCGGAAGCCTCCACTCTTAAGACTGACTCTCTTGAATCTGAGGTCCAAGTCAACCTCCAAACAGGATCTGAAACAGAAAAGGATGGAAGTCTGGAAAAGGCACCAATCACATGGATGCAGAATCCCCCAAGAAACTTTGAGCGGAGAGACCACAAGGGTGGAAAAGGTCATAGAGGAGATTGACTGGAAATTCATTACTTATCATTGCCAACTGTCACTGACGCCTAACTCACATAACAACTTTGTTGTTCCTTTAGACATCTCCTAGTTTTGCATTATGCTGTCTGGCTTACATGGGCCTGCAGTCAACTTTCAGGAGCGGATTGGTGATGTGGAAAACCTACATGCCAGTGAGTGAGGGGTTTTCCTCCTTGTTCTAGTACCTAAAGTACTTCTGGTACCGGGCCTATCCATTCTAGTTCCTTTATAGTAAGAATGATCAACTACACTGCTCCCTGTATCAGGAGTGCAGAGGCCAGTCATGGGGTGCTGGTGAATGAACTTAATTCAAAACCAGATGGTTTTGAGGTGGCTTGCATATAATCCATCTCCATAGCTGGTTTGTTGCAGTAGCACATGTGTGCAATTAAATATGGCTTTTCAATCCTTCACACATTTTTCAGTTGATCAACCATACTATTGAGCCTTTCCCTACTCTCTTTCACATTGCAGATCTCCAATATAGGTTGCCAGTAAGCTCAAATAGACCATAAAAAAGCAGGTTGACTAAGCACAGGGCAACGATGGAACTAGCAAAGTATATCACAGCACGGCTATGAATGAATGTATATTATTTACACTTTTATTTAAACTCTTTTAACAATACAACTTTTCAAACATCCACATATTTATACATACAGCTGCTTTGCATATATATATATATATTTATATAAAAATATTTTTCAAGAACCTAAAGGAGTTGAGGAGACATTATTGCTACAAACCTGAAAATATCAAGCTGCTGCAAAACTAATTTTTCAAAAAAAATTATAAAAATATAACTTTTCACAACATTTAAAGGAATAAAGTCTTCCATCTAAGTGCCAATGAAGTACCGCGGTGTGGAAAATTATTATGCCTTCCGACAGCTATAGGAGCCAAAAAGGTGTTGGAAATATCCTTAGAAGTTGGGGTCAGGTGCAGGATAGAAGCCAAGGCTTCCCTATTCTCAGAACAGGAAGATGACCTGCATGTGCAATGGGAACACCTGGTGCATTTTGGGAGAGTTTCCCTTCACAGAAGAGAATGGGAAACCCCTGCATATGTGGATTTTGGACTGAGCCCTTCTTCCCCCAAACTTCAGAAAGGTGCAACAGCGTAAATAACTCCAGTGCAAGTGTCTACTGTGAAGACTGGCTAGCAATAGAGCCCCAAGTGACATGGAGGAAAATGTAGTTATAGATCAGATCATACAGTAAAAGTGAGTGGTATTCAGTGTAATTTGAGGAATCCAGCAGTGTATTTTATTTTTTAAATTATCTTGCATTTGGGTAAATAGCAACTTCCAACGAAACAATGTAAACTCAACAAACGGAGTGCTGAAATAACAGGGTGCTGAAATGCTGTTGCGCTATAAATAAATAGCTATTTCAAAATTGGTCTATTAACCACATGCCTTCTTCTAGATTTTCGCTCCTTTGGGGAAAACTGGATCTTTTAGAAAAAAACAAAGGGTCTAGAATGTTTAAGCATCTTTTTATGGTCTAGGACAATAAGGATGCGTTCTGGAACAACAGTAGCAATATCGATATGCCATTCCTAAATCTACCTGCTATACTTCGCTTGGCTCCAACATGAAAATCCACAAACCTCAAGCAAGTTATTTATCAAGTGTTGCCATCCCTGCAGTACATAATGTTACAGAGGGATAAGCCCTTCCCCAGGACGTGGTTATGTGGGCCTCTACAGAAAGCTTTCACGGTTGTGTAGAAAAATGCAACCAGGAGATACTTGGGGAAGAATAAGGGAAAGAAAAGGACTTTTACAAACAATAATCATGTTGATGGTAATAAAAGCTGTGAAAAACGAGCAGCTTTCTTCAGAAGGTACCTAGTTCATACCATTAACACCTTGCCTAGTCTCTGATCAGACTACAAGAGCTTTACAGAGAACATAAAACTGTATGTTGTGAAATGCAAATAAGACACATTTCTCCACCAGACTGAGAAGCAGTAGTCAATGGGGACACAATTATTTTGATAACTTGGAAATAGCCACCCAGCAGAGAATTTTCTTCTTCCTGGCATATGCCGTGGAAGAAATGGGATGCAGAGACCTTCCAAAGTAGATGAAGCTATGAAAAATAATTAAAACCAACCACGGGACAGCCACTCACAGGTTACAAAATATAGGTACATGTACATGAATGTGAACATATGCATTCAAAAATGAAGCATGAACATAATCTTCTCTCTGCGCCCCACCCACCCATGCCCCAAGGTATCTTCTACCTAGAACGCAGAAGCACCAAGAGGGGGACAAACCAGGTGAGAACTGCCACTCAGATGTTGCTAGACTCTTTTCTGCCATTGGCTATGATCATAGGAACTGGAAATCTGGAGGGCCACAGGTTCCCCACCCTTGTCCTAAGAGGTGGCCCAACATCTCAGATGCTCAAGCTGAGGTGCTACAATATTCAGGGTCTTTCCATTCCCTTCTGGTCAAGTGGTCTATTTTGCTCCAGGATTTGGAATGTTATACGTTTGCTTTTTGCTTGCATTTCTAACATTTCTCAGGTTGGGAAAGTAATGGAAATCGATTCAGATATCTGCATTTATTCATTTCCAAACATAAACACCTATTTTCTAGAATCAGAGCTCTCGACGTCTGGCATTATATATAATATATACAGATAGATACATCCAGTGGCGAAGGAAGCAGAACCGGCACCCGGGGCGGCGCAAACCGCCTGGTGGGGCATGTGCACACCGTCCGTACAGCACATGCGTGTGCCGTATGTACGGTGGCGGGATTCTCTGCATGCACCTGCAGCGGCAGCGCAGGGATCCCACCGACGGCGCCGCATGGTTTGTTTGGAGGAAGGCACTCGGAGAGCAACATGTCTGTATCCACCCCATCAAGCGCGCACACGCAGAATTCAAGTGCATTGAAATGCAAGGGCGCATTCGCCTCTCCTCTACGCCCCCCCCCCCCGAGGGAAAGAAAGGGGCAAGACTTTGTACCTATTTTTTTAAAATCTGCAAAAGCAAATGGATCCTCGTTCTCCTAGTCCTCCAAGCAATGCCAGTGCAGAAGGAGCTGCTGGCTACGTGAAGGAGTCTCTCACTTTCCTGTTTCAAGTCTGCAACTCCTCAGGGATGGAGGAGGAGGAGCCTCTTTTTTTGCTGCCATTTTCTCCTGGCCCTGAACTCCCCACACCACCAGCTGCACATGGGAATGACACAATCCAGCCCAGAGCAAAATAAGATTTTTTTTTTTTAATGCAAACAATTCAGGAAGGACGGAGGAGAATCAGGCTAAAAGCACGGGTTGTTTTTGGTTTGCTTTGGGGGTTTTTTGGTCGGCTACGTTTGCCCCACGTACCATCCACTTTGACAAAACACCCACCCACCCCCAACCTCAAAATGCAAGCAAAAGGAAGTTAAAACAGCAACAAGGTGCCTCCTCTGCTGAGACCATTTCTACACAAAGAGAATACAATTGGAAATGGATCCAAACGGGGGCAAAAAAGGGGGAGGAGAAAAAGCAGAACAAACATTTCATTTTCTTCCGTTTGAATTCAAGCAAGACTTGAAATAAGCAGAGACTTCCTCCCCCCAAAAAGAGGGGTCCCCAGCACCCAAGGGCTGAAAGCAATGGGAAAACAAGAAACGCTCTCGCAAAAAGTTTCTCGTGTCTCTTTCACTGAGTGACAGATGCCTAGACAGATTTCTCTTTGTTCCTAAAGAAACAGGAACTCACCCTCTCCCCCCAATAGCACGCGTTACCCCGGCTTTCCTCCAAACAAATCCATCCCTTCCCACCAAAAGCTGTCATTTTACAAGCACTTGAAATCAGGTTTTATTTCTGTGGTGGGTTTTTTAAAGAAACCTAAGTTTACAGAGTCCAAAATCGCTAGGGGTTTTTTTGTGGGGGGAAGCAGATGTGGGGAGGAGTTTGCAAAAGAGAAAATAGGGAAAGTTGCCATTTTGGGATCAAGAGGGAACAGAAGCATGTAAAAGTAAAAGAAAGCAGGTTTGGGAGGAGAAACCTTCGAAAACTTTTTTAAAAAAAAGGTTAGTGTGTGTGTGTGTGTGTCCTTTAAAGAAAGCCAGACCGGGGGGAGGGGGGAAGCAGCAGAAGCACCTCCATTCAGAGAGAAAAGGCAGGAAAGAAGTTGGATCTCTCTCGCAATGTTGCACTGAACGTTACCAGAGAAAAGATCCTTTTCCCAACTCCCTTGCCTCTTGCTTGCTTTTCCATAGCCTGGAAAACACTTCTTGTTCTGCCCTCCTCTCGCTTCTTTCCTGCTTTCCTTCTTTCCTCGTGGTGCTTTCCCCCCCTCTTCTCTCCCACCCACTCCCCGCTAGAATTTTTAATTTTATTTTGGGGGGGCAAAGTTGAAGAGTTTTTGCAGACACTGATCGGATACTCTCCATGCACACACACAAACCACCCGGTTCTCCACGAGGGCGCTCCATTCTCTGTACAAAAACTCTTTCCTCCTCCACCTCTTCCACTGCCCCTGCTCCTGCCTGCGGCGTTTTCCCTTTGAGAAAACAGTGACGGTTTTGCAAAAGGAAAAACCAAACCCCTGAACCTTCTTACAAGTGCTTCCAGCCTTCAGACGCCCCACATGCTTTTGCAAAAAAGAAAATGGAAGAAAAGTAAGAACCCCCAAAGTTTTGCCGAGCAAAAAGAAAGAGAGGGGTGTGTGTGGGGGAGCTGCACATCTTTGCCAGCAAAGCCGAGCAAATCTCGTCCTCTCCCTGCCTCCTGCCTACTCCTCCAGGCTCCAGCCAGGACTCGGGCAATGGCATGCCGACGCCCCCCACGACTCCCAAGTATCCAGAGCTGGGGGGCGGGGAGGGAGACAGGAAGAGGACGAGCTGCTCGCTGACAGCGAAGGGTGCAGCCGCGAGGGAGGCAAGGCGCTCTACTCTTCGCTTCTGCCCTGACAGCAAGAATTGGCACTGCGCCTTTAAGAGGGAGGCGGCAACGTCGCCAGCCCCACCTCCTACCCAGCGCAAGAAGGAAAAGCCCAATAGGTGGGATGGGGAGAGAAATGTGACCTAGGCTTGTAGCGCGCAAGAGAGACCAAGAGGCGCTGCTGCGTGGAGGATCTTTTGCCCGCGGCTGCAGGCGCGATGGCACCCCCGCAGGGTGCCCTCTTGTCACCCCTTCAGAGATGGCACCCGGGGCGCTCCGCTCCCCCTGCCCCCCTCTTCCTACGCCACTGGATGCATCTCTAATCCATACCAAAGATTTTAAACAGGTTGTTTTCCCACTCCCAAATCTGGTTCTACACTACAAACGCATTTAACATAGCAACTATACACAGATTCTAGCAAACAGTGTAACAACATTGTTAACCGTGATGGGTAACCTACTTTTGTTTTTAACAGGATGTGATTTTCAAAAAGAGAGGTGGGGGGGGACAGAGCAAGAATATCATTGCAATGTTCCTACTACCCTCAGCATAGTAGTGAATACGCTGCGAACAACCAGTAGTCATTTCGAAAACAACAACAGTGGTTTCTTCATCAAGGCTGGACGAGTCTCCTCTCAAGCAACTTCATGTGTGAGCAAGGGCTGAGTCGATGAAGCGCTGCTGCCAACCGAATTTATTCTCACCGAGTGATCTGGAGCATTTCCTTGAGTGCAAACGCCACTTGTAACGTTTGAGTAAATCTGGAGAAAGATACAAGAACGCAATCAGTACTGAACGACTGCAATGACAACAAACTACCTGCCCCATGGATCGCGATTACAAAAACTTGTGTCACGACCAATTGTTTGTTATTGGATTTTGCTCCCATTTACAATTGTAGAGATACAGTGGTACCTCGGGTTAAGTACTTAATTTGTTCTGGAGGTCCGTACTTAACCTGAAACTGTTCTTAACCTGAAGCACCACTTTAGCTAATGGGGCCTCCTGCTGCGCCGCCGGAGCATGATTTCTGTTCTCATCCTGAAGCAAAGTTCTTCACCTGAAGCACTATTTCTGGGTTAGAAGAGTCTGTAACCTGAAGCATATGTAACCCGAGGTACCACTGTATCCCTTAACTTATTTTATTATTTTATTTATTTGCACCTTTGCAGGAACTTCCAAGCATCTTGCCTGGATTTCAATTATCGCTTCACTCCATCTGTGAAAGTGTCAGGGGTTTCTACATGGCACATCTCCCCATCCAGACAAGCATTGCCGGGGGTTGGACTACATGACCCTCGGGACCCCTTTCAACTGTACAATTCTATGAATCTAAGCTAGAGGCATTTTTGTAATTAAAGGACACCTTCCAGCCACACACGAAAACTGGATCAGAACCAGGGGTGCATTTTGTCCATAGACCTGAGGTTCCCCACCCCGATACAAACCAAAAATAGCTTTCAAATTTGTTCCGTTTTTTAAAAAAACAGTAAGCTTTGGATTTAGTAAAAAAAGCACAGTGAACATCATTAGATGGCAACATTCGTAGGCTTCTCACTTCAGTCTAGATTATTTGATCTCTTTTGATCCATAAGGATCTCCAGTGTGACTTACATAAAGTTTAAAAGTGCCTTGGAAGTGCTTCCATGCCATCTAACAGCTCTGGGGTCACCACTCCACAAACCCCAATTCTCATTAAGAAACTGTGGCTGTTCCCTTCCAATTTTATCCCACTTGCTGTCCCTGATTTTTTGGTCAGTTGTCTGGCTGTGTACTTCCCCTCTACTCTGGAATTTCTGCAAGTAGCCAATATGACAACACAAGGCTTCTAATTTTGAGCCAAAATCTGCTAAGTGCCATTCCTGCATCAAGATATACAAAAACAGGAACGGTATTTGGTGACAACTTCTTTTCATTTCTACTCTTTCAAGCAACTGAGAAAGGCATTTAATGCAGAGGAAATTGGGGGCAGGGAGACCCATTTACGGCGCGTAACGACATTAAACAAGGGCACTCAGCACCCATCTCCATCGAGAAGGCAGATTGGAAGGCTCAGTGCTTACATGGTTTGTGGTATCTGAAATCTGCTGCTCAATCAATTGTACAATTTGCTTAAAAGTCGGCCTCTTCACGGGGTCAGCATCCCAGCAGCTCTTCATTATCTCATACCTGCAAATGCGGTCAGAAATTTATCAACTGAGATTTCAGCCAGTCGGTGAAATGTTAAGTAACATGTAGAGCAACGATGAGCAATACGGCATCGAAATGCATACTATTTTACTGCAGTTTTTAAAGCAAACCAAGTTTACTGGAATAAGTAGAAAGATTAAAAAATATAGTGATTGTGTGTGGAATCCTAAAAAGACAACAACAACCTGGGGCTGTATGGTGGCCTATGTCCTCAGTTCCGATCTTGCCTTGCCATATTTTTGAGAAGACCCCATATTACATTCAACCATGCAGGTGCTGTGAGTTGATATGCCTTTGTCATCAAAGGACATTCCATGGAACACCTCAACTTCTTTCAAAACCTATCTCTCATAGACACCTCGCTTTTCTGCTGTCAAGTAGCCCTAGCCCTTTGTTCCCATCCTCTTTCTTTATTTAGTGCACCCTTTCCATGCACGCTCTTTGCTTCTGAGCAGAGACGCTACCCTTCTAGATCTAGATCCATGGTCTAGCACACTGTTGGCAGGAAAAAAAGAGCAGGACTTATGGGAACATCAGATCTTGAACACCTTGCTGTCAAGGTCATCTGACATACAAGACATATCCGGCTGTACTTTTGAATAAATAAGGTATACTATTCATTGTATCAACTTGTAGATTCCAACGGAAGTCTCATAAAGTTCAACGAAAAAAGCAGAAGACCCAGTGGATCAGTTCATTCTCTAGTCAATTCATGCATAAGGTCCATACATGTATAAGTGCCTATTCCACCTGTCTGTTCATAGAGTCCAATAATACACATGAAGGGTTATTTATTCAAAAGTACAGCCAGTTACGTCTTGTGTGTTTATTGAGTATGTTTCACGTAACCACAGGCTTGTTGTTATTATTTTGCTAAGGTCATCTGACAGCCATGGCCTGCTGGCTATCAACAACATCCCATCAGCTACGACGAGAAAATCAAACGGAAACTAGCTAACTTTGGGACACAAAATTCCACAAGTTTGTTTTCTCTGATCATCATCATCATTTGCTTAATTCGTCAGTTGTATAGATCTAATGCTTCTGTGATCATGTTGCACCGGTTGCAAGTTTCAAGACAGGTTCGGAAGTTCATCAGCAATGGCTTCCAAAATTTCAAAAGGTCATGTGGGGTGTCATCTGGGCAGGACTTCTAGGGGCTGCAGTGTAGTGAGGAGTCCAGTCTATGTCATTTCACCTCTCCAGAATCTAAGTGCAATTGTTCAAAATAAACAAATTTGGGAGGGGGCCATCACCTTAATGCTAGAACATGGCCCCAGAGAGCTGGACCACTGCTTGGGCTACCCAGATCAAAATTCACAGATCATGTGCTTCATTTACTCACACTGCCAAATCCAGATTTTCTGGGTGCGTGCTTTGGGTCATATTGTGGCCAGATTTTGTTTTTCTATTTTTAAAGAAATTTGAGTACAGAGCATAATGCAAACTAATATCCCAATCTTACACGCATGTATGTGGGACATCAATCGTACTGATTTCACTGGGGCAAACTTCCAAGTAAATGAATCTAGGACCAGCAGTTAAGGCAGTGATAGGAGATTTTGTAAATATTCAGTTGCAGTTTATTTCATGACTACAACTTTGAGCAGGAGAACACAAATACACTGCTTAAATCAAGAAGCTTAAATCTAGAAGTTTGACATTTTCCACTTCAACGTTGTTATAAATTTGGCCTCTCACATTTCAGCAGGTGCAAATTCTGGAGTAAACATTCTGTATCCTTCCTTAATCCTTTTATAGAACTTGGAATCCACAGGCATTCCAGGATAGGGACTGCTTCCTGTTAACACAGAGCTGTCTGTTAATATATCATATCAGGTTTGGTTAAATGTGAGAAACAAAAGATCCAAGAAGTAATTGTTGTAGCTCTGTATAAACTACAAGAGTTGATAGCCATATGCATCTTACCTAGAGAGAACAGTTCCCAAAGCAGGATTCCGTAAGACCAGACATCACTCTCAAAAGTGTATACACATTCAAAAATGCTTTCAGGTGCCATCCATTTCACAGGAAGTCGTGCCTTTACAGAGAAAGGAAGGGAAAATGAAAAATGAGTGCATTAAGTGGGCGGGCAGGGGCTGAGCCAACCCCACTGCCATCATGACTACATCAGGCCTGATTTCGGTCCAGTTGCTGTGCTACCTCCAGACTGGTTCAGGGATCTGCTTGCTCCTTCAACTTCTGCCCCAGCCAGCTGGGCTGCAGACGTGGCTGCATTGCTCCATTAAGCCCTGCCAGCAGCCAGCGACAGGATTGCACAGCTCATTGAAAAAGTCATTCCTATCAGAAATAGCAGCTATAGAGATGGGCATTCATTGCCATAAGACAATGCCACCAAGGCACTGGAAAGGGTTCGTTTCAAAACCCTCTAGGTAGGAGCTTAATCCAGGTAACAAAAATGAAAGTGATATTATCACCAAACTCCGAATATAATTGCACATTGTATTAATTAACATTATTTTTTAATATATTAGTGGCCATGTGATAATTTTAGCTTATAAATTTTATTGTTTAATGTCTTAATTTGTATATTAAGGTACTTTTATAGCTCTGTTTAAAGTAGGTAATGTCTTGATAGTATAAATGTTTTAAGTTTTTTCTATCAATCCAGTATATTTTCTTTTAACTGTTGAATGTTTCTGTGTGCATTGCGGCAGCCTTTGGCTATGTGCAATAAAACTGGCTGACTATATTCTGAAATGCTTAGAACCCACCTAGATTAAAATCCCTGGCCTGCTTCTACAAAAATGTAGCCAAACTTCTACACCTTTTGCATTGAAAGACAGCTAAAGGAAAGACAAATCAGGCAATCATGGCAACCAAACGTACTCAGTATTGCCTATAGCGCTGGTGCCTTAAAGTTGTCTAGGACTCCCCCCATCAGCCTCAGTCAGCCTGGCCACTAGTGAGGGATGATGGGAGTTGTTGTCAACAACATCTAGAGAGCACAACATATCGATTAAAAAAGAATCACAACACACTTAGCCATGATGATGATCCTATTTATCCAATTGCTGTTTTATAGTATCCCACGGCTATGCTACAATGTACTTTGTGTTTTTATTTGTTCAGAGTAGTTTGAACCGTTTGAAACTGCTTATAAATACAATGAAAAAATCTTATAAAATAGAAACAACCTAAGGCCAGTATCCCAAGCGCTGTATTACTAGTTTTATGGAATCAAGTGGGTTTTAGATATGCATCTTGAACAGCAGGGCCCCAGGCACCCCATTTTTGAACCTGAAGGGACTTTTCAAAACATTTTGTGATATAGCTGGGATCTTCCTGTTAAAAGATAGTAAGTCAGGCGTCCCAATGGATTCTCCAATGGGCTTGATTAAAGCAGCACCTTGGAAGTCGGTCTAACTCTTAATGTTGCTGTAGCCTATATAATTCCTAAATGATTACGCGTTTCTAGTTTTCTTATCACAAAGCAGTTCGTTTTCTCTAATGAAACCCCTTTTAAGTTGGTTTCGGGCATTAGAGAGCAATCTTAGGTTAAAATCACTGCACTTCAAAGGATCACGTTTCATCAAGTGGCTGCCATTGTATGGTACAACCACAATTCATTGTTTGGGTTCAGGAAACCAATTAGTGTTACTGTTTAGTGTAATTAGATGAAGTGGTAGCCTTGAATTAGAGCGATAATCTAAAAGCCACCATATCTTTGATCACCGAAGGATGATTGAATTGTTTTTTGCTGGAGGCGGAGGTAGGTGCTGGCTGCTGTCACTCTTCGGGGTGATTGGAGTTCCCCTAGCATCAGCTTTGATATTATGCCAAAAACAATTATGGAACATCCCTGGCTCCTAACAGCTGCAGCCAATTCGTCTCCTGACTCTTTCACACTATGAAACATCAGGCAACTCAGGACACAGAAACCCCTTAATCTAGGCAAATGAAATTCAATTACTTACTGCCCCCCTTGCAAGCTGTTGCCCTGTATGTTAAAAATCCTAGATGCAGATAATTAGTCTGAGGCTTCAAAATTAAACCTGGTCCTCACTTAAGTTTCTTTGCACATTTAGATGCTATTAAGGGGCTTTCATACTCTTGTTTGCTTGCCTGTGCTGCATGTATTCTGTCATCACAGCTCGTGCCTGATTATCACATTGAATTTTTCAAGGGAAAAAGGAGTGATGGTAAAACTTGAAGGAAGGAATGTAATATTCTTTGCCTGAGCCTCAGATGAGTCAGATTCTCCTTACCTCAGGAGACAGTTTCAACCGCACACATGGCACACAGGAAGAGATTACAGGTTTAATGAAGAGATTTAGTTGAGAGGAAGTTTATCTGAGGGGAGGCCATTTGCAACAAACGAACCTATGACAGAAGGGACCTCCTCCATACCTTCTGTTCTGAAAATCAGCACAATTTGTTTCCACTGTCCATCTCTCCATTCCTATTCTAAGTTGGCCCCCCTAGGCAAAGGCTATTTGGCACACAGACGCTGAAAGGCATGAACTCCAGCCACTAAGAGTCAAATGCAGTTCCACAACACACTTCACAGAGGTACAGGTTGCATTCAAACATACTTACATTTCCTTTGACCACATAATTTGAGTCGTTCCTGATATCTCTTGCAAGGCCAAAGTCACATATTTTTGTAATCCGCCCATGAGTAAGCAATATGTTTCTTGCTGCCAGGTCTCTGTGAATGCACTGAAGGGATTGAATAAAATATATATAATTAATATATATATATATATATATATACACACACACACCCACACACACACACACACACACCCACACACCAAATATGATTGTTTTGCATTGCACACCACCAATACAACTGTGCAGAACTGCACTTCTATTATATTTGGGCACCTTGGTCTTAATCTACTGGTCGGAGTCCTGTGGCTATAGCCAAATGACTTTTTGAGGATAGGAGAACCAGGATCTTATTGGATAAAGACTGGATTGTACCAAGGTAGCTACAGTAACATCCTACAGTTAGTAAGCTCGCCTTGCTTTACTTTGTGTCCATTTCTATTTCCATTTGATTCCACAAAGGGAAGGACAGCTTTCCTTCCCTAGTTCTCTTGATTCTGCCAACTCAGAATGTTGTTCACGGCACAGTCACTTGGAGGAAAGGTCCATGGAAATCAATGGAATATGCTTTCAAGTAATGTCTTCCGAACTGGAATGTTTTCCATTGGGGTTTCCACCCACTGCACCTACTTAAATCTTGTTCACCATGATCCAAGGAAGCCAGAAAGGGATGCCCTCCACCAAGTGGCTTGGGTTGTTATATGGTGTTGTTTAGTACAAACATTTAGTATGAAGCAGATAAAGTTAGGTGAAGAGCTTTTTTAAAAGTATATAAAAAGGCCGACTGTACAAAGCAGTATTTACAGGTGCCCATAGTATCGCCCCAGTTTAGAACACTTCCTCTGACTGTTGGTCATAGTACTGAAGGCCAGCTCTGTTAATCTACAGAGACCAAAGGGTGCTCATCAATGGTTCCTCTTCATCCTGGAGAAGAGTGACTAGTGGGGTGCCACAGGGTTCTGTCTTGGGCCCGGTCTTATTCAACATCTTTATCAACGACTTGGATGATGGACTCAAGGGCATCCTGATCAAATTTGCAGATGACACCAAATTGGGAGGGTGGCTAACACCCCAGAGGACAGGATCACACTTCAAAACGACCTTGACAGATTAGAGAACTGGCCCAAAACACACAAGATGAATTTTAACAGGGAGAAATGTAAAGTATTGCACTTGGGCAAAAAAATGGGAGGCACAAATACAAGATGGGTGACACCTGGCTTGAGAGCAGTACATGTGAAAAGGATCTAGGAGTCTTGGTTGACCACAAACTTGACATGAGCCAACAGTGTGACGCGGCAGCTAAAAAAAGCCAATGCAATTCTGGGCTGCATCAATAGGAGTATAGCATCTAGATCAAGGGAAGTAATAGTGCCACTGTATTCTGCTCTGGTCAGACCTCACCTGGAGTACTGTGTCCAGTTCTGGGCACCACAGTTCAAGAAGGACACTGACAAACTGGAACGTGTCCAGAGGAGGGCAACCAAAATGGTCAAAGGCCTGGAAACGATGCCTTATGAGGAACGGCTAAGGGAGCTGGGCATGTTTAGCCTGGAGAAGAGGAGGTTAAGGGGTGATATGATAGCCATGTTCAAATATATAAAAGGATGTCACATAGAGGAGGGAGAAAGGTTGTTTTCTGCTGCTCCAGAGAAGCGGACACGGAGCAATGGATCCAAACTACAAGAAAGAAGATTCCACCTAAACATTAGGAAGAACTTCCTGACAGTAAGAGCTGTTCGACAGTGGAATTTGCTGCCAAGGAGTGTGGTGGAGTCTCCTTCTTTGGAGGTCTTTAAGCAGAGGCTTGACAACCATATGTCAGGAGTGCTCTGATGGTGTTTCCTGCTTGGCAGGGGGTTGGACTCGATGGCCCTTGTGGTCTCTTCCAACTCTATGATTCTATGATTCTATGAGACAGACTCCACCTGACCTGGAAGCCAAAGGACCATCCCAGGTCACAATATCATCATATATCCTCCTTTCCCCAAGCGACATGATTGGAAAGGGTCTGTTTCTCCAGGCTGAAGAACATAGCTGATTCCCTGCCCATATTCCACAACCTCTTATTTCCCCATGGGAGGTGTACCTGCTGGGGGAGAATTGTTATTTTACATTCCCAAGGTGTAAAAACATCAAGAGCAGGAGGCAAATGCATCCCACCCGACGATAGCTGGTTTCCCATCCTTTCAAAAATTACTCAGCAGTGAAAAAGATGCTCAATTTAGTGCTCCTCTAGGTGAACAAATTATTATTTCCCAACTTCTCCACTCACATTTTTGGAAGAAAGGAAGCTCATCCCTTTTGCCACCTGATAAGAAAAGCTTAGCAAGTCTTCAATATCCAGAGCCAGTTCATCATCTTCTAAGATGGCAATGGTGACATCCTGATTAGCAAACGATCCTACGCAACGCAAGTAGGGACAATACATAAATGGATTAATTATGAACATTTGGGAAGATAGCAGTTTTTCTATTAACAGAGCACAGCACTTAATTAACACAGAAATACCCCTAAGCTGCTATTGAAACATGAAGCGATTCCATATGAGCCCACCCAATGGAAAACTGCAAAATTGTTTTCCGTTTTAGTGTAGATTATTAAAGTTCTAATACACTGAATTAGGGCTGGTGTTGTTGTTTTTTAATGGACATGTTCTGATAGGTAGGAGCCATTTCAAAAAAGGAACTTTCCTTCTTTCTTTTCCAATCCTGCTTGGCAGCTTACCTGGCCTTCCTGGACTCCTTTTAGTGGCTTTGGTGTGGATGACCTGAGAAACTCCTGGTTTCATGTCCATGTATTCATCAGTGGCATCACTATGTGGAAAACAGAAGAACTATGAGGTTGGATAATATATGGGGAATCTGTTGGCTTGGGTCACTGGACCCCTAGCGGTTTGTATGATGAGGAGTGACTAAGGTTTTCAGCTATGTAGAGAAGATGACCTGAATGAACATATCATTTTTTTATTTGAGAGAGAATTATTTAATCCATATTATCAACTGTCTCACAGTCTCGCATTCTAGATTGTTGGCTGACAAATTTGTAGTTGTACAGCACATAACTTTGCCAGGCTGCAAGACAACGGGAAGGGATGTCCAATGGAAACAAATATTCATTGGCTGTGGGGTTCCTAATCCCATACCATTCTCATCATCCCTGGCCACTGGTCTTGGTTGCTAGCGATGATGGGAGTTGTAGTCCAAAAACAGCTGGAGATCCAAGTTTGGGAAACACTAATCTAATCCACAGGGAACAGGGAGACTCAGTCAAAAGTTTGTGAGGAATAATCTGAGCGCTCTCTTAAAAGACAGCCAGAATGGGAGTGCTAGACTTGAATCACAAAGTCCAGGATTGAAATTCCTTTAAAGCTTCTAAGCTTAACTGAGTAGTCCTGGGCAGGCCCCTTATCCTTCAGCCCAGACTACCTCACAAGGTAGTTGTGATAGTAAAATAGGACAGCCTCTATGTACACCATCCTGAATTCCTCAGCGGAAGCATGAAATAGAAGCAATGTGATAAATTAAAGCTCTCCCCCAAACCACCCCACACACAAAATGAGTACAAAGCTGTGAAAAGCAACAAAACAACTCCCCTCCCAAATGCACAAGCGCACAAAAGGTACACTGTGATTTCCTGGCAATGACCACAAATATTGGCACCACATCCTTACTACATGTGTTCCTTTTGATAGAGAAGGTTCTTGTAGACAGCTGTTTCTTCATGCTTTGGGCAAATAAAGGAGTCACGTTTCCTTCTCAGAAAATTCAAAAGGTCACCATAGCAGCAGTATTCTGTGATGACCAGAGTAGGACCTGCAGATGCAGAGGAAGTCAAAAGCAGTGGGTGAATTTTCCATTCTGGCTCAGGCATATTTAAAAACAGAAACAAACAAACAAACAAACAAACAAACAAACAAAAAGCCCCTCGATTATTTGGCTACATGTACAAAAATGGGCCATTTCAAATCACACTATAGAGTAGTGTTTCAGCTTGAAAAGTCAGGGTGAAATTACATCAGCGGATTCTCTATTCAGGCACTGAGCCTTATTTCCAATTAAGACGATGTCATTCCCAATTAATTATTTTCACACATCAATAGGGCTGCAGTGTTAAGAAACACACATACACACAAATTAAGTAAGTCCTGTGATAATGGTGCAAACCAGACACATCTGTTTCATTCCGGAGCTCTTCCTGAAGGAAGTTATCTGTTCCAAATGTAAGCTTCTAACATTAATCCTTTTGATTCACTCGTGTTTACAGTAGACTTCTCGCTCTTATAGTAATGTTTTGGAAATGATATAAAATATTATAGTCTTCAATGTAATTGGGGGGAGGGAGGGAGAACCATTCAGACAGAACTCTCTACTGAGACAGAAAGCTAGAAGCTCCAGACTTTTCAAATGATTAAAAGGGAAATTTAAGGGCAGAATCAAATCGTCTACGGTTCTAAAGTTTTTATATCAAAGATGTGTTTTTCTGAATGCCTGGCTGCCTCTAGGTCATTTCAAGTACCGGATGCCTGAGATTTCAAATATAGGGTTCTGTATCAGTGCTACTTATTCTGGATAGTTCCCTCTCCACTCACACAGAACCGGAACTATTTTCCATAATAGCAATAACTACACTTGTTTATGCTGGGTGAGGTATTATGAAAAGAGCACAAGCCTTCTCTTGGGGCTGTGAGGTCTCCTTTTCAGTATCCCAGTCAAGCTTGCCTTCTTTCAGGACACTCTGTTCCCTTTCCCCCGCACCCCCAACGGACATCCGGCGGCCACTAAGTGTGCTCAGTCATCAAACTGCCCGTTGCTTCCTGCCCTCCTGTGGGTTTTTCCTTCGGTGGGTTTTGTGTACTTCTGCAAACCTTGGGGTCCCCCTGAGCCTGCAGATGCCTCCTCCTCTTGTGTGTAGAATGGAGCGTTTGATCTCCTTCAGAGTAAGCAAACACATGAGGAGTAGCAAGGATGGGCTGCTCCACCAAGCTCCCTCCAATGTGTCACCTGTACACAGTGTAGAGCAGCGAATCCCAATTAGCTAAGTCCCGTAGACCTCCTGTTTTTCAAGCCATGGACCCCCAACTTTTGAAATTTTTGCTATCTCTATGGTAGTTTTCATTATGTGAATGGTGCCATGGACCCCCTGGGGATCACAATCCACCAGTTGGGAACCACTGGTTTAAAGTTTAAGACTGATGCCCTGAAGCAGGGAAGCTCCCAGTGTAATTTGGAGCACTGGTTTTGTCCTGTGAGGACTATCCATGGGCAGAGGAGGCTCTCTGCTTCACACCTTCTCCCTCAAATTCATGGAGGGCTCTGAACTGCCATATGGGGCAGGGCTTGGCGGCACAGACCACTCCCCACTTCTCCTCACCTGTTTGCCGACACACAAGATGCCGGAATGCCGGAATAGGACATTTCTCTGTGTGTGAACATTACTAGCTTTCCCCTCAAACCTCCCCAAACTGAGCAACAGATTGAAAACTGTACCTCCAACTGTACAGGCTCCGAGTAGATTGACAATGTTAATGTGGTTGCCAAGGTAACTCAGGACTTTCAGCTCGGACATCAGGGCTTCCTTCTCAGTGAAATGGGCGCTGGCTGGAGAGAGAAAGATGAGAAATTCAGCGGATTTAAAAAGGGAGAAGTGAGTCGCAAAGGAACACACCACGAGGTGTTCCAGGTTGCTTCCTGGCCCAATGTGCTTTCAGGTCTTCCAAGAAGGCTCTGCTTAAAACTAGGCTTGCCACACTGGTTTCTGATCTTAGGAACATTTACTTGTAAAGGATACAATAACTGGGAGAAAAACTCTCTTTAATCTGATGAGTTACAGTGTTCTAACAAATGGGATACATTCTTATGGTCATACAATGTGCTCCATATTTTGGAGATCCTTGGATGGCAACCCCACCTCAAACTCCCTCCTGAAGCTGGGAAAATGGCTACTGGTGTGTGTGTGGGAAGGAGCGTTCCTGAAGATTCATTATGGAATTTCCTTCCCAAGGAGGTGCTTCCAGGCCCACACTCTACCAGTTAGAATCACAGAACCAGAAAGGATTCCAGGTCATCTAGACCAACCCAGCATTCAATCAAGTATCTACAATGTTGGAAGCAGCTGTAGCATCCCTGACAGATGCCTGCCCAGCCTCTGCTTAATGCCTCTGACAAAGGAGAACCCACCACCTCCAAAGGCAGCCTGTATTCCACTCTCAAACAGGTCGTACTATTAGGAAGCGCCTCCTAACGTTTAGCTGAGATCCACTTCCCTGCAATTTCCACCCACCAATTCTAGTTCTGTCCTCTGGAACAACAGAGCACTAGTGTCCTAATATTTCCTGCATGGCAGCTCTTCAGATATTTGAAGCTGGCAATTTATGCAGGAATTTGGGTCTGAAGGCAATGTGTAGCAATGAGGTATGGTTTTCATCTTCTGGCGTGTATGTCGCTTTCGGAACCCTTGGGAAGACAGGGCAAGAGAGATATTTTTAAATAAGTAAAACTTGCAACGGAGGTGTTGGGAACTTACGTTTGAGCATCTTTACAGCTACTCTCATTGCTCCATCAGGTTTGAAGAGACCGTAGGCAGTGGCTTCAACGACTTTCCCAAAAGCTCCAGCTCCAAGAGTCTTGCCTAAAGGATTTTCAGAGTGTTTAAAAAACAACAACCAAACATTGAGCTGCTACTAAACAGATTAGCAATGCAACCTGATCCAATTCCTATTTTTTAAAGAAATTTAAAGCAGGGATAGGCCATTGTAAGATCCACAAATAGTGTCCCACTGAGTAGCTGTCAATTCCATTATTTCATGAATCTAGGTAGAGGGTGGGGGGGCAGCAAATTTGTTACACAAAGTCCAACACTATTGTTAATATTTTGGGGCCCAAAGTTACAGTTCCTTATTTTCCCTCAGCTCCCCTTTGTTCCGCACATCTGACTTAACCTTTCCCTCTTTGACTCCATCTCTCCTGTCTCTATGTCTTCGCTATTTGACAACAGTTGCAGGTAAAAAATCAGTAACAAAGTACAGTGGTACCTCGGTTACATATGGTTCAGGTTATATATGCTTCAGGTTACAGACTCCGCTAACCCAGAAATAGTACCTCGGGTTAAGAACTTTGCTTCAGGATGAGAACAGAAATCATGCTCCAGCGGCACGGCGGCAGCGGGAGGCCCCATTAGCTAAAGTGGTGCTTCAGGTTAAGAACGGACCTCCAGAAGTAATTAAGTACTTAACCCAAGGTACCACTGTACAGGCATCTAAAATGCATGCTGGGGTTTAGCTGTATGTGTGACGTAATTTGGAGGTGACTGTAAGCAGAACAACAAATTATGGAAGCAGAGTTACTTAGAACATGGCACAAATAATGCAGAGCTTTTCCTCCAGGAAAGTTCCCCACCATTTTCCTCAGCTTGTGACAGGCCGCAGTGTAACACAATGCAAGTCTAGTGGGGGACCAGTCTGTGGGCTAGGGAGAACTCTTGACTGGTTTTATATTGGCCTGGTTCGCACATAACAACAAGCCAAACTATGGCTTAATGTACAAATACCTGGAGTAGAAAAAAAATAAAATCTTCCCCTGGTCCTGCTGCTGCCATGCTACCCAGAGCTAAGCCATGGTTTGGTTTGTGTTACATCCAAACCTGGGCTTTTGGTTTGTCTTGCTCCCAACAAACATGAGTTGTAACCAACATTTGCTCTTGGTTTTCTACTTGTAGTTCATCTGCAGGAGACGTGCTATTAGCTCAGCTTTAGATAGTGCAGGAGCAGCAAAACAAGGGGAGAAGTGAAGTGACTGTGATTTCCCTTCCACACACTTGTTTGTTCTTGGCAAGCCATGGTTACATGCAAAGAAGGTCACTTGCCTAACCTTGCTCTGAAGAGGACACAAGCTCCTTACAGGATTTCTTAAAAAAAGTAGTACTGGTCCTACATTCCCCACCCCCTTCCAGGAACAATGTCATTCTGCTGACACAGAGTTCTATAGGTCAAATACATGTAAACTAACCAAAACTTAGCCGGTTTCTCGGAAACTCCCATTTGTCATCATAAGGAAGCTGTGTGGGATCTATGTAAACATAGTTGTTTCCATTTATTTCATCAACTACTTTCCACTGAACCTCATATTTTGGTTTCTGGAAGAGAGACACAGCCATGTTGAGTGCATACAACCGTGAACGGAGGTAAAGGGAAAAATAAGATTGTGGGTGGTATAACCACAAGCATAATTCTTACCTGCAGATATTTGTACACAAGAATGATGACTGTGATGCACATCAGTCCTGCCGCTACTCCAAAGCCAATTAACAAAGGAGTGAAAAGGGTGTGGGTGCTTATTTGTTCTGGAAAGACACACACAAAAGAAGCCTGGCTTAAATTTTTGCATTAAGAGACTTGGCCCTTGACTCATCAAGGAACACAGTGCATTATGGTATGAGCCAAAAGGTGTGTTCTCCGTCTCAGGGAGATTACAGCATGAACACAGTATGCCGTTTCAAATATCACTCGGGCTGCCAGTTACCTTTAATGGCAAAGTTGAAAAAAGCAGCACTCCTGGCAATGTCGTTGGAAGCTTCACATGCAACAGTGCCATTCTTGAACATGCTGGCATCCACGGTGCTTTCAACAACTATCTTCCCAAAAGGAGGAAAAGGCGAATCTTTATAATTGGTCTTCACGTCTACTGGTGAAATGTTTGGTGAATCTGAACACCTGGAAGAAACAATTCACCTGGGTGAGCCAACTTGGTGGACAAGAGAGAAAATATCCAGAATGTTGATGCCAGGAAAATAGCAGCACCCTTTAGGTCAGTGATGACCAAACTTGGCCCTCCAGCTGTTTTGGGACTACAATTCCCAAACCACTGGTCCTGTTAGCTAGGGATGGTGGGAGTTGTAGTCCCAAAACAGCTGGAGGGCCAGTTTGGCCATCGCTGCTTTAGGTGAAGAAATGCATCTTGTTGATATCTATATTAGCATTCCCTAATGCTGTACTAGACTGTCTAACATTAACATCTATGTACTATACATTTTGTTTTTTATATAGGTAAAGGTACCCCTGCCCGTACGGGCCAGTCTTGACAGACTCTAGGGTTGTGCGCCCATCTCACTCAAGAGGCCGGGGGCCAGCGCTGTCCGGAGACACTTCCGGGTCACGTGGCCAGCGTGACAAAGCCGCATCTGACGAGCCAGCGCAGCACACGGAAACGCCGTTTACCTTCCCGCCAGTAAGCGGTCCCTATTTATCTACTTGCACCCGGGGGTGCTTTCAAACTGCTAGGTTGGCAGGCGCTGGGACCGAACAACGGGAGCGCACCCCACCGCGGGGATTCAAACCGCCAACCTTTCGATCGGCAAGCCCTAGGCGCTGAGGCTTTTACCCACAGCGCCACCCGTGTCCCTGTTTTTTATAGAATTTTAATTAATTTTTGTTTTACACTTTAGAATATTCATTTAAACAACCTTAAAATGTCAATGACTTCCCTTCTTCTCTTTCCATGATTCATTTCGCATATCATAAATCCCTGCATATTTTACATAAACTAAACCATTCAGTATTCCATGATTAGATCAAACAAAAATTGTTTGCACTGTTGAATTTATCTTAATGCTGCCGATGTTTTCAGGTGTACACAATCCCCCCCCCATATATTCAATAAACGTTTTCCAAACTTCCTTAAATTTATGTTCTTCTTGTTCTCTTATTCTCTTATTCTATATGTTAGGTCTGCAAGCTGTGCATATTCCACCATTTTAAGTTGCCATTCTTCTTTAGTTGGGACCTCACTCGTTTTCCATTTTTGGACTAACAAAACATGGGTCGCAGTAGTGGCATACATAAATATCCTTTTTTGACACCCAGGAAATCCCCATGTACTATACATTTTGAGTGAGTAAAACCTCATCTTAAAAAGCTTTGCCCATTCAAAGAGGGAAAATATCTCATACTCTCCAGCATTTCCAAAAAGGTGAAACAAAACCTCTCTCGAAAAAATGTTTTCCTCTAATTTTTTGTCTGTCTCCCCCACCCACATGAGGCCTGAAGTGCATGTATAGTGTCTAACGTCAAATATATACATATTTCTCTAGCACAACATGCCCCAAATTATGTAAATCTGCTTAAAAGCCTACTTTGCATCTTCCACAAAGTATGACTTTAGATTTCATGGTCTTATCCCATTTCTCTTCTCATTAATTTTCAGAATACATATAACAGGAAAACAAAGTGTGTCAACAAAATGCTCACAGCCTGTTATGACAATTCATTAAAAACGTTACAATAATCCAAAGGGTAATATATTTAATGTCAGATTTCAAAGTAGCATAAATGGTGGTGCATTCCCTATGGCTATTTTTTCCTTTGTGCCATGTTGCACTTTCAGCCAAGATGGCAGCAGGCACCATTTTCTAGGAAATCTCCTCTCTGAGCAAATTAAGACCGTTCACTCAAGGCCCCATTACCTTGAGACTCTGACCTTCCCATAACTACGCAGGGCCTTTGTAGAATTAAGATTCCGACAGATGCCCTTGGCATATTTAGAGGGGAGATATTGGGGAATTCCCCATATGGATCGCAAAAGTATACATGGATGCAGTTCGGTAGAGGACATCAAACACTACCTGCTTATTTGGCCCCTGCATACAACGCCTAGAGGAAAATTTATAGCGCCAATTCTTAATTGGCTTCCAGGTTGATTCATGCAAAAAGTGACTGCTGAACTCCTAGCAGATAAACATCTATATATTACACACCAGGTAGCTAGATTTGCACCTGCAGCCAAGAAGTTCTGTTCCACCTATGTGAATGCACTCCAATCTTAAGTCTTAATGTTGTAAATTTCTTTTCATGTTGCAAACTGCTACAGGTTATGTGTATGATTTAAGATGAAAGTTTCCTTTTCTTCTCTGTTGTCCATTGCAAAGGCCTCTGGCTATATACAATAAAAACTGACTGACTGTCCAGTCAGCTTCTTTATATGTGGATTGGAATCGGGCAGCTGTTTTGTGTCTTGCTGTAGGCAGCAAAATGTCTTGGGCTGGGCCTGAAGGCTCTCTGCAGGAACCTCTGCTTCTGATACAGAGAAAACTAAGGCCGTCCTAAAAGTGGTTTTCAGCCAGCAGAATGCTCTTTCTTCATTATCTACTACAATGTCACAATTTAAAATCCTTTTTAGGACGGATCACATATGCAGAGTTGAGAAATGTTGCCCGTTGCTGTGGATGAAAAATGCACACCTCAAAAGTAAACTTAGGAAAGGATAACTTGTGAAAAATGATTCATATAGGAAACACATTATCTGCTAGCAAGAATGTCTTTAGAACACTGTCAAAATAAGCAAGTGCTTTATAATCTTGTTTGCAAATCCTCTACCTGCACGGAAAGTACATACAATCTTCTTAGAAACTTGGTAATTACCTTTGTAGTTAATTCTCTTTTCCCCCACAAGCTTACAAGACACATTTACCCTATAATCTACTGTGTGTAAATGAAAATCTAATTACCCTGTGTCCTGGAAAATTGTGTTATTACATGATAAATCCAAAAGATAATAGCCATACACGGGAGCTATTTTGTAATTGTCATTCTACGGGGTTAAATCATTAGGGCCAAGAACAGCCCGACTGCAGGTGGGTGTAAGCCCTCTGAAGTCCATGTTTGGCCCTTAATGTTTAGTCATAAATTATAGTGACTCCTTCAAGAAAAGAGCAAGAAGCGAACAACAGAAAAGTCCTGTCATAAGTAAGGCTACTTAGGATAGTGAGTGTGTTAGAATGCGGAGTCCTCCTAGCCTCAGCCAGTTCGCTGAGAGATGCTGACTGGTCCCTAAGTTGCCAGCCGATGGGCAAAGGAAACATGGGACCTATTCCAATGAACCTTCCCACAAATATGCATGGAGGAACCAGACCTGTTAGCCCTGCTCCTGACAAATCCATATGCCATGCTTCTTAAGAAGAGGAAGAAGAGTTTGGATTTGATATCCCGCCTTTCACTCCCTTTCAGGAGTCTCAAAGCGGCTAACATTCTCCTTTCCCTTCCTCCCCCACAACAAACACTCTGTGAGGTGAGTGGGGCTGAGACACTTCAAAGAAGTGTGACTGGCCCAAGGTCACCCAGCAGCTGCATGTGGAGGAGCGGAGATGCGAACCCGGTTCCCCAGATTACAAGACTACCGCTCTTAACCACTACACCACACTGGCTTAAGGGCCAAAGGTGCAGTGAAAGGGACCTAAACGTGCACCGCTATGCATGTCCAGGGCTTATCTTTGAGAACTGTTCCCAATTGTAAAGAGTTGTGGTGGACATGTTAAAAAAAAGGCCAAAGGCTTCTGGGAAATGATATATAATGAAATGAAGATGATGTTTAAATGGGCTTTCCCCCCCAAAGACCCGAAGCTTTTCTCATAGGGATAATAGGGATGGACATGCCAAAGAAAATGACCAAATCATTTAGGTACGTGACAACAGAAGCTAGAATGTTATATGCACGGAAATAGAAAGAAGAGAAGGTTCCAACGAAGGGGGAATGGCTTAAAAAAAAAAAAGGACTATGCCGAAAAGGCAAAGTTGACAGCAATATCAAGAGATCGAAATGATGAACTTTTTATAGAAGAATGGAGGGCTTTTCTGGAGCATTTGGAAAAAAAATACTGAAAAAATACAGTCAAATGAGCAGCATTCGAGATAGGGAGCAGTGGGAGAAAAATGATAAAGTAATTGTATTAGACAGATGTCTGTAATAGATAAAGAGTTTGAAAGACAGTGCAGTAGAAAAGGTTTTGAACATAAACACTGTTGAGGCATAGGTGGGAAGTCAATACATGAAACGATGTAACTGTTCCATTTGAAGTTAATTTGTAAAAAAAAAAGGAAATTCATTATAAATTATATTATTCAATAAAAACAATCACAAAGAGTTGTATTTGTGTCTAGCTCTATGCACGATTACTGGAAGGGCATGGCTGGCTTCTGCTAGCAGGGGTGGGTTTTGCCCACTTCTCGTGTTCCCTGAGGCTGTGTGTAGGAAGGTTCATCTGAATAGCTCCTACGTATGTTTCCACCTAAACAGCCCTATGGAGAAAGGGACTTTTTGTCAGTCTGCATTTCTTAGTGCAGAAAGTATTGATCTGATATGTAGAGATCTTTCCCATTTCAAGAGGGTTCTGGAAGCTTCTGTGTGTGAAAGAAACAAGCAGCAGGTTCATGATGTTTGGGTTATTCCTTCAGAGAAGCTGCGTAGAGCTGGCTTAAACTGGTTCTCTTACCCGTCAAGGTCATGCTGACTATAAATGTAAGGCCAGAAGGAGCCTGGGCTTCATCTTTTCTTTCTATCTCTTTTCCTTCAGGTGTAGTGTTCTGTACATGCCATAGCTGTCAACGTTTCCCTTTTTTAAAGGGAAATTCCCTTATTCCGAATAGGATTCCTCACAAGAAAAGGGAAAAGTTGACAGCTATGGTACATGGTATGCTTAGTGTTAAGGTTTAGACTTATTACAAGTTATTGTAAGTTTAAGGTAAGTCTGCTGCAACTGGATTTCTTATGGATAGTGCCAATCCTGAAGGTATTGGATTTGTGATCATTATGCTCCTCTGCCTTCAGTAGCAGTAAAGCTCTGCTGGATAAAATGTAATTGCCTCTGGTCTCTTTTTTGGGAATCCTGCAAAGTGTTCAAGTTGTTACTCTGCTAAATATACATTGGAATCTACCCTGGATCAATACTGAGTAGAATTTCAATGACACTTTTGTGCCAACACAACTGGCCGACAGCCTCTGTTAGGCACTGGGGGCAGGCAAGGTTGGGAAACCAAGCCATCAAACCCATTCCTCACTTTTCAAGCGACTCTCCAGTGGCTGATTCAGAGCTGTAGAGCACAATGATGTACAGGCACAGCATTTCTTTATTTTGTTTTATTAGAAAAATACTATCATTTGTATCGCCCTTGCCCTTCTACCAATATAAACACTCCACTCATCTGAACATTTGTTTCTGAGCATATTAATTTATTGCGCTGAAGAGCTAACCCAAAGACAAAAGGCATGCTGGAAATTATCTGGCTCACTCACCTTTGCTCAGCTGCTGTGCAGAAATACCAGTCTATTTTCGGGGCAGGGTAACCAGCAGCCACACAGTGAAGCATGCCATTGCTAAGCCTGTCTGAAGCAACAATTTCCGGTTTGGCTGAAAATAAAACGGACAGATATACAGTCATTCCTTAGATCTGTTTATGACTGTGCATTCATACTTCGGCCCAAATACTAGAAATATGTTGACAACGTCTGCCAATAAATTAAGCATCTGCCCCCAAGGCAGCGACAAATGCTTTCCCTACAAGTAAGCCCTACTGAACACAGTGCTACTTCTGAGTAAACATGTGTTGGACGTCCAAAAAGAAACATAATATTCATCTTTGGAAATGCCCAGCGTTTTCCCCAGGCATCAAAGCATTTTGCAATGTTTACCCCAGCAAGTCTTGCTAGTTAACAGCACTCGAAGGACAGAACTAGGTGTTCTATGGCCGCTTTGTGTCCTGAAACCATGGGTGCTGCTTCTCTGCAAGATCCACCCCCCTGCCGCCAACATGTTACAAAGAAATCTTGCAAAAAAAGAAGAAGGGGGGAACAACCAAGTCAATCTCAACAGGAATGTAAAGAAGTTAAAACAGGAAGTAGAAAAAAATACCATTGATTTTCATAAACCTATACAGTGGTACCTTGGTTCTCGAATGGCTTGACTCCCGAACAAATCGGCTCCCACACGCCGCAAAACCAGAAGTAAGTGTTCCGGTTTGCAAACATTTTTTGGAAGCCAAATGTCCGACGTGGCTTCTGCTTGACTGCAGGAATCTCCTGCAGCCAATCGGAAGCCACACCTTGGTTTTCAAACCGTTTCGGGAGTCGAACGGACTCCCAGAATGGATTAAGTTCGAGAATCAAGGTACCACTGTATAGTCTTCCCGCAGGTTCATATTGGTCTCAAGTTGACCTCTTGTTTCTACTCGAAACTGAGGTGTTGGGAAAAAGGCTGATGCTTGAGGCTACTAATTATGTCCAGTATTTAGCATGAGTAGAGCTAAGGTACCTTAAAGAGATTTCAGGGCAACTGCTCAACTGCTTTTTACAAAGAGGCATCCCGTGAAGTGAAATGAAGATTACGGGCTTGCTATGCTGTTACATACCTAACGTAAGTTTCTCCGTTGATTAAGGTTTGTGGCCTTCTGCTTCCTTTTCCAAGACATGACACTTTCTTTTATTACATTTAAGAAATCGCAGCACTGCTGCATTTAAAAGATTATTATCAGAGCCCATGGGGAAGACAGCAGCAATAAATAGGATTTACAGACATTTGTTCTAGCTGTCTTTGAAAAGGCATCCGAAGAACAGGTACACCAAGGAAAAGACTTTTGACAAAACTTTTCCATAACATCCTGTAAGGATTTACTTAATGGAGGACCTGGACAGCTCTAGCAGGAACTGAGGCCAATGCAATTTTGACAGTCCCACTCATTCCAAATCCTCAAGTGCAAAACAAAGACTTCGACTTTGGGAGCACTCAGAGTAATGCTTGCAAAAGCCCCGGGTTTTTGAGAGCGTTCAGTTCAAATACTCGCCGAAAGCCCAGAGGATGCTAGCAAAGTGCACTTTGCTACTGCCTCCCTTTCCCTCTCAAAAGCTGAGACTCTTACTGGCATCAGAGGGAAGGTTATGGTAGCAGTGAGATTCTTCCTGGGCCCTGTTGGAACATCTTCATTGGGCCAGGATACCTAAAAGGTTGCCTCTTTGCCTACTCAACCCTGTACCCAAGTGATTACTGCATTCTGCAGCAGAGGGCGTTCTGTAGACTACTGGCCCCAGAATCTCTGTTTCTGTCAATTCCAAAGGGAAAAGGCCCTTCAACATAGCCCCATCCTCTGTGGGGGAAAACCACTGCCTGTGCTTGAGAGAACCCACTGCAACCCACTGCTCTGCTGAAGGAAGGTTAATTAAGTCTTATGGACAGAGAAAGGAGGAGGAGGCAGCAGAAGCGCTTGAAGCACTGAGGGGATCAGAGCAGCCTGCTCAAATGCTGTAGCAGACTAACGGCATATGCTATGGGCCAGGAGATCTCCAGCACAACTCTCAACCATGAATTCATCCATAAGCCACTGTCTGAGCCAATGCATGCCAAGCACACACTCAAGGGAAGTGTTCTTGCCTCCATGGAGGTTACAAATTCACAAACGTATTTTTAAAACTATAGTCGAGACGCAACAGATCAGCTCTTTACCAAGTGTATAACTTCTAAACAATTGGATGATTTATACGTCTTGAGATTATGCATGGAGGGGCCTTAGCTTCTGTGTGTATTATGTTACAGGAACTGAAAATCCTTCTTCCCCTCTGTATTTGCATGCAACACTTCAGTCAAAATAGCAAACCAACCAACCCTTTTGCAAAATCGCCAGGCTGGATTCGCAACATGACTCAACTGAGTGCCGAACTCGCCGGTCATGCACATCCTGGTCAGAGGGAGCGTCAGGGGGAAAAACAGCTTCAGGCAAGAGAAGAGCTCTCTTATTTATTCAACTCCCAAGCAATCGCATTCATGAATACTGTTCCTCGCAGCCCCCATCATGCCTAAGATACTTGACTGTTCACTGGATTTTGCAGCCTGATCTTACGCTGCGTTGGGAACACAAGTTTACAGAGCGACATCTAAAACTGCCTGCCCTTGACAACGGTTTGGGAACTTCAGCCAGCGCCTCCTAAATGCCAAGGAGCTACTGGGCTAAATTCAGGGTGCACTGCTGTACAAAGCACTAGGCAGCTTGGGTCCAGGATACCTAAAAGGTTGCCTCTTTGCCTACTCAACCCCGTACCCAAGTGATTCCTGCATTCTGCAGCAGAGGGCATTTTGTAGATACTAACCTTAGTGGGGTAGGAGAGCTGGGGGGGGGGGGAATTCACATCTGGCAACCAATGCACCCCTTTGGTTTCAGATAGGGCATAGGCAGATGAGTCTAAAAAGTCTGGGACACAAATTTTAACGGCCCTGGATTATTTACCAGAAGTAATGTATTTACAGTGGTACCTCTGGTTAAGTGCTTAATTCGTTCCGGAGGTCCGTTCTTAACCTGAAACTGTTCTTAACCTGAAGCACCACTTTAGCTAATGGGGCCTCCTGCTGCCACCGCACCGCCGGAGCACGATTTCTGTTCTCATCCTGAAGCAAATTTCTTAACCTGATGCACTATTTCTGGGTTAGCGGAGTCTGTAACCTGAAGCGTATGTAACCCGAGATACCACTGTTGTGTTAACTCTAAGTGTATACTCGATACCAGAAGTAATGTATTTAGTCTTAACTCTAAGTGTATACTCAATACCAGAAGTAATGTCTTTAGTGTTAGCTCTAAGTGTATACTCGATTCTGTCAGAACTTAGCACCCTAATGTATATTTTGCTCCACACCCCTCAGATTACAACAGAATAAAGCCACCCTCTCTCCCAGGATCCCAACCTGGCTCATGCTACCCACCCTCCTATTTACCTTTTAAAAAGCCACTGAAATATTGCTAATTGCATGCATAGCATCTCATCCAGTTTGCTCCTTAGTTCCAATGAAAAGCTGATGCAGACACGCCTTAAGGCTATGAATCCTTGATTCAGTTATGCAGCGTACTTGGCTTGAAACTGACGTGAGACCCGTTTTCATCTATGGGACTAAACAAACTCAAAACCTAGGTATTCCCTTCACTACTTCTTTTTCATTTGCAACTAGCCTTGGTAACATAACATGCACACAGACATCTGAGATGCCAAGTCAATTAAGACAGAATATATATGGATTGAAGGAGGCTGCCGGAACTGAATGTTTAACTACTATGTTGAGGTCTGCTGTGTTTCACACACGTGGTGTGTGCCTATTTTAAAATTAGTTTTATGTCCTCTATTCCTACCACCAGGATCCAGGTACGACTGAACAAGTCACTGACTGCAACACAGTCCACTTTCAGATACCATTCTACCCAAAAGCAGCTGCAGCCATTACTTGATACATAATGAATGTACCTATCTGCATAAGGACTGAGGGCCAAGTTCTGTTTGGCTCTCCTGTCTGTGGAACTGTCACCAAAGTTAATGGGTGTTCTGCAAATATATTCCCAGAAAACAGTTTCAACTGTTTATTCATTGGGCTTTTGGCAGCAAATATGGATTTCAAATAATTACAGAACTGGATGTATTTTCAGGATGAAAAGTCTTCCAAAGTTTAGAATACATTTTTAAATGCCTCATTAAAATTACTTATTGAAGAGCCACCCCTTCAGATTTGTTGGTCCTGGGGTGAAAGAGATGAGCCAAGGGAGTTTTGTTTAAGATTACTCAATTCATTTTCAGTCTCTTGATTCATTCCTGGGTATGTAAACAAACTGGAGGATGAAATGAGTTCAGGATTTGTTGAAATGAGTTCGGCTGGAATTGTAAAGGTCACCTCTCCTTTGAGGTGGGCTTTTATATGCCCCTGAAATCAAGTTTCCAAGCCCAACCAAACTCAAGAGACTTTTACCAGTATCTCCAGTTGCTTTTGTGTTGACTCAGAGAACGCTGGGGTGAACTCTGTTCCTGCCTCTGCTCATTTCTGAGCTACATATAAGGTTTGGCCACGGCTTCTATTCGTGATGCGAGCACGAACGACATAAGGGGACCAGACACTCATCAGTGGGTTAAACCAGGTCTACAACTTTATTAAACAAAACCAGCTAATTGTTTTAATCTTTCATAGTTTTGCACCCACTTGCCAAGCCATAAAAGCCATTTTAATCCTTCGTCAACCACTTTGGGTAAATAAATATTTTAAGCATAGGAATTGTGTGGTTCTGTTAACACCCCTAAGCGAGTAAAATAATATTAGCATCTCTTATTTATTGATAAGCAGGATAATGTTGCTGTTAGCAATTGTACCCATTGCAAAAAAAATGTCGTCCCTCTGTTCTAATTAATCAGCATCCCGTACCAATGCTGCCGAAAGTCTAAACTGGGTTAACAGTGCAGAAGAAGCAAAAAACCTTAATTCCTCCAGTGCCAACATAGCTGGCAGACCAAAAAGTAAAAAAAATGAAAAACTCCTATACTGTCACCAAAGGGTGGGTGGATGGATACTGAACATGGGCTGGCTGGAGAGAGACATATATAATGACTCTTTTCCAAGATGGCATCTGCTAAACAAGACATGCAACTTCATGTCCAGTGGGTCCAGCGTCAGGTGTAACCCTGCTTGAACAGTTCCACATTGGGCAGATAGAGTAGCTATTTGCCAGAGGGGCAGCACCACAAACCTGGTCTCCTAGCAGTGACATCACTGCCATATACTGAGATGGTGTGGGTGCAAGGGCACAGGCAAGGTTGGGGTGGCTTGGGTGCAATGACGGGAGCATTGGATTGGCTGGGCTGCATCGTCCACACCTTACCACCACCCTGAAATGCTCTGCAGTGGTGATGGCCCTGCCAGGAGGCCAGGTCCACTCCACCCACCCTCTCCTCTGGTTGCTCCTAGCTGTCACATGAGAGCAGAAGCTTCTGGTGCAACCTTCTGCACCAACCAATGTGCCTCTCTGTGTGCTGCAAACTGGAGTGGCAATGGCACATCCGGTCTTACTATCCAATGTACACACCGAAGTTGTCAGCCCCACGGTGCATAGCTCTGGGCCTGTGGGTGACAAATTCCTCTCCAGAGTGCGATGGTGAGAATGTACATATTGCCACCGTGCAATCTTAAATATTTATTTGCCTCTAGTAATTAGGAGGGAGAAGGAAACTGGCAATAAAAGCAATGCAAATTGACTCAATGGTGCTGAAGTGACGACTACGGAGATGCAAAAGTAGGAAAGTAACTTCTTTAAGCTCTCTTCAACCGTGCTCGGAATCTGCCTTGCTGGTAGCTCAATAGCACTTAATAAACTAATGAAATTAGAGATTTAAAGCACTTTATGGCTGATTATTGACAAGAGGATGGAACTATGCAAAACAGCTTAATGAAATGTTCAATAATTAATTTGTTGCAGCTGAAGCAGTGAGCAATACATAGCCGTTAGCCTCATTGTTGTTTTTTTCCTGATATTGGGGATAATTAAAAACAGTGGAGTGAATCAAGCCAGTCCCTGTAAAAAATTAAAAAAAAAAAAAATGCTCCCAGAATGAGGCTGTGAGAGTAGGGAGTGTCATTTTAGAGGGTGAAACTTAGTTTTTGCAGATTTCTTCAGCGAGGGGTCTTAAAAACATGTTTTTGAGTGTGAGGAATTCAAATCTGCTTTTATTTTTGTGACTGGACAACATTTCGCTTGGTAAGTCTATGTTTGATGAAGAAGCACATAAACTGCTTTTGGGAAACCAAATAATTTTACCTTCTGAAAATGTCAGATAATGCTAAATAATAAAAATAATATTGGTAGAAAAATATTTGTAAGTACTTGGCAACCATTTTGAATTATTTCTATGCAATTTTACACACATTCTACTTACCAAGCAAAACTAAACTGTATTAATTTAATCTCTGCCCACACTTGCTAGCACTGGTCCATGTTTGGATCGATGTTTCATTACATCCCTTTCGCTATATTTGATGATGTCATCAGCAGAGGAAGAAAAGCAAGAAGAAGAGGAGGACGAGGACGAGGAGGGGATTCTAGGACTTGGGCTAGCAGTAATATTCAAAAATCTGCTCACCCGTGTAGATTTCTAATAATGGTGGGGTACTCGCTATGTCTTAGACCAGTGGTTCTCAAAGGCTGTGGCACACCACCCTGGCGTGGCAGGAAAGGAGGGCAAATGTGACAGGAAGATTCAATATGAAAGATCAGAAAACAGAAAGGCTTCTTTGTGCTCATGAGAAGATGAGAGTTTGCTTGTCTCAAATTAGACCTAATATAAATGAGATTACCTAGCAAAAGCAAGCTCACGCCTCTCATCGAGCTTACATATATACTTACGGTACATGTGCAAGAAGCTTGTTTATCATTATATTTTTGGAATGATTCATGTTCTTCTGTACCTGCATTGTTTTATACTTTCTGGATATCCCACGACCATATCATACAGCAGTTCTATGTTATAAATTAAACACTGCTGGTTGTTTCTCCCCTCTCCCCAAAGTATTTCAATAATATTTTTTTTAAATGGCATGGTGCGAGCAAATTTTTATTCTGAAAGTGTGGCCCAGAGGGAAAAAAGTTTGAGAACCACTAACCTCCCCCACAAGACTGAAGTCAAAATGATATAATCCAGTCCTTGGTTGGAGCCTGGGATACAAAGGTGATAATGAACACCAAATATGTGTATATGGGCTGTGTGCACTCTGAAACTGGCTATGATACAAGTGCACCAAGTAATCCTTCCTTAATTTACACGTTGATTCTAAAACCCTGTCAGTCAGAAGAAGCAAGGCAGCTGCACAGGAGAGAGAGACAGCTGCAACCTACAAAAACCTTTCAGACCATGTAAGTCTTGCCGGCTGAGAACAGACAGTAGGGTGGTATTCAGCTAAGATGTACTCCGAACAGACCTGCTGAAATTAAGGAAATGTGACTAAGTTAGGTCCACTCATTTCAATGGGACTACTCTTGGTGGCTTCTGTTTCAGTGTATCTGAAGAAGTGTGCATGCACACGAAAGCTTATACCCAGAACAAACTTAAGTCTCTAAGGTGCTACTGGACAATTTTTTAAATTTATTTTGACAGTGTCAGACCAACACGGCTACTTACCTGAATTTGTTGAACACAGCGCACCATACCATTTCTGAGACTTTTAATCTGCCTACACACTATATCTGTTAAACTCACACATTTATCTCAAAGAATTCTGGGCACTGTAGTTTAGCCCTCACAGAGTTACAATTCCCAGCATCACTTGACAAACTACAGTGCCCAGAATTCTTTGAGAGAGGGGAATATGATTCAAATGTTTTATAGAGTTATATTGTATATGCAGAGATTGGCATATTTGCTAACATTAAGTATCTTATTCTGACAGCAGAACTAGGTTAGCTGGTTGTTTGTTTTAAGTAACCTAGTAGTAGTCCACTACATTTCTGCCAAATATGTAGGTGGGGGAGGAATAATGTTTTCTGAATTTTGAAGGCCTTATAGCTTATAAAGTATTTAGTCTAAGCTCAGGAAAACTTGTCCCTTGAAAATGAATGAGATATACAGTTGATTCAAGGCAGGGATACCTAATGCGACCCCCTTCCAGAAGCTGTTGGAATACAGCTCCCTTCAGCCCCTGCCAGCATGTCCAATGGCTGTAGAGTTGACTACAATTGTAGTCTAGCAACACCTAGAAGGCACCACATTAGCTACCCAATTTGAGGTATCCTATGCAGCAGTATCAGCATCTTAAAAAGCAAAAAGCAGAGACATCACCTTACCAACAAAGGTCCGTATAGTTAAAGCTATGGTTTTCCCAGTAGTGATGTATGGAAGTGAGAGCTGGACCATAAAGAAGGCTGATCGCCGAAGAATTGATGCTTTTGAATTATGGTGCTGGAGGAGACTCTTGAGAGTCCCATGGACTGCAAGAAGATCAAACGTATCCATTCTTAAGGAAATCAGCCCTGAGTGCTCACTGGAAGGACAGATTGTGAAGCTGAGGCTCTAATACTTTGGCCACCTCATGAGAAGAGAAGACTCCCTGGAAAAGACCCTGATGTTGGGAAAGATTGAGGGCACAAGAAGAAGGGGACGACAGAGGACGAGATGGTTGGACAGTGTTCTCGAAGCTACAAACATGAGTCTGACCAAACTGCGGGAGGCAGTGGAAGACAGGAGTGCCTGGCGTGCTCTGGTCCCTGGGGTCACGAAGAGTCGGACACAACTAAACGACTAAACAACAACAACAACAATGCAGCAGTATATATTTATGAATGTTGAACTTTTTTTTTTACATTTATAGGGCTAGTCAAGATTTACTCAGTACTTGGCAAACCAGAAAACAGTCTTAAGAAACAATGCACACTCTTTTCGGTTTTCCCTTCCCTTTCCTATGGTATCCCTAAAACCGCAGTTTGAAACCATGGTCTGCAAACCACCACTCTGAGAGAACATGACTGGCTAGCTAGACAATGGTTAATGTAAAGAAGTGGAGATAGAGGAGAATCGAAAACCAGAGTTTGGAGAGAACACTGCCGGCATGGAAAACTAAAAACACGTTTAATGCCAAGAAGGGGAAAGAGGAGGGGTTGTTCTTGAGATGAGAGAAAGGAAAGAGCGCTCACACCTGGGGCTAGCTCCCAATTTGCAAAACCATGTTTTACAAGGTGCCCATTAATCACTGTGATGCCTTGCATGTACAATGTGTTTTGCTAAATGCAGTGAACTGTGATAAAGAAATATTGCAGACTGCTCCTTTCTACTTACTGTTCACATAGACATTAAATGCTATAGAGGAGTTGGCATCTGAGTTGGACACAAAAAATGTGTATACGCCTCCTTCTGTTCCCTTCAGTCGAGTAAGGTGAAGCTCACTGGAATACCTACAGGAGGAGGAAGCAATTTAGTATTATTACTCATATTACTCACAGTGCAAACAGAAAGGCCAGTCGCTATCCTGAGACATTTTAAAAAACTAAACAGGTTGTGCTTACACGTGGAATCTTAAAACCACCAAGGACACCAATCCGGTCTGCTTGTTCCTCTTGGACAACCACACTTTGCCAAAGGCAACAGAAGGCTGCTTGAAGGCTCCTGAATCGGAAGACCATCGCTTCTGCACTCTGGTACAGATGCATATGCAAATCTCAGTGCCAGGCAGTTTCATACTGCATGGCTATGTGAATTTTGCATCCTATTCAAGATGGAGCTCACTGGGTGGTCTTCAAATAGTCACTTTATATCAACAGTTGTTGTTTCTCAGACTAACTTTTCCGAGAGATGTTGGGTAGCTAAGATGACACTAAGATTGATATCCAAAGTGCATTTCCCTGGTAGCAAGCCTCATTGAACACAGTAATACTTACTTCAAAATAAACTTATGTAAAGGTAAAGGACCCCTGGATGGCTAAGTCCAGTCAAAGTTGACTATGGGGTGTGGTCTCATCCACTTTTTAAGCTGAGGGAGCTGGTGTTTGTCCACAGACAGCTTTCCAGATCATGTGGCTAGCATGATTAAACAGCTTCTGGTGCAACAGGACACTGTGACGAGTGCCAGAGCGCACCGAAATGCTGTTTACCTTTCCGCCACAGCAGTATCTATTTACTTGCGCTGGTATGCTTTCGAACTGCTAGGCTGGCAGGAGCTGGGATAGAGCAACAGGAGCTCACCCTGTTGCATGGATTCTAACCACTGACCTTCTGATCAGCAAGCCCAAGAGGCTCAGTGGTTTAGACCACAGTGCCACCCGCGTCCCTTCAAACATGTAGGATCACACAATAAACACTCTTTGGATCCAAGGTGGGACAGAAACGCATCTAGTAACACCCATTGGCGATTTAGCAAAGCTAGGCACTGCTGTGTTGGATTTATTTGCTATTTGTTACTATTTGCTTTAGAAACCTTGCCCTCTAATTGATTGAATTCAATTTATATCCCAAAGCAGGCCAGGCAGCATTTTCACCATCATTTCAAGCTTTTCCTGAGGTAAATGTAGGCTTGTACCCATCAACCTGGCTATGGCAAATTACTTATTTTCTCTCTCAGCTCTGGTAGGTACACCTTATGCCTGATGGGAGTTATCAAAATGTGTCCTTAAGCAGAAGGCTGTGTCTCCCCAACTCTGGAAGAGAGTTGATGCTTGGAATCTTCAGGCTATAATGACAGTATGGCAGCTCACTCTGCCCAGGATCAGAGGTTGGCACAGCTGCTAACTGTCCAAGCCCTGAGGACCCACCACTGACCCCAAAGGCCATCTGCAGCAATCCAGGCCCTGCAGTTGTCTCAAGACGAGGCAAGGGAAACTTACCAGCCACTGAGCACCAGAGCCTAAGTGGTTGTGGCTGGGACCCTTTTAAACCAACTCCACACACACATTGCCTCTGTGGTCCTGATGTGACACTGGTCCTGATAAAGGCTATGTTGGGGCCCCAGAAGCATTGTGGAAGGATAGACGTGGTGGCAGCAACAGCACGATGACTTGACTGGCTTTCCTGCTGCTGCAGCAGCTGCCTGCCATGGTTAAGACCATGAGTAGGCAACCTAAGGCCCGGGGGCCAGATCCGGCCCAATCGCCTTCTAAATCCGGCCCACGGACGGTCTGGGAATCAGCGTGTTTTTATATGAGTAGAATGTGTCTTTTTATTTAAAATGCATCTCTGGATTATTTGTGGGGCCTGCCTGGTGTTTTTACATGAGTAGATTGTGTGCTTTTATTAAAATGCATCTCTGGGTTATTTGTGGGGCATAGGTGTAATAAATGTAGGGGTTGCTCGTGCGTAAGTTGGTGCCACTCCTGGCTAGGTTGCCTTGTTAAACTTTTCTGTCTGGACAGCCCCTGCACTTCGTGGCTGCTCAGTCACTGGCAGAATCCGTCAGTGGGCGTTTCTTAAACCTTTTCCAGCATAAAAGTTGTTTGACTCCAAGTCTCCTCCTACTCTCCCTGCGCGGAAGTCTTCTGCGCAGGGAGGGCGTGGGTAGTGGAGGACCCGTGCTCTCCTCGCTGATCTCCGGCGAGGAGTCCTGGAGCCCCCTCGCCGATTCCCCCATCTGCCCCCCTTTATCCCTGGTGTTACGCTGATTTCTTTCCCCAGATGGTGAGCTGCCTCTGCCCCTGCTGGGCCCTTCTCCAGCATCGCTCGAGAGCCTAGCCTCCGCCTCTGGCTCCGATGTCAGTTCCCTGACAATAGGAATTCGTTCATTTTTTTCCCCAAAATATAGTCCCCCCCACAAGGTCTAAGGGACAGTGGACCGGCCCCCTGCTGAAAAGGTTTGCTGACCCCTGGTTAAGACCAATGGAAGAAGAGGATCCAGCAAGCTGAGAAAGCGGTAGAAGTCCAGCAAACAAGCCTAAGCACTGGGTTTGATCATTAGGTTTAGTGGTCACTGGTCAGTAAGTTAAGTAGGAAATCCCCGAAACATACTTTCCTGTACATCATATTGAAAGGCAGCTGGGAATTGTCAGAATGATTTAGGGTGCTCTTCCCTCCCCAGAAAAGGGGTAGATCCCAGCAGCTTTGTCAAAGCATGCTTCTCTGCAATGTATTACATTACCTGTTTTTGTCTATGTTTGTGACCCGCACATAATGATCGGATGAATTTTGCAAGGTTTCATTCATGTACATCCATACTTCTTCTTCTGGCTTTGGATATGCCTCATACGACACGATTAAATCCAGGTTTTCTCCATCATTTACATTTACTGTTGTGTTTGCCGAAGTTGATAAATTGACATATCCTTTACCTGGTGGTTGTCATACGGAAAGATAAAAGTAATAATAATTATCTGGGTTTCTTTAAAACCACGTATAATTAAACCAAGGTCAGCAGAGAATAAGCAAACTTTACTGACAAGTATGGTAGAAATTGCAACCTGTGGAAAAGCAGGTCTTATCAGCTAAATGCAAGACTGAGCGTCAATGACATTTTACTGAGTGAGGTGAACAATTATGCTTCACAAAAGGATCCTGAACTTCTGTACAGGCATTTTGCATGACAGGCCTAGATGTAGCCACTGAGTGGGACATGAAAGTCCATGGGACGTTATTTATTTACTTATGCATTTCTTGTATTTAATTTATATCCTACCCCTTGAAAAATATACAAGACCTCAAGGCAGCCCACAGCACAAAATGTCATAAGAATACAACCAATGTAAATATAAAACAGTAAATAATAAACACACCTACAACACTAACATGAGTCATCAGTAAAATGAGCTATGCAATAGTACAAATAAACAGAAAGCTTCTTGAAACAGTTATCTTGTTTTGCCATTAATGTTGCTTTATATGTCAAACTTTAATTGTACATTTATATTTTATTTTTCCACATATTTTTAAGTTTAGAATATTTTATTTTCCTGTTTATTCCACCGCTTTAAATATGGAACTTTATTGTACTCAGTATCTGAGTTTCATTCGTCATGTTTTATGCTGATATTTTGTAATATTCTATTTGATGTTTTTAATTTGATGTTATGATCCGCTTTGATTTTTTTTTTAGAAAATGTAAAGCGGGTTATAAATGCTTTAAATAAAATAAGATGCTCTTGGGCCAATAGGACTTTATAAGTGAGAACCAGCAACTTGCATTGCATCCAGCAATCAATAAATCTCTTTCTGCCCAGGTGTCCCATCCTATTTCTGGGACAGTGCCCACAAGTGTTTGCAGCTGATAATGAATTCGGTCCGGTAGAATATCCACAGAATCAAGAGATGCTGCAATGTAACAGCTAGGTTTTATTCATTTTGTGTGTGAAATTAAAAGGTCTACGAAGCGGAGTGGTGGTGGTGGAGGAGGAGGGGTACCCACCCTTTTCGCCAATTACGGATAAAGACATGTTCAGAATACTCCTGCTAATTACAGTACATGAATATGCTCCTAATCAGTTTAGCACTTATGGTAATTTTAATATTTAAAAAGTACTACATGTCACTGCAATCCCACACTCTGGGCTGCTTTTCAGGAAAGTATGTTAATAAACAGGGCAATGTAAGCACCTTTGGTGGCTGGTTGGCAGAACTCATCTAGAGTTCATGAGACACAATGGATCAGGCTTTTTAGAGGGCTCTGGAAATCAAACCTTTCATGCTAAAATGTACTTTTTGGGAACACTCCAGCACACTTTGGGGAGCAGCTTCTCTCTCATATGGTCAATTACCAGATGGGAACTTGTTTCCTGCGTTTTCCATTTGCAGAGTAAAAAAATCTGCTAATGTATAGAAACTGAATCGTCTCTGCTGCAGTGCCCATTTTACCAGGTTAGCCTTTCAAAAATTGCTACCAAGTCCAGCCACTGTATACTCTTTGCGAAAACCCTTTCAGACAAAAAGTCACACTGAGTTCAATGGGACGTACTCTCAGATAAGCGTGTACAGAATTTCAGCCTAAGTACATAACATGCAAAGGCTGGTACGTAACTATTTTATGTGTGTTGCCTTTGGTGGAGAGATTTATAAATGCAATCAATCAATCAATCAATCAATCAATCAATCAATCCCCCATTCTGTAATGTTACTCAGTGCACTTTACATAAAGATGCAACATGGTTGCAATTCTATACTCTGACATAGTAGCGTAGTTCATGTATAAGGTGAAAAAACCTTGGTTATAGCTCGCTTGCTGGAGCAAGACAAACCATGAACCCAGGTTTAGACATAATGCTAAGCCAAACCATGAGTTTGTCCTGGGTACCGGATCAGCAGCAAGACCATGGGAGAGGTGCTGCATCCATGATGTTTGGTTCAGGAACCCCCATGTTCTCTCAATCACACCAAGTTATGTTTTGACTTAAGTGTTATGTCTGAATCAGGTCGATGTACTACAGGAGAGCCTATAGCAGTGTGCAATTCAAAAAATGGTTTACACGATGCTACTTGGTCATCTACGGCAAATGAAGCTTTGTGAGAGTAGGAATGCATTACTGGATCACAGCCATATACCTTTGCAGTGCCAAACCCATTTACAGCACAGAGAGGGAGTAAGGCCATAGATTTTTTTCACATGTCGACTGAGGACTGACTGACACACTGGCCGAGGTTGACTAACCAAAAGATAAACTAAAGGTCAGGGAAAAGATGGATGAAAAGATAATGGATGAAATCCACAATTTCCAGAAACAATCCCTCTGACTTCGAGGAGACGTGGAAAAATTAGAATACCTGGGTTTGTGGATTGCGGGCTGTTGTAGCATGTAATGCCAAAAGTAGTTATGCTAGCTTACTGGTAGGTGGATCACTGTTGCCTACTGGGGGAGAGAGAAGTGAAGTGGTGGGAAAGCTGGTGTGGTGCACATGCACTGGCAGGAGCACCAAACTGGTTCCACTGGTGCATTTGCACTGCCCCAACCTTCCTGTCCACTCCTGGTGAGCAACAGAGACCCATCTGCTGGCAAGCAAGCATAGCAGCTCTGCCCCAACTGCTGAGTCACGTCCATGTAATGCTTCTTCTTAACCTGCATAGGCAGGCATGGGGCCCAAAACTACTGAAGCTAGAATACCTTCCTTATAAATAGCATAGAGGCTATGACTTAAGAGAAATCAGACTGTACAATGACTGAGGGTGCTGCATTCCTACAACGCACATGCATAATATGCTTGTGAATGTCCCAGTTCTTAATTAGGGCACCACTAAGGGTCTGTGTGGCTAGGTTCTCCTTTGAAAGCAGCAGTACTCTTGCTGAAGGACAGAAACACTTCCTACACTCACAAGTTGTGTCTTAGGCCCAGTTCACACTTTGCATCTTGCAGAACAGGTGCACCCCCGTAAGACATTCTTATGAGGTCAGGGAACTAGGCTGCAATGGCAAGATAAACAAGAACAGCTCACACAGGTCCGCAGTCCCACAATGAAGGGGTGTGAATGCATGGATGCATGTGAGTCATGCAGGAAGGGTCAACTGAATGGGCCTTTCCTATGGATTAGCATCCTTCTGCCAGGAAGGTGCTGATGCTGTGAGAAGGGTCTATACGATCAACCATGCCATCACATTATTTGTATTGTGCCATCTGGGTGTACACACAAAGGACATCCTAGTGGCTTCTTAAAGGGGTGGTAACCACATATGGAAACCCAAGGCTGCTCTCTTTTGTTGACCAGGAGCAGGACTTTCTGTTTCCACATGCTAGTGCACCTGTTTTCACATTGTGATGTACACACATTGCAAAACTTGCTATTTGATTTTTGGCATAACATAATACAGTATTATATATATCTATATATTTCCAACCATCTCAGCCTGTATGTTATATTCTCCCCATGGCACAGACATCTTTTATATCTGCAGTATTACTATTTACCTAGTACTTTCAAGGTTATAGTGGAATTGATTGTTCCAAAAGTGTTTCTTCCTTGGCACACAAATGTTCCAGAATCATTAACTCCCACTGAACTGATGTTCAGCTTTAATTTCTTTTCATATCCATAAGTGCCCGTATTCCTGCTTCTCCCTGTAACAGTCTGTCGGCAAGGGGGAGAGAAAAAAATTAACATCCAAGATACAGTGTATACAGCATCTTTCCTAGATAAATTAAAAATAGATGTAATTATAACTTTGCCATATTAATATTCATAACTTAAAACCAGAATAATAAGCCATCATGACAAACCTGTCACTGGAACCTCTCCATACAAAACAACTACGTTCTCAGAGCTCTCTTTAAAAAAAGCTGAACTCACTTCCCCCACCACCACCCCTTTTTTTCCTTTTCTTATTTCCTTTCTTCAGATCCACTCCTACATTCTTGGTAGTCTGCCTTCTAATTAGGAGACGCTGTAGACTCTTCCCAGTCTTACCTCAGCAGCACGAAAGGCATTACAAAAGCTTGTCTTTTTGCAATGCTGTTTCAATACACTGGGGGAACATGGGTCATGCGGTAGGGGTGGAGCCTACAACACCACTCTTTCTCAGCACTGAGATGACATAGCCCCAGTTCCCAGAAACACTGCTTTGGTAAGTTGCCGTATCAATGTCTCCTCCCATGTGGTCCAGAGACATTACAGTGGTTCTTTCATCACCACTGAGGTGGCACTGGAGGGATTTCAGTCTTGGCCTGGCAAATTTCCACATCAGGGAAACCTGGATCTCCAACAATTGAAATTTTTGGTCATGTAATTCTGGTCCACCGGCCACTGGTTGGCAGTAACCAGGGTCAGAATTGGGCACCAACGACTTGCTTGATTAACCATCACCGTGGCAGCAGAGAATGCATCTTCTGGCCAAGGGAGGGAGCATCCATTTTTGAGACCGACTCCTGGTTTCCTAACCACATTTAGCAGGGAATCTGTGTTACCAGCCCACAGCTAAATGCCAATACTCTTTCATCTCTCATTCCATATTTAGCAGACTGACTCCTCTAACACTATTTCTTAAAAAGCATCAACCCTTCCCCAGTATTTCAGCAGCTTTTAATTCATGCAAATGTGGGGCGGGGAAACAGAATGAACAAACAAAACTAAAGAATATGAATCCGAGTACATACGAAAACAAGCTTTTGTATGAAAAATTTATAATGCTCTTGGAACTGTCCCAGATCTCCCATCTGCAGGTCCCATATTTGACCGCATGCTGCTGAGGCTCAATTCACCCTTGGAGTGGGCGAGTTGCGATTTGCCAACAGATAAGCACTTAAGAGTCAGCAGCTCTGCTGAGAATGGGCTCCAGGGACAGATTACCCAGGACGTATCCCCCCCCCCCCGAAGGCTGTGCGATTTATCTAGCATTACAGTGCTGCCCTAGTCCTTTTCTGGGTACACATGAATCACTGATTATATATTCTAATCACTGCCATTAACAGTTGACAATTAACCGTGGGATTGTACTCAGCAAGGTTAGACGTGACCTTCTAAGAAGTTTTCCATGCATGCTTAAATTACAAGATATGCCACTACCAGTGATTCAGAGCAGAGTGGGAGTTACCCAAAATAAAATAAAAATCAATTTCACATAGGTAAGGGACCTAGCAGCACTGGGACCAAATCCCTTGGATGACTCTTCCTGGCCTGCTTGTTTTACTGTCTCTGGCCTACTTGTTGCTCATCGACTTCTTACTCATGATGACCAAGCTCAAATTGGAATTGGGCTCAGTTAACAAAGCAATATCCCCTTAAAAATCAGAAAACAGGTCAGTAATTTTTCAGCCCCAAAGAGCTTTTTGGGACCTTCATTAGACACACCCAACAATTGTTATCAGGAACATTATGGGGTTGGAATTCCTGCTATGAATCCCCATGAGCCTCAATCCCACCATATATTCTTAGCTGGCCGCTGCTGGAGTTATAGGTAGCTCTACTGTCCCCTGGCATTTGGGTGTTTGTTACACAGGCCAACTCTTCTACCATGAAGGGGGAATTGTTGTTGTTTACAACATTACAGTCATACCTCGGGTTGAAGTTGCTTCAGGTTGAGCGCTTTCGGGTTGCGCTCCGCGGCGACCCGGAAGTAACAGAACGCATTACTTTCGGGTTTCGCCGCTCGCGCATGTGCAGATGGCCAAAATGACGTCACGCGCATGCATGGAAGCAGCGAATCACAACCTGCGCACGCGCGTTTGCTTCAGGATGCAAACAGGGCTCTGGAACGGATCCCATTCGTATCCAGAGGTACCACTTTATGCATTTTCATGTTTTTATATTGTAAATCACCCCTGTGGTATTTAGGTGAAGGGTGGTATGGAAATTTAAAAAATAGAATAGGAATAAACACCACCACAGCCAGGTAATAGTAGCAGCAGGACAAAAGGAACAGCCACAGGCAAACGGGTCCCAGGGGAGTGAATAAATGTATGTGTGTGTGAAGGATTGAAGAGCTCTGGAGGCTGAGATTCGGATTACGAATCAGTGAGATCTGTGATTCCTTGCCAAAGAACTGTGAACTTCAGAGGCATTGTGACTTGACATCCAGACCTTTCATGCGGTAGTAGTGCTGCTTTAGATGTTCAGGCTCCTCTCATGTGTCTGGCTTTCTCAAATTAAAGCCTGACCTACTTTTCTGCGTTGTTGCTCTTTGGTAAAGTCACGAGCACATTCAACAGCAGCCTGCAGTCTTTGCTTGACTTCAAAAAGTTCTTGGCTGGGAACCTCTATGCATTTGAACTTTGCTGGGTTCCACTCCTGGGAACTGGTTCTTGCTCATGAATAACAGGGCCCTGATAGGGGATAACTACTGGATCAGCTTCTCACCTATGCCAGCAATTCACAGAAGCACTACCAACCTCAGGAACCTGCAGTAAACAGTGAATATGAGTTTGGAGCTTTCTCAACCACCGCCTTGATTCCTAAAGGCATTGCGCTTCCTCTCCCTGAACTCTCATTCCTCCTTGCCTTACTGACTGGCTACATGATTCAGGCCTGCCCTTGAAGCCTGCTTCCTAGGCAGCCGCTGAATAGTTTTCTCTCTATAAAATGGTCCTGGGATGCTAACTAGCATACAAACGCATTTAAGAAGTTCCCAATGCAGTAATTTCAGAAAGCAAAGGAGCTTCAGAGTCTAGCCTGCTTTACCTTAACAAAAGTATGTTTGTGTTAGGTTCCTTTCATGTATTAACATGTAACATGTATTTAGCCCTTGAAAATGGAAGTCCCTGTGAGGCCTGGCAGGTGTTTTTTTTTTAGCAGTTCTGCACTTGTGACTTCAAATGCACTCAGAGACATGGGCTTACAGTATATCAAAACTGGGTCTTTTGTCTAGATAATAATAAAACAAAAAGAATGAATGACAGCAAGGTTGAAAATATGGAAACGCAAGGATGGCCAGAAGGCACAAAACAAAGCAAGAAGTATTAAAGCAGGGAGGAAGAAGCATAAAGCAAGAATGAAATCTGAAGTTGCAAGAGGGCCTATGGTACCTACTGGGAGAGAATGACTTCCTACTTTAAATAAATCCTAAGAAGCAGATGAGAATTTTTGTGAGTAGAGTCCCAGGTAGGTTGCTGTCATGCCATGTGTGGCAGAAAGGGTAAAAATCCACTGAAAGGCTAGGAATCCACTGAGGTATCTTATTTGAGACTTGTCAAGGCTACTGCTCTGGGTAACGACACTTCTCAGGAATACTGTTTTGTCATAACTAATGAAGAACGCACCCCCAATGCGATCCTGTGGTGTGTTTTTAAGATTGTTCTTTCAAGTACATTAGTTAAGACTGATGGGGTATAATGAACTCACCGCGCTGCCTTGAAAAATCCAATTAGCTTGCAGAGTGCTATCTACATCCTTGATTGTGCATGTAACTTCAAATTCTTCACCTTCTTTGAGAAGTTGGTTGGTTTTGGATAAGGAGATGGCTGGAAGGGATTTGTGAACTGGAAAACAATTTAGATGTGCATTGTTTTTCATTACATGCAGTGCCTCCAAGAGAGAGGAGGGAAAAAAATCAAAAGTTATTAACCTCCTAATAAAATATTAGACCTCCTAGAGGTATTTTAAATTTCTGTAATGTATTTGAATTGTTCTTTCATGCCAAGTACATCTCTTAGTTAAAGTATGAAAACATTTATAGGCACTATATAGCATGCACAGATAAGCACACATAATATTTAATCCTGCAAAGACTGAAGCATAACCAGGAAACTCATTCCATGACCATTTTATAAGGTTACAACCCAAAAGCCTTTCCATCCACTGATGGAAGCTGAGTGTACCATCTGAAAGAAATAATTATCTAATTATTTTACCCTTGTTAACATGCAATCTTATATAAAGGTATACCAACTATAATGGCTGCCTGAGCTGCAGGAAGAAGTCTGTACACAATAATAGCAGTCATCAATATGGTTTTACTAGATATTCCAGTAAAGAGGAATTACCTGCCCTCACAACTAGTGTGATAAATTCTGACACCTTCTCCTCTCCATTTTGATACGCCACACACTGGTAACAACCAAAAAATGATCTCTGTACATTTTTTATGGTAATTCCTTTCTGAAGATCAGGAACTAACTCCATATTCTCAGGCAGAGGTTTCCCGTGACACCTTTTCAAAGTGAAACTTGAAATGTCTGGATCTGTCACTGGACACTGAATGAGAGCATCACTATCTTCCATCGCGTATGTGACAGGCTCATGAAAAAACAGGAGCGCTGGATCTGAAATGAAAATGAAAACAGTTTTCTTGAAGACTATATATTAAATAATGATGATGATGATAACAACAACTATTACCATTCGTCGTCGTCTTCTTCTTTTATAATTTATATGGCCACATCTGACTGGGTTGCCTCAGCCACTCTGGGCGGCTCCCAACAAAATATTGAAAACACAGTAAAACACAAATCTTCACACAAGTATTTCCCCCCTCCAACAATTTATGATTTTATTGTTTGGTTTTATGGTGTTTTTTTTAATTGTTGTAAACTGCTGTGATGTATCTTGATATACTGGCGTATATAAATATTTCTATAAATATTTCTATAAACGAATACATAAATATACCGCTTAAGGAAGAACTGAGGGAAGAACTCCATCAGGCAAGGCCTCCTTCCACCTGCCTTGCCCCACTCTCTGCTTCTCAATGTGTATTGTATTGTTTTATGTACTGTGGCTTGCCATTGTTTTATTGATTCTAGTTTAGGTATTATTGTAACTGTTGAGTGGATTTCTGTTTAACTTTTAGATGTTATATGTTGGTATTATTATTTTACACTATTCTAATGATTGTTGAATGTTACTTTTTTGATGGAGGTTGCCTATTTAAAGTTATGTTTTATTATCACCTTTTTGTATTGCATTAGATTGTTATAAGATGTACATTTTTTGTTTCTTCAGCTTGAGCCTTGAGTATTGTAAGATAGAAAGGCGGTATACAAATTAAAAATGATGATGATGATGATAATATTGAGGTTTCCAAGTGGTGTGCAATAAGGTCAAAAATAAACAGGATAGATAAAATCGGTTAAAATTAACCATAACATCGGAAAAGCTTGTTTAAAATGCCTGCTGGAACTTTAAAAAGTATTCAGATGGTACCTGAAGTGCAGTAGGGAAGGAGCTTGTCTGATCTCAATAGAAAGGAAGTGTCTACTGTACTCAGTGACTAATGTTGGATACCACTCTGATCAAATTTGGAGCCAACCTTTTTGAGTAAGGCATCTTTTCTGCTTGTTGTGCACCTTGATTTAGGCTAAGAGGATTTAGTTTCAAGCAAACAATAGCCTGCCAGGTGCCAATGGGAATTTCACACGCAGAGCATAAAAGCAGTAGCCACCCAGTGTTGTTTGCTCCCATCATCTGATACACAGGAGGTATATGTATTTCACCCGAACATTGAGAATTGATGAATATACTGAGTGAATAGTCTTGTGCTAAGGTTGGATTCTATTGTCTTGTGGTCCTCTGTAATTCTACGTGTTTGTGAAAATGTGGACTTAGCCCTTTTACAAGCAGAGCTACAGACTCAGGCAGTCACAGAGTCTGAATTTTTTGGAACTATTGAAACGTCCTTTTTCTGAAATTTAGGCAATTAAAGAATTCTGTACTAAAAAATCCTTATCCATTTTTAATCATCATTAAGATGCTTTCCAGCATAATTGAAAAACAGGGGGGAAAACTCCTCTGGGACTTATTTTTGCTGGGACTGTCCCCAAAACTTTATAAATTCATCTCCAAGTGTACTTCAGACATTCATGGCTTGAAAATAACAGAATGAAAATTATGAGGATGTTAACTAATGGGTTGTCAGCTGAGTGGGTTCTGAGCCTCCATGAACATTTCTCCTGATTAGCCTTTCCCAACATTGGGTACCCAGATGTTGTTGGACAACGCCCATCATCCCTGACCACTGGCCCCAGTAAAAGGGGGCTCTTTTACTACCCACTTCATCCTTTCCTCTTGTAAACATCTCATAGGTCTCTGATCTCTCTGCCTGTCTTAGATCTTGATGTCATTGGCTAATCAGTTCTCTGTTACAGTGGACCTCTTACTGTCACATGTGGTACCCACACATCAGAAGCTGACTGTAATTGGCTCAATTTGTCCTAATGTCTTCAAAGGGCTACTAACTTTAAGACCAGACAGATTTGGGGGAAATGAGAAAAATCTCCCAAAAGCATCCAAAAAGAACTTCCGCAAAATTAAAGTCTTATAACACTGTGATTATGACAAGGGATTTTGAATTAAGTCTATAGATAGATTGGGTTTTTAGCCAGAAACAGACTTAGTTGTTGCTCACTATTGGCAAACTGTGAGGCCAAAGGAAATACTAAAATTGTCTCCTTCTGGAAACTGGTGAGGTATTTTTAAGTTTCCAGGAGAACAGAGCAAATTAAATGAATGGAATTACTTTAGCTATGCTTTCCAGCTCATCCTACCGTGTGTTAGCAAGCCCTAATGGGGGAAATAAGATCACAGAATGTCAGAATTCCTTTCATAGTACAATTTCCTTTTGCTTATTTAGATTTCAGTATGAAATAGGAGCCCACACAGTAAAATTCACACTTCAGTACATTACCATGAATAGTTTTTTCCATCTCATTCACAAACAGAAATTCCTACTGAAAGTGTTAGGAAATCCCTCCATAACAGAATAGAACCTTAATAGAAATTATTTTAACTGGTAGCAAAGGCTTATTCCATCTACTGCAATCCTCAAAACACCTTAACATACTCCTCCCCTCCTACCACAAACCACAGGCTTGAGTCCACTCTGACTGGCACACAGCGCTTGCATGAACAGGATTCATTATTCCCATCAAAGGCTTTACGATGCATCTATATGCATGGGCAGAACTGCCCCTTCCAGAAAACAGGGAAGCCACCTAATGCAGGAAGCGTTCTGTGTTCATTTGGGAGTACTTTTTGAGGTAAAACGATGAGAAAAGTTTGATTCTATGTTACTAATGTGGGGTGCCGATTGATTTCCCATCTGTGGATGGAACCTGCATCACACTGGTAGCATCTGCATGATGAAAACACATGGGACATATCAGTGAGAGAGATGTAGCACCGACAGAAGAATTCCCCATGTGAATTCCCCATGTACCACCTTGCTGAAGCTAAGCAGGCCTTAGTCTGGTCAGGGCTTGGATGAGAGACTTAATGGGAACCAAAGGCCAATTTGGATTCCACAATGGAATAAATATGGGATATAAATGTAATAAAATAGGACAGACACGCCATACTCCCTGACTACCACCAAATAACAAACAGAACATTTTGCAAAGAAAATAAACTCTCAGTGACAGATGGGCAGCATGGATACATTTTCTTTCTGTGCAACTTCACAGAGCAGAAGAAATCAACAAATTGAAGGCCAAAAGTAATTCAAAGACATCAACCAAGCACCACAGAAAAAGTTTTGCAGACAGTGGTGGGAATGGTACCAGAAATGCACTACTAAAAATGCTTCTTGGTTCACACGTATTTCTGTTCATCACTTCCTGTCTTACATATATGAATGTAGTATCATAGTTCTAATACCACTAATCAGATGTTTCAAACCATCTCACATCACGGAAGCAAAGTTTTCCCATGAAGTAAGTTCACACATTCAACTGCCCTTCAGGATTATTGGAAAATCAATTAATGAAAAATTTAGTGATCTGCACACATGTGTGAACCAGTCCTTAAGTGTTACCAGCAGCAGATCATAAAAATTAGGGAAAACATGCACTTTTGGCGGTGCTTCCATAAATCCCTTTAGTAAGATAAAGGACCACAGAACAGCTGCCCACAACTCATTAGAAACTCATACTTCAGATCCCCTTATTTCATGATATTCTGAAGATGTTTGGGCTTTACATGGGCATCTTTCCAATCTGCTCAAGTAAAAAGCCCCAGCCTGAACATCAACAACAGGAACAATTGTGTCTCAAAGGGATCTTTCTGGAGCCTTCTGGCCCAGAACAAATCCCCAAACCAATGTTTCAAAATAGTGTTACTGGACCTCAAGTTTTACTGGAAGTTCAGTCCTGCTTCCAGTTTCAGCTCTGTGGCAACAGCCTTGGGCTACTCAGTAGTAAGGGGAAAGCATGCTGCTCAGATGTGCCTCTGATGACTATCATATATACTGAGTTTTAGCCTTCAAAACAAGTTTCAGTGTTGATCCTTGGTTTAAAACCCTATAAATACCGAGGTCAAAACTATTGGGCAGGGTTCACTGGTTCAGCAGTTTCCACCTGGACCTCAGTGTTTGTTCAGATGTACATCTTCAACACTTGATGGCTACAACCTTACTAGATCATACGCATGTGTGAATCAATCATCACAGGTATTTCACTGCCGAGAGGAACTCCAGTACCTTTTGGCGTTACCTCCATTGCCATGTTTTGTCAATGGAGTCAGCTCCTTTTGACGTCTAGTCAACAAAGTGTACAGAAATCCCTAAAGTGGCTCACTTAAGGAAATCGGCAGAGCAGATACTTCTCCATAGACACTATGGGGTTTCTCATCAAATGGCAATGAGAAAAAACTGTGCCTGATTATCCTGAAAGAGAGGAGACACAGCAGTAGCCATGAATAATGAAGAGAGATGCAAAGGACTCTGGCCCCCAACTGCAGGATCCAATAATTTACTTGTGGTAGGTGATATTACAAGTAAGTTCTCTGATCCTACATCTCAGGGATGGCTAAGCTGTGGCCTTCCAGATGCTGCTAGACAATGACATCCACCATCCCTTACTATTAGCCATGCTGACTGAGGCTGCTGGAAGTTGCAGTTCAGAAACATCTTGAGGACCACAGCTTGGCCTCTAGGTGAATCTTCACTGTCCAGTCCTGATACAGGTGGCTACATGGTTATTTGAACTACATCTACTCTTCTTTTCCACAACTATGTACCTATGAACATACGTACCTACCTAAACCGTACAATGCTCTTTTGAGGCCCAGATCTCAGCATTTGCGCTGAATGAAGAGAGTTGGATAACTACCAGGGAGAAGGCTTTTTTGGTAGTGGCACCCTGGTTGTGGAACAACCTTCTCAGGGCCAGTCACTATCTTTCAGACAGCAGATGAAAACTTTTTGATTCACCTCATGTTGTCTGTTCCTCTCTGTTTTTAAAATCTATGTTTTAACTTTGCAGGTGGGGTGAGTTTTTGCTTGGCTGTGAAACTTTTGATTTTCTTGACTTATTTTGCATTTTCATTGTTTCATTACTTATTTACTGTCGGTCATCAAGAGAACTTTATGTTACAGGGCAGCATACAAATGTCATAAGCAAATAAGCATAAACGAAACTGTGGAGCAGGATGGAACTAAAACTGATCCAGCCGCTCCCAACCAGTATCTGAGCTCACGTTTTCCCTGCTGGCATAGATCCAGCCACCCATCTGGTTGCCAGGAAGCACAACAATTCAAATTGTCTATCTACTGAGCATGTCTATTTGCAGCCCTCAAGAGCAAAAAGTCTGCATTTTTTAATGTAAAAATGTGGGAGGATTATTTTGTGTGTGTGTGGAGGGGAGGAATGCCCATGTTTCATAGGAGGGGGAAGCCTGTGATAGGCAGATGCCCTGAATTAATATACCTGCACCACAATCCCAAGCACGTTTGCTCAGAAATCCCACCATGTTCAATGGGACATGCTCCCTAAAAAGCGTGTTTAGGATTGCAGCCTAAAAGGCTCATTTCAATATGCCCTTTGACATGGCCCTAACTTCCCATAAAGACAAACAAAGGTTTTATGCTACATCCATCTCCGGAATGCTTCTTGGGAGCAGTTGTTTGAGGGTAATGTGGTCTTAGATCAAGACTGCCACGTCCTAGAATAATGGATAGCAAGTAGCCTATACCTATCAGTTCAGTGATAGTTTAACTGGTACACACCTAAGCATTTGTTCAGACAACCTTGTGGTGCAGCAGGTATCTGAAGGGTTCATCCGATACACTGGTTTCTTAAGGTGTGAAAACATCATATCAAAAGCACCAATGTGATCAATATAAATGGAAGCACAAACCAAGTTTTCAGGTAAGGAGGAGGGGGAAAAAACAGTAATATTTACCTTTAACAAAAACATAAATTGAGTTGTTCGATCTCTCTGTGTTTGTACATGTATATGTTCCTGTGTGGCTTGCTTCTGCTTTACTTATGTGTAACTCCTTTGTTTCTGAAATGAGGGGCTTTCCTGATGGGTCCGAACTCTGAAAATCCCAGGTCACAGTGCCACCATCACTACACAACAGCTTTAACTCTTGTCCACTATTCACAACCAAAGTGGAAAATGCTGGAATAATAGAAGGTCTGGTACCACCTGCCAAAAATAAAATTTAGCGTTTAGTGTTGCGTATATTTCCTTTCATTGGTCTTCAAAAAAAAAGAAAGAAAGAAAGAAAGAAAGAAAGAAAGAAAGAAAGAAAGAAAGAAAAAGAAAGAAAATCATGTTGCACAAGCCTACATCAGTTTGATTTGTAGTTTAACTTCTTTTCAAAACACGATTCAAGTATTACCTCATGGCTGATGACTGAAATTTCTTGACTGCTAAACCAGGCTGTTTTTGGTGCTCCCACAGCGGCGGCGGGGGGCTCCATGAAGACAGTCCCCGATATATCAAGAGTTGAAAGAAAGTATCTGATTTTGGGGTGGGATTAAATCTTTTTGGACAAGGCAAAAATTTCAGCATCAGTCTTCATTAACAAACAGATGCCCCGAGGCTACATCACAACATAGTACCATTACTCCGGACATTATGCAGAAAAAGGAAAAAGATGGCTGCCATCATGGGCTGCCCATGGGGGCAGCCATTTTCTTTTCCATTCAGTTCCATGGTAATGATCTTTTTTCATGATGTAGTTATTCCCACTGGGCATCTGTTTACTAATGAAGATGGATGTTGCTCGGCTGAACAATCTTGCCAGAAGTTAAAGCTGCAGAAAAATCTGCTGTTGGTTTCAAAAACTGAAAAGAAACTTATCGTCTGCTGCTTCATCTGGACGGTATCCCCCTTGCCACAAAATCATGAGAATCTCTCCCTTACACTGAAATGTTTTAGAAAGTGCCTTCCCACCTTCACTGTGAAGGTGAGGAAGGACTTTTAGTATAGCTTGATTTTTTTCTCCAGCTCCTCCTTCAAGGCCAGGTTCTTAGAAATCCAGAAACATAAACAATAATGAGCTCTAAGAGATATAGTCACATTAGCACCATATATTTAAAGCACATGGCATCCCATAAATAACCCTGGGAACTGTACTTTGCACCTAAGAGTGACAATACTCAGCACCTTTAACAAACTACAATTCCCAGAATTCTTTGGGGGGAAGCAATGTGTTGTAAATGTATGGTGTGAATCTGAAGGAAAACTGACTTTTTATTAAGCCTTGCTAGTCTTATGTACAATTAAGAGGACTTATCTAGAAAGACATCCAAATTATTGTTCTTTCATCCATTCTTTTTTTGTTTGAATATGGAAGAGTGGTATGTGTCCCTCAAGGTTTTACCTTTGCATTATGCCTACATGCTAACAAAGGAGGAAGAAATCTAGCTTTCCAGCTTCCTCTTCTGGCATTTGCACAGGAAGAGAACATCTGTAAGATATGCTCTCTAATGCTGTGTGGCTTTTTTCCCTTGCCCTACCCAGAGAGGTCAGCGATTGAACCGGGGACCTTCCGAATTCAAAGCATACACTCTCCTACTAAGCTACAGCTCTGAATCAAAGGGAGTTAAATTAATTCTGGCCATCTTAGAGAGGTCTAAGTTCAAGTACCTGAGTTCAGCTATGGTGTATGTCTTATCACAGTTAAGCCACAAAAACAGTGTATGTTCCCTAGAAGGGGATGCTATGGGAATTCTTTTCTTTTCTAGAGATAGTTTAAATCTGACAGCTTATGTATTATCGTCTGCTTATGATTTGTAGATGCCCACAAAGTTTAAAAAACAAACAAAACCAGTGTAGCCCCATTTGGCTTACAGTGTGCTCATTTGATACCGATGGTAAGAACAATTCAATTAATTAATTATTGAAAAAAAGTTGGGTTTTCTCAGCATTAGGGACAATGCCATCGGCTCAGCCTGCAAATGAAGTTTGCATGGATTATAGGGCAGTACCAAATTTATTTAACCGGCAACTTTAGCAGCACTTAGAAGTACAATGGATTAAGAGGGTGTCAGATAAACACTCCAGCTAGTGAGAAATCCAAAGGTAGTTAAATGCAGATGATAAGGCAGAGAGAGAAGGTCAGATTCTCTACAGAATCTAATCAACCCAATCAATACAGACCCCTCCCAATCAACACAGATTGGGGGCCAAACTACATGTTACACTTAACGTGTAGCATGATGCTATGTCTCTATTTTTTCCTTAAATCAATTACAGTTGCTTGGGGTGGGAGGGATTGTGACAAAAATAACAGCATGCAGGGATAGTAAGACTTCTTCCCTCTTCTATCCTCAACCCAACCCCAACCCCCCCCTAAAAAAATTCCTACTGGCACCCCAAGGGGGTGACTTTGGAGGATTTTGGTTAGGGAGTTAAAAGGAAAAACCTCCTCTCCCTGTGTGTTTCGAACCCCCTCCCCCCAAAAACCCCCCACCTCCATGGCTGTAATTAAGCATGCAACATATTTTAACCTTAAGTATGGTATATTTAGTAGCACATTGGATAGGACTAGGTTTTTAATTTCTGCTGAGTCGTAAAGTTCATGGAGCCTGTTCATACACTCAATAACACATGCGGAATAACTCCATTACCACAGCTACAATGGTGTGTGTGTGTGTTATGAACTTGCCACACTGATGCCAGATCCTGGGGAGCGCCTGGTATTGCAATCTCTCCCTAATATTTAGAGAGGCATCCTGCCTTTTCCATAGGCAACTTCAACAACAACTACAGTGGAACCCTGGTTCTGAAACACAATCCGTTCTGGAAGTCCGTTCAACTTCTGAAACATTCGAAAACAAGGCACGGCTTCCGATTGGTGCAGGCGCCCAGGAAACAATAGCCGACAAACCACATTGGACGTTCGGGTTCCGAAAAACGTTCAAAAACCAGAACACTTACTTCCGGGCTTTCGGCATTCGGGAGCCGAAATGTTCGAGAACCAAGGTTCCACTGTACATGGAAACACTATGAATGCATGAATCAGGATTGGCTGAGCCTGGGCCCATCACTCAACCTAATTCACCTCATGGAGTTACCAAGAGAATATTTTTAAAGTCAGTTTTTAAGGGGGCATTATGTATGTATGTGACACAAAAGATGGGAAAGTATGTATCACTCTTATTATTTCTATATTCATATTAAACTCTTATTCTTTAGAGAAAGTTTAACAGAAGCACATGCACACACTAAAACATTTTGAATCCTCCCCTCCAAAAAAAAATGCATATTTGCTTTTATTTCCATGCATGCATTCCTTTTATTTGCTGCTTTGGCATCCATAGGGAACAATAGCTTTCTTTCACTCTGTGCGGCCGTGTAATTTCCAAGTCATACATTCAAAGGCTTCTGTTTGGCTTACAATGAATCTTCTCTTCCAAGCCACCTCTAACAAGGTACTCTACATACATCCTCCTGACAAGAATGAATCCAAAGTCACAGGACCGAGAGCATTTGCAGTTCATCATGTGCACGTTTATGATTCCCAAGAAGAGACAGCAACAAAAACCACTTTATGGTATTAAAAGAAACACACAGCGCACATCATGGGAACATAGGAAGCCTCCTTATACTGAGTCAGACCAGTGGTCCATCTACCTCACTAATGTCTACCCTACAGTGGTGCCTCGCAAGACGAGATTAATCCGTTCCGCGAGTATCTTCGTCTAGCGGCTTTTTCGTCTTGCGAAGCAACCCTATTAGCGGCTTAGCGGATTAGCGCTATTAGCGGTTTAGCGGCTATTAAAGGCTTAGCGGCTTAGCGGCTTAGCTGCTAAAAGGCTATTAAAGGCTTAGCGGCTTAGAAAAAGGGGGGGAGTGAAAAAAAATCTCAAGACTCACAAGACATTTTCGTCTTGCGAAGCAAGCCCATAGGGAAATTCGTCCTGCGAAGCGCATTGAAAAACGGAAAACCCTTTCGTCTAGCGGGTTTTCCGTCTTGCGAGGCATTCGTCTTGCGGGGCACCACTGTATATGAAAGACAGATGCTCTACCACTGAACTACGGACCTTCAAAATGGCACAAATCACACTTGCATTCATTGGAACACAATGTGTGCCCCGCCAAGCTAAACAAAGACATGCAAGTGACCTGACAAGTGTCTGTCATCTCTCCTGCTTTTGATGTTACAGGCAAACCACTGCACATTCAATGGGTGGCCATTCAACCTGGGGTTGGAAGCAGAAGTAAAAAGCCACTTCGTTTTAATAAACATGCCCCAGATGAATCGCTTTGCTTTCCCCCTTCATCGGCCACCTTGTTTTAGAGGTGGGATGATTATGCCCAGTTTGGTGCCAAAGTTCAAAACAAAGTTCAAAACAGGGTAAAAGCAGTACAGCCCTACCTCAAATATAAGCTTGGCCTATGATACAGAAGGACCCAAACATTTCTAACCCCCAGCCCAGCAGGACCCATAACACACAATGCTCCTGTTCCAACAGCCCCCAAAATGCAAAACCAAGTACTGGCCCAATAGAGAAGGATGGCTGCAGAGGTGAAAAGTCCTCCAGATGACACAAGAGAAACAAGCATACCCCACAATATGATGAAGACTAGAAAATGCAGCACAGGACCACCAATCAACATATTGCACATCTGTTATGCTATAGACAATATACAACCTTGGCAGAGGAATGGTATCTTCGAATGAAAATGCAGTGCAATTATTACATCATGGCAATATAGTGCAGCGAAGAGGAGTAATAGGGCCGCAGTCCCACATGGGGCTTAAAAACTGTACGGAAACCAGCAGAACTTGAGTGCATATACAGTAAATCCCTGTAGCCATACAGACCACATAGAGGAATCTTCCACTCATGGACCTCCAATACCAAAAAGGAAGAGAACACAATGTGATTGAATGAGAAATGTAATTGTCATCAGGGCACTCACCACAATAGTTTGCTGATGGCCTCATCACATTGTTCCATGATCTCATGAGCCATTTACTGCCCCAACTGATACTGGTGACATCAGCTCCTTGCCCATGGGAATGTGCATCCTTAGACAACAGGGAGTTAAAGTTAACTATCCTGAAGAACCATTGATGGCACCAGCTCTTGCTGTGGGATTGCAGCTTTGGCTGCTGCAATACCTCAGAACTGCGATAGGAGCATTTACTATATTAAATAACACCTCACTATTGAAAAACAGCACGTTGGATATCGGGAACAAAATTACCTTTTTAATCAACATTGAGATTTCTTGCTGTAGAGAAGGGGTGGGGAGCAGATGCTGACCTCCCCCCACTCCTGTGGGTCACTTTGACAGATGGAGTTTGCAGGACAACCCTCACTTTCAACAGAGCTTGTGTTGAGTGTCAAATTTAAAAGGCACCCAATGCAAGCCCTGTTTGCACACTTAAATACTCCTGATTGTGTCTTTGCAGCCACAACTTTACCTGCCGCACACCTGGCATCATATATGGCATCAGGTGCAGGGCAGGTGGCCAAAACTTTGGGGTCTTGTGGGCTAAATTAGGAGTCGTGCTGGGCCAGACTGGGCTTGTGGGTCAGGGCTTCCCCAAAACTGCTGTACAGTTTCTAATCCGGTGACACTTTTTGATTTTGCCTGAGTTCTTTTAAGACTACACAGAACAGGCAAGTAATGCAAAGCCAGTCCTTTTGTTAGGTCTCCTATTAGTCTTCCATCAGTCATGAAACCCTAAAGCTGGGTAGCTCAAAATTCAGGGCTGTATCCCACCCACACAAGCAAAGGGAACACAACAGTTCCTCAAAGGCCGCTGGGCTGCTTCATGTGGGAAGGCAAATCACCCCTATAGCCCTGCCCTACAATGCGGAGACCCAGCAAGACCCAGCCTAAGCTTCCCCCAGATTGGGGAGGGGTAGGATACCACAAAAGTACTTCACTTCACTGCTCACACCAACAATATAAAATAGCATGGAAGCTGCTCAGCTACACGGATGTCTTTCAGCCAAGCTTCTGAGCTCCCTGTGACTTGACACTGTCATCCTCTGCTCCACAACTGACACCTGTGGTGCATTTTGCACATGGCTAACCAAGAACAATGTTATCAGAGGTGATTATCACCTGCATTTCTCATTCGAGTCAATGAGGGGCTACAGAAAGTTCAGGTCCCTGTTGTTCCTACTTAGATTTGCAACACCAGGGGGAAAACAACAATGACCACAATACCTACTCGTTGTTTACAGTGGCACATATGTACCTCCGCAAGGTCTCCCTGCAGAACAAAGCACTTTGTTGCCAAAATTAAACACAACTGACACCATAGCCTAGCAAGGCTTAATAAAAACAGGTCAATCATCCTTCAATTACAGTTCCTGAGCTAAATATCCCAAAGGTTTTCAGATCAATAGTGGTTTCTTTGGAAAGTCTTAAAACTGGGGGAAGATAGAGAGACAGGATTAACAAGGACTCTGTTGTTTACCAAATGGGTTGTTTGCACCATCTGTGGAGATAATGTGATAATGATAATCTCCTTCTCTCTTTTAACATTAATCCTTTTATCTTTAAAAACTCTGAAAAGCAACAAGCCAAAATGCAAAGGGCCCGAGGAGGATAGCTGGGAGAATCGAGGTTTACCTCAGAAAGTACAAGTTTTTTAAAAAAACAATTAAGTAAAATAAAATAAAGGTGATGGTTCTTGCAGGAGGCATCGCTTACGGTGGTTGTTGGAAGAGCTGTAACTCAGTGGAAGAGAATCAAATTTGTATGCAGAACGTCCCACATTCAATTCATGGCATCACCAAGAAAGTCTGGAAAGGGTTCCCTGCCTGAAGCCACGGAGAGCCGCTTCTGCCAGTCAGTGACAGGCAATGTGGAGTTAGATGGACCTATGACAGTTTCTAGTGTTCCTATGATGAAAAAAACATTCTCCCAGGGCATGGTGGATGAGATGTGGTCCATGAGGGAGTTTTAATGCAGCCACCAAAGCATGGAGGTTGAAGGGGCAGGTCGAAAGAGGGTGAGTATGGCCACGTTGCTACATAAGGGACACAAAGCACCCAGAATAAAAAGGACAGAAGGCAGGTGAATGGGAGAACCGACTCCACCAAATTGCAGCTGAGGTTGTGTGCCAGTGTCTGTGGTGTGAGAGCTGCACATGTGTCTGTGGTTGTAAGAGCTGCGATGGCTTGTTGGAGCCAAGCCAGGATCACTTTTCACTTGCACCAGAAAGTCCTCAGCTGTAGACAGAAAAGACTTAGTGATTTTAATTCAGTGTGCGCATATATATATAATGTGGTCACAAAAGGCACACAAAACACTCAAATAAATGTCTTTCAATCCTCATGTACTGCATATTCACTTGCACCAGAAAGTCCTCAGCTATAGACAGAGAAGACTTCCATAGTCGTGTTAGCGATTTTAATTCAGCGTGTGTTATATATATATAATGTGGTCACAAAAGGCACATAAAGCACTCAAATGTCTTTCATTCCTCACGTACTGCATATTCGGAGTGTGGGGGGGGAACCAACCCCATAGCAAACCTGGAGGAATAGAAAAGGTAGAAGAATTGGCAGTTATTTAGCCAAGGGATAGAATTACAAAAATGGATGCCAAATTGGTTCAACAAGCCTTCCCACACCCATGACATAACTTGAACATTGCGGCCGCTATATTTGGCTGAGGATTCTTCTATCTGCTCCTACTGAGAGGAGCTTATAGCGAAGTGAGAAAATTCAATGTGCTCAACTTTATGCTCATTATAGACAACAACTTGTACTGGACACAACTCAATTAAATGTGGCGTGCGGAAGGTTTGCTTGCGCTTTTAATAGTATTGGTTTTAAACTGCTTTTAGCTGCTTCGTCCGCTGGTTTTATTTTGCGGTTTTTACTGATGTTTAGTGTTGATACTGAATTTACTATTTTTATTATGATTAGTTGGAAAGTCGCTTTGAGGGTATTCGTGTCAAAAACGGATATACGTAAGCAATAACAGGTAACAGGATGTGAAAGGAAACGCAAAAGTAGATCTATATTTGGCTAGAGCTCATGAATTGGAAGTAAAGATGAAGCTTTGCATCAAAACGTGAGTTAGATTGATTTCAGTGCCATATTTATTGACTAGACAATCCATACTAGATCTGCAACAAAAGGTTGCAGTGGATCCTCACCTTCTGTCAGGAATGTTCCTGTTCTGGGTTCCTTCCAGACAGGATACTTTAAAAAGCTCAAGGCGACCAACGTACCCACATCCACACATATACACCTGTTTTTACCCTCTCCAATTGACCTGAATGAATATGCTAAACTCTCTTTTGATTTTTCCACCCCAGACAGAGGGGGGAGGGAGGATGTCCCCATCCACCAAAAAAACCTACTTCTGCAAACCTCAGGTTCTCCCAAACTTGCATCTCTCTTGTTTCTCAGAGGCCCCATTTTGGCCTCGCTGACAATTTCTATCTGAGCATTGTGGTGGGTTTTTGCAGCACGACACCGCATGCATTTTGCTCAATCAAAATGTCGCTTACTGAGAACACGTGGAAATTTTTGATTTCATATAAACCTACAAAATTAATGCTACTTTCTGGAATATACTCAGTTTTCTTCCAGATTAATAAAACTGCTAATCAACTAATTGTTCCCCCTCTTAATTTCCTTCCCAACCATTGTACATTTACATATGCAAAATATAAAATAATTAAGTTGCAACAATTAAAACAGATCAAAACTTACACTAATGGAAAATTCATCATTCAAATGTGTTGAGTTCTTACTTTTTCATTCACTGTAACCTTTATAGGACAATTTGCTTAATGGTTTTGCTTTCCCACTCCAGCCCTCAACTTATCTTTGGAGGCACTTTCTAAAAGGGCATTATCTCTTTACTTTTTTTATTTGAAAGAAGTGTTTATTGTAATGTGCCACAAGGGTGTGAGATGATGTTTTCTAGATTTCTTTAAGAAAATAGCATCAATAAAAGGAAAGGAAATCTGGAGAGCCCCAAAGCTTTCCTCCCCCATAACACCATTTGAATCACCAGCCATTTAGAAAACACCAAATTCAACTGAAGTGCAGCTTTCTTGGTAATATGAATGCTAATTATTTCAAGGGCTGGCAGCAATTTAATCAAGATATTGAAGTTTCATTAAAGATATTCCGATAGTCTCCTAGATAAAGCCTTTACAAAAAGGAAAAAAAATAGCAATAACTACATAATTATTCTACTGTTGCTATTTTGTTATCTCTGGGTTTTCCCCTCTGCAATATATCTCATTTTGAGAAAAATGCAACAATGAATAAAACATGCAGATTAAAATAATCTACACAACTAAACTGAGGGTGAAAGAAAGTTAATATTATATCTCAACTCTAGTTGACAGTGGCTGGCCCCAAAAGGGCCTCCTACGTCTTTAATACCTGCATAGACATTTAGGAAGTCCAGAAGTAGGTAGCCATTTTAGAGTCTGTGTGTGCATCCGAGTCCAAGAGCCCTTCAATCTGCAGTACAGAATGGCTTGCCAAAATGGGTTTCTAACTACATAATAGTCACAGTAGGAGTAATGTTGGACACAACCTCTAATTACTTTACAATCTTCTTTATTTTTTGCAGAAGTAAGGGATTGCTCAGTTTGCCAACCCCAATTCCAAACTGAAGCAATATTTCACCCATCATCAGTTGCTTTCGGTGGGGAGAATAATCCCTAATGAGGATGCTAAATTAATCGCTGGCTGTCAGACATAGATGGTTTAAGGTTCTAGGACTGCAGAAATACCAGAAAAGTGGTCCTCAAATGATTCAAGCTTGAGCAAGCCCACTAAATTTTAAGAACTGTAATCTCATTTTGAGACATAGCAGTAGCCGTGAAGACAGGACTTACTAATAAATTTATGTTCAATTTATAGAGAACTCTTGCTACTTATAGGAAGTCCATACAGCTTGTTACCCAAAGCAATCTGGCCCCAATTATGCCATCAGATCACCAGGGACTTGACAGACCTCCTGTTCTTGCTGCCTATCTGAAACTGCAAAACAACACAGAACAAAAACAGTCATACATGTTTGGTAGGTTGCAACTGGCTTAGCTGGTTACAAGTTGTGAAAGTCTGATTGATAAGGTCCTTGAACACACAGTAAAATGTTTGCTTTGGCCCATATGCCTGATTCCCTTCAAATAGGATTTCATATCTGAATAGTTTTCCATTGTAAATAATATTAAACTTGTTTCAATATTGTCTTTTAAAATAAAATTCCATACTCAGGATGTTTACATTTCTGGTTATTTGTGGATGCGAAGAATAACCTGTCTGTACACATTTCTCTCTTACATAATCAACGAAGGAGTGGGATGAACACCAATCCACATGCCAGTTGCACAATATGTAAGCGCCATGTTTGTTTCGATTGCTCTAAAATTTCACTGAAATAGCAGAGATCAGAATCCAGCCTTTGTCTGCGAAGTGCAACTGAGGAAAACGTAAAGGATTCAAACGCTGTTTGAGCCAACCATTGAGGACATCTTCTTTGTGGGTATTTTCTCCTGTCACGTAGTCAAAGGCTACACTCTTTTAGTCTGGGAAACTGACAAGTCATTATTTTGGGAAATGAACAAGGCAGTTCATGGCTCACTCCCAATTTCACCACAACACCTGCAATCACACCACACTCAGTAGTTTAAACAATAAATACATTGTGGGGCTTGTTTTCCATGCATAAACTAAAGTAAGCCTGGAACATGACTGTCTCTATAGTGATGACGTAGCCAGCTGGAGCACTGATAGCAATTAAGCTTCTTGACCAGGCAGTGAATGTAAAAAGAATTTTCTAAGCCCACACTTTTTATGGAAGCCCCCAAATTGCCTTCCTTATCTTCTGTTTGAAAGCACCCACATTAATGCTGTGATCTCAGCTACCGCTAAGAGGAACTCCTTGGAGCCTCTCAAGAACTTTGTTGGAAATGTCAGTCAACCTGGAGCCTAAAGTGAACAGTACAATCTGCAGTAGCATTGTTGGGTTTATTTTTTCATGCCCAAAAGCTAATTTATTTTATTTACCTATACATACATACATACATACCCCACCCATCTGGCTGGGTTTTCCCAGCCCCTCTGGGCAGCTTCCAACAGAATATTATAAACACATTAAAAATGCCTTCAGATGTCTTCTAAAAGTCAGATAGTTGTTGATTTCCTTGACATCTGACGAGAGGGCATTCCACAGGGCGGGCGCCACCAATGAGAAGGCCCTCTGCCCGATTCCCTGCAACCTCACTTCTCACAGTGAGGGAACTGCCAGAAGGCCCTTGGAGCTGGACTTCCATGTCGGGGCTGAATGATGAGGGTGGAGACGCTCCTTCGGGTATACTGGGCCAAGGCCGTTTACAGTCTAGACAACAAAGCTGAAGGATAAGGCTAGCCACGATGGTTATGCTCTGCCTCCACAGTCTGCTTCTGAATATCAGTTGCTGGAAACCACAAAAGGGAAGAGTGCTCTTGTGCTCAGCTCTTGCCTGATGGCTTCCCACAAACATCTGGGTAGCCACTGTGAGAACAGAATGCTGGACTAATGGCCTGATCCAGCAGGCTCTTATGCCCCACTGCACATACCTGGAGGTGTCTTAATGCAGCAGGTAAGGGTTTGTATGTGCAGTGGAGATCTAGCAATACTCTGGAGTGTCCCCAAGCCAGGCAGACCCTCGCCTTGCACAGAGTTTATGGCGATGACCTTTCTGAGCTTCTCGGTTCCACTCTGGAAAGCGCTCTGTTCCAACCAGAACCCACAAAATAGCAATTAAAACCAACCTGAAGGTCAAGCAATACCACCGCTTTTGGCAACAATTATCTGAACCAAAGCAAAAAAATAAGTTTTGAATGGGCTCATCCACATAATGCTTTAGTGGTTCCCAAATTTCCCACAGAAGTTGCCTCTAAGAAAAGCCACCAATCATTTGATCACAATCCCTTGATGTGGAAGAGGTTTGTTGTTGTTTAGTCATTTAGTCGTGTCCGACTCTTCGTGACCAAAGCATGCCAGGCACTCCTGTCTTCCACTGCTTCCCACAGTTTGGTCAAACTCCTGCTGGTAGCTTCAAGAACACTGCCCAACCATCTCGTTCTCTGTTGTCCCCTTCTCCTTGTGCCCTCCATCTTTCCCAACATCAGGGTCTTTTCCAGGGAGTCTTCTCTTCTCATGAGGTGGCCAAAGTATTGGAGCCTTCAGGATCTGTCCTTCCAGTGAGCACTCAAGGCTGATCTCCAGCACCATAATTCAAAAGCATCAATTCTTCGGCGATCAGCCTTCTTTAAGGTCCAGCTCTCACTTCCATACATCACTACTGGGAAAACCATAGCTTTAACTATACGGACCTTTGTCAGCAAAGTGATGTCTCTGCTTTTTAAGATGCTGTCTAGGTTTGTCATTGCTTTTCTCCCAAGAAGCAGGTGTCTTTTAATTTCGTGACTGCTCTCACCATCTGCTGTGATCATGGAGCCCAAGAAAGCCTCCATTTCTTCCCCTTCTATTTGCCAGGTGACAGGACCAGTGGCCATGATCTTTGTTTTTTTGATATTGAGCTTCAAACCGTATTTTGCGCTCTCCCCTTTCACCCTCAATAAAAGGTTCTTTAATTCCTCCTCACTTCCTGCCATCAAGGTTGTGTCATCTGGATATCTGAGGTTGTTGATATTTCTTCTGGCAATCTTAATTTTGGCTTGGGATTCATCCAGTCCAGCCTTTTGCATGATGAATTCTGCATATAAGTTAAATAAGCAGGGAGACAATATACAGCCTTGTCGTACTCCTTTCCCAATTTTGAACCAATCAGTTGTTCCATATCCAGTTCTAACTGTACTTTTCTTAAAAATCCCTCTGCTTGTTTTGTTAACTACACACCACCTGTGTAGCCTGACAAGCCACCATCTAAACTGCTGTGATTAAATGCATGGATTCTGAATCACCATTTGGAAATGCCTGCCTTCTTTAATTATCCTTTAGTTTTTTAAAAAAATCAAATCCCAGTGTCTGGCATCAACTCCATATGAATATCATGGATCTCCTCATTTCTCACGAACACGCTTTTTATAATTTCTACTAATTGCGTAACACATTTTAAAATGTTGGCTCATAACGACACTTGACGTAGGTGGCTGGTAGGTAGGTGAGATTTTGAAAATGGGATGAGAGGCAGAAACAGGCAAAGCAAGTATAATACCAATGTTACCTTTGGACAGGAAACTACTTTTGACAAACACTGACATACCCTCCTCTCTTATTGTTTATGAAGAGGCATTATCAAGAGGCATTATCAAGAACACATTCTCAAGGAACAATAATTATTAGGGCTTGTGAGCTGGGGTGCAGGAAAAGAGTGGGAGTGGTCTGAGGCCTGTGGGGGCCACATTTGTGGCCCCCCCGTGCCTGACTCTCCGCATCCCTGTGGAAGAGGGTCCATTTAAATTCTACTAGATTTGACTTTTACCCAGAACCATGGAACAGTGAATTATGTGTGTCAAAGATTCTCTCTGCTAGGATGGGAAGGAAGCAACCAAAAGGTGTGTGTGCTTGCAGGAATTTTTTCAACATTCCAATTGTGCCCACATGTTCTAGGAAATTTCCCAATTCCAGCTTCCTTATCCCAAACAAATTCCTCTGAAGTCATCTTTCCATGGTACAGGAAATCAAAGCAACATGATTCAGCTTCTGCTGTCGTTCATACAAATTTTTTATTTCCTTTTTTTTTTTAAAAAGAGAGGGGAAAAACACTCTAGCGTTCATTAGATATCGGAACCGATGAGTTTTGGTTCCTCTTTCTTCCCAGCCAGTCTTTGTTTGTAATAGCTCACTTGATGCCACGAGGGACATCCGTTCTCGGTATGTTGAACGCTGCCAAGCGAAGTCTACTACTCACAGGAAAGAAAAGGCACAACACATCCGAATACCTTTGTTATCTCTCCTTTCAAATAGCGTTAACTCATTTGTCAGGCTTCCAAAATCAAACATCCCACTGGTGCTGCCAACCACAAAATGAAGCAGATTTGGAGCTGTTAGACTCTAGAAAGCTAAAGTCTTCAGCGACAGTCACAGGGAGCTTGCCATTCTCAAATCAAGTCAGATTTATTTATTTATTTTTAAAAAAGAATATATTATTCACAGTTCCAGTCTCCCAAACTCAGCTGCAGGTGTGACTATGAGATTTGCCTAATGGGATTTTCCCAGTGTTGGGTAGCTCTAAGAATTGTTCAGATAGAGGAAAACAGGAAAAAAGACGTAAACACTTGTCCAACCACCACTCTGCAGGTCCCGGATGCTTAGTAGTAACACTGATTAATTAAGTAAAATGCAGAGCTTGAAACGTGCAACTGATTATGTTACCAACGGAACATAATCAGTACTGTTCATAATCACTTTACGTTATTAAAATCATTTTAGTAAAACTACCATGAATGATAGATCGACGTGTTCTTTGTACCTGCATATGAAGAAAAAGGAAGTTTGAATCTTTTTCTTTTCTGTTTTTGTATAATTGGTTGGTTTACAAAGATTCACCATAAGCTGGGAGACAGGAGTATTATTTTCGGTCTACTGTACAACCTGCCTTTGTGAAACCCCCCAAATGTAAGCCATAATCATCCCCAAGACTGGCATTCCTATCTTAAACGCATCTACTCTGAAGTAGTCCCACTGATTGCAATCAGGGTGCCGAAGATGATGTTTACATATGTCCTTCTCCTGCATTGTTAACCTGTACAATTCCGTCCTACATTATTTCTATACACATAATGTGACTGACTTGCATGAGTATTCTTTGCACACCATGAAAAACTAATGTGTGTGGGGGGGGGAGTCATTCTCACATACGTAGTCAGTTGACTCGTGTTTTCAGGGTACACTTACACAGACTGGACAGTGTACTTCAAAGTGCCATTGTTAGCCTCCTTCCTATTAGGGAAACATAAGCATACATATCTTTGCAGAGAGACCACAACAATAGTGCTGTCAGCAAAATGAGCAGAGTACCCAGAATAATAATGTATTAAAATACAGTAGTCTGTTAAACATTAAAAGCTTCCCTAAACAGGGCTGCCTTCAGATGTCTTCTTAAAGTCTGGTAGTTGTTCTTCTCTTTGACATCTGGTGGGAGGGCGTTCCACAGGGTGGGTGCCACTACCGAAAAGACCCTCTGCCTGGTTCCCTGTAACTTGGCTTCCCACAGCGAGGGAGTCGCCAGAAGGCCCTTGGCACTGGACCTCAGTGTCCGGGTAGAACGATGGGGGTGAAGATGCTCCTTCAGATATACTGGGCCGAGGCCATTTAGGGCTTTAAAGGTCAGCACCAACACTTTGAATTGTGCTCAGAAACGTACTACATTGTTTTTATACAGAAGTTACAATATTGGCTCGTATTTATTATTATTAGTCATTAGTTACACTTTTATACTGCCTATCCATCTGCATTCTCTAGAGGCAGTCCATAGAATGCTAAAACCAATAAAACAATCATAAAAACCCCAACTACAGCTGCTGCCTGAGTGCTGGAAGAGAAAGCTGCTCCCTGCTACAAGGCTCGTTTCCACCTGGCCTAGGGGGCAGGGCCCCCACTCACCCTGAACAGCTAAAAGGCTCCTGGGAAGCCACTGGGACATTGCTGGAACAACTCTTGGGATGGGGCAACTGACTAAAATGTTTTAAACGGTTCTCATTTTGGTTCCCCTCTTTCATTTTTGTCGGGTTGGTGTTGGTTAAATGTTTAGTTGGGGTTGGCGGTGACTTTAATTTGGGTCTAACTGTAAATTGTTTGTTATTATTATTGGTTTTTATTGAGTTATTGCTTGTGTAGGATATTTTTTAAAAAAATGTTTGATGTTTTGTTTTGTTGTGTTGTGTATGTTGTAAGCCGCCCATACAACACATTTGAAACAGTACAAAACAACAGCTAACAGTTTTGAACATGCACAAAACAAGAGGCGTAGTTTTAATGTAAGATGCAAAAGGATGGGGGATATAATTAAAAGGCCAATTCTATACATACCTTGTGGGACATCTTTGGGAGAGGAAAAGACTAAGGAATACGCCCTACACAAATACTGAGTGGAGTCCCTAAGATGGTTGGATGGTACCTGGTATGCCTTCTTTTGGCAACTCCTGCAGCCCAGCTAGTGCCAAATATATTGCTTTCCTTTCCTTTGGACCACATCAGCAAGTCGAGGGGGGTGGGGTGAGGTCTTGTCATCTAGGCAGCCCAGGACCTCCATACACAATGGCCAGGCTTGCGCCCTAGCCCTAATACATCCAAAACAACTCTGGAGGCAACAGTTATGAGTTACCAGTCTCTGCAGGTGCTGTCATTCTCCAGCGGTTTGACTCCACCCCTGGAGGTGAAGACAGGACGGGTGCCAACAACTATACATGCCTATTCAAAAGCCAGTCCCATTCAGTTCTCGTTGATTTCAGCAGATTGCAGTCTTATGTGTGGCATCTTGGATACTGGAAGTCTTGGATACTGGCAGTCGTGTAACTTGAATGACAAGAAGGGAGTGGTGATGCAATCCTCAAAGTGCCTTTTCTACTACACCCCTCCAGGTGTTATAGGACTCCCAACTGCCAACAGCCTCAGCCATCACGGCCAATAGACAGGAAGGATGGAATTTGAAGCCCGCCTGCATATAGAGGTCCACCTTCGCATCCCAACTATCCAGCAGAGCAGTGGGGAAGAGGTGTAGCCCACTGTCAAAGTGCATACTTTGCGTGCCACAGTTCCAAGTTCAATCCCTATCCTGGGTAACTCCAGGTGTGACTTCTGCCAACCGTTAATAGACTAGTCTTCCCAACCTGAACCTGGTGCCCTACTTGATTTACCTCACGTGCAGATATTGTAAACGTCAAAATATTGTACATGCAGGAATTAGCAAGTGGATAGGTGGTGGTTAAGAATAATAAAACAACAAAAAGCTATTATAAGGTTAACTGTAGGGAATGAAATGTTAATTAGAAATAACTAGGGAAATAATGCAACGACAAGAACAGAGTGTCGGAAACCAATTTTTGGAAAGTTTGTATTAAATTTGTTTTAATGTGGCCGATTTGGTAAAAATTTGGAAAAATCAATAAAAATGATTTAAAACAACAACAACCTGGTGCCCTACAGCTGCTGTCATTATTAGTTTCATTTGTGGATCTAGTTCCATGTTCTGGACTATAACTTGCATCAGACCCAAGCGCCTAGGATGATGGGAATTATAGTCTAAAACAACTTGGGAGGGCACCAGGTTGGGGAAGGGTGGTTTAAACAATATTGAGCTATATGGACCAAGGTTTGGACTGTCGAAGGTAGATTCCTATAAAGATAAACAACCTTAACCAGGTGAAGGATGAAGGTGAGGAGGGTGAGGAGCGAAAGGGTTCAACAAATTCACAACAGCCCATGGTGGCTGGCATTGCCAGTTACTTGAAGGAAGTGAGTGGCAAGTAAACAGTTTGATGTGGCTTGACCCCAACACATTAAAGGGCAATACAAGCCAAAACAATGGGACTTTTGTTTAGATACTTCAAACAGGAGAACTCCAGTTGTTTAGATAGTTCAGTTTTCAGAATAGGAAGGCCAGGATAATAGAGGATGAGAATGAATCTGAAGTTTACACTCTGAATGGGGTTTTTGTCCAGTAGGAATAACAGGGAAACAGAATAAATGTAGGATGTCCCTCTCTTGGATGGAAAAAAAAGAAATATAGGTGGAGGGGAAAGTTGGAAACAAACTGAGATTTCACTAAACTGAGTACTACGCAGAGTAAAAAAAAATAAAAATCAATCGCTTTCAGGATATTAGAGCTAATTTCCTCTTGTCCTTTTAGAATAGCTGAGAGAGACTTGAGGAAATGAGTCAAAATCCTGGAAGATGTTTGTACTACACTAAAAAGACAAACAACATCTGTAAAACGGCACTCAAATGTAAAGGGAAACACTGCGTGAGATGGCACTTCTCTAGAGGAGTGACAATGACAGCAGGACAAGAAAAGAACCAGCCTAAAGAGGTTTCACCTTGATTCATTAATGCCTCTGCTTATAAAATGCACCTCATAAATTAACGACACAATCCTATATAAGTTTACTGGGAATTAAGTTAATGCTGATTTCAGTGGGACTTAGGTCCTTTGTAAGTGGGCATGATATTGGAGCCTAACAGCACAATCCTAGACATGTCTACTCAGAAGTAAATCCCATTGGATTTAATGGAGCTTATGCCTAGCTAGCTGGATACAGCATTACAGCCTCAGCTTTATGTCTCATGTGTAAATCCTGATGACCTTTCAGCCCTTCTTTCCTCCAACTTTGTCTATTTCCTCAGATTATTTTTGTCTCATCAAATCCCAGGTTTATTTCAAAATATTTTGAACAGCTTCAAATTCAAAGTATGCCATTAAGACACTCTAAACACAGCTATTTTATGTGTATATAATTTTATTTTTCCAATTAATTGACAAGGCCAGAGGTTTTCAACCTTTCTGAGCCTATGGCTCCCTTGACCAACTCCATTCTTTCTGTGGCCCCCCTGTGGGGCCCAGGAGCCCAGTTATGTCACCCCTTGCCTGCATATCCGGCAGCTTCTTGTCCTTTTTTCGAATACCCTTCCTTGTGGAGTATAGCCTCACGACTCCTCTCCTCTCTGCTTGGGACCGCTGCCACCACCTCTGGCCTCTGAGCTGCCCCATCCCTGCCCCAAAGAGAGGTGCCTCCTCACACCGCCCCACAGGGGCCTAGGAAGCACCCCCTGGTTCACCTGGGAGCTTATAGCCAGGTCTGCTGCAACAAACAACTGTGCAAGCCTTTGGAAGGCAGAGATGCAAAAGGGCATCAGAGAAGGAAGGGAAGGAAAGAGGGCCAGAGGGCCAGTGTTGCCTGTGGCACCCTAACTATCATTCAAGGCACCCCAGGGTGCCATGGCACACTGGTTGAAAACCACTGGGTAAGGCTATATCATTTACAATGGTCACATCCAAAAGATCGGTCACTGTCCCCGAAGGGTTTACAAAAGTGCATCTGGCATATGGAAAGTAATAGAGAAAGAAATTGAGTACAAACATGGGAAGAGTATATATTCAATTCAGTTATACATACTAAAAACTTGGTTTCAGTGGAGGGGAATAAGAGGGGATATACAGATGGCTTCCTTCCCTATCATGAGGGCTTAAGATGAGGATAACAGTACAGTGGTACCTTGGGTTAAGTACTTAATTCGTTCCGGAGTTCCGTTCTTAACCTGAAACTGTTCTTAACCCGAGGTACCATTTTGGCTAATGGGACCTCCCGCTGCTGCCGTGCCACCGGAGCACAATTTCTGTTCTCATCCTGAAGCAAAGTTCTTAACCGGAGGTACTATTTCTGGGTTAGCGGAGTCTGTAACCTGAAGCGTATGTAACCTGAGGTACCACTGTACAATCCTATGCAAATCTACTAAGAAAGCCACACTCAGTTCAGAAGGACTTACCGGTACTTCCAAGCACCTGTGTTGAGGGTTGCAGCCTAAGACAATTCAATGGAGGTCACTTCTGAGCAGATGAGTATAAGACTGGTATATTTTATATATCCATAGTTGCTAAAGGTCTCACAAAGTAGTAAAACAGTGGTGGCCAACCTTTTTAGGCAAGTATGTGACACGTTGCGTCTAAAGTATGCAATGCAGCCAATCTAGCATATACAACGATTCATATAGTTCCCCCAGCTACATTGCCTCTGACTCCAACTAGTGTTGGCCTCCCTGCCTTCCAGCCTCAATGGCATGGAGGAGACCCACCTAAATGGTTTCTCTCGCGCACGCAAGTTTCAGATCCTGTGAGAATCCTCCTACCGCACAACAGGACAAGGAGAACCTTCAAAAACCTGCACATGCAGGTTTGACTATATGAAAATCCACCTGGAAGAAACGTAAGACACTCACACCAGGTGGAACAGGCACATGTGAGTACATGATTTTATTGTGGACAAAGGCAGGCAGCCACAAACCAAGCCACCAGCTCATCGAATAAACTGCTGGCCCTCTTGTAAGAAGGTTGCCCAGTAGCACACCTCCCCATGGCTCTCATTTGCAATGAATTTTGGAGCACTCAAGGCACAACAGAAGTCTTTCCCACTTTATCTTACCTTCTACAATCTCTGCCTCTCACCCAGGGCGCTTAGGGCTGGCAGTAGTGAACCCAGCCAAAAAATAGGGGAGAACTAGTAAGCCAAGTCAATATTTGTGGACAAAAACGATGAGTGGAGGAGGAAGGCGGTGACAGTACTGGAAAAATCCCAGACAGGTGGCTGTCTGGATGCCAAGAAATATGATGCTGGTACCTACAAACTTGAAATAATTACTTCGCTTTTTCCTGACATATCAAAACTCTGACATTGGTTTCTAGATATTTTGAAATATTTTTCCACTACTGGACAGGTAAGGGAGGAAGGGCACAATAATGCAAATATCTCCACCCCACCCAAAACACCTGCCATGCTGCCAGTTCCAAATAGTGCAATATTTCTCTTTACGCTATGCTATTCAATAAAGGACTGTAATTCAGAACACCTTCCATGATCATACAGTGAGAAGAGTTGGTAAGAGAGAATAAAGGTGTCTTATGTTGCACTGTTATTTTGTCATTCTTTGCTCTGTGTGGATTATTTCATCCTCTGAACCAGTGTTTTCTTTCCCCCCATAATGTTTCGTGAACTACCAGAAAACAGACTGCCTCAGGAAGGGGGCAGGCTCTCCTTCCTTGGAAGTAGAAGTTGGACGGTTATCCGTCAGGGATGTTGTAACTGCAAGATTCCTGCCCTGAGCAGGAAGTTGGGCTGGATGACTTCCAAAAACTCTTGCAACTGTAAAACTCTATAATTCTAGGTCATCAAATCTGGGAGATCCTCAAAGCTCAGCATGACATTGGATAGGGAAAAAATAAATTGGAATGTAGACACTGGGTGGTATATTTTTTAAAAACCAGTTCTAATAGTGCAAGGATTTTTGGCTACACCGTGGGACTTCCCCTGTTTCTCTTCTCCCTGTGTAGCCCCACCTTCCAGCAAATCTGTTTTGGAGATGATCCCATGCCCCCGAAAAAACCCCTGGAGCAGATTTGGGGAGGGACGTTTACAATAAACGACAACAAAATACCATACCCAACTTAAAAAAAAAAAATAGTAAGAGGTAAAAGACTGTGATGTTAACATATATGAGAGAGAGCTGGAGGGGAAATAGTTAAATAGGTTGCACAGACAGGACCCAGGGGGGTGGAGTCAGTGGGATTATAAAACCAGTTCTGAGAGGAGTTCGTTGGGAGTTGTTGGGGGGTAGTTGGTGTGATTTAGTGGGTTGGCTGGTTGGGAAAGGCAGTTGGTAATAGAGAGACAGTTAGGGCCGTGGGTTCTTGAGTGTGGTGAGGTAGAAGAGATAGAGAGAGGAAAATAAGACTAAGAAAGTAGAGAGCAACAACGTTTGGAATGCTGCAAAAGTTTTGTTTGTGTCTGAAATAAAATACACTCTTCTTTATTAATTGAGAAGCTGACTGAGACTGAAGTAATTTTACCAGGGAGAACCTGGTTCGTGGCAGCGGATTAGTGGTGTACGGGTCAATAGCCCGTGAGACGACCGGGGGCTCCGTACGAATGCCACAAAGACAAGCAAAAAAATTAAAAATTTGATAAAATCTCTCTGAATTCTTTTTCAAAGTATCACTTGCCATCTAAAAGTCAACAGGGAGGGTTCCAAGCAAACCTCTCTAGGCAGGGACATTCACAGCTGTGGTGAGAAGACTTGCAATCCTGTACACATAGTTGAGATGACGGAGGTGCTTGCAAGAGAGGCTCCTTGTACAATCCTTGTACAATGCATGTGGGCAGGGTTCGAAATTAGCAGAGTGCCAGGTGCATTTTGCACCTAAGGGTTCTCCATTTGTGAGCACCTCCAAAACTCCGGGTGCCATTTTTTTGTGCCTGGCTGACACTCAAGAATTACTGAAATGTATGAGCTTTGAAGCCTTGAAGTATACGTGAAGAATAGACAATATATGAAGGACAATAAAGAGTAGAGTGTGTTGAAAATGAAGTATGGTTATTGTAAACACCAAATTAAACATTTATTAACAATTTCTGCCAAAAGTGTGGTATTAACAATGTGTCACTTATGTGAATTGTGTATTAATTCATGCTTATCAAAATAATAAATAAAAAGGGTTGCTGACACCCACACCAGTGACAACTAGCCATTCTGTTTTGGCACCCACAACTCAGGTCCCAGAAGCCATTTGGCTCCTAGCTTTTCTATCCCAGTTTCTAACACAGGAAAAGGTGATAGGAAGAATTACTGGGCCATATAAGGCTTTAAAGTGAAAAAGTATCCATTTGAATTGGCCCAGAAACAAACAGGTGCTGATCTTTTAGGACAGGCGTAGGCAAACTTGGCCCTCCAGTTGTTTTGGGACTACAACTCCCATCATCCCTAGCTAACAGGACCAGTGGTCAGGGATAATGGGAATTGTAGTGTCAAAACATCTGGAGGGCCGAGTTTGCCTATGCCTGTTTTAGGACCATGTTGCTGCATTCCACAAAGCTTTTGTACCTGTTAATGTTTCTGAACTGTCTTCAAAGGTAGACCCATGTTAAGTAGACCAAAGTCCATAAAGTGGTTCCCAAGACATGAGATTATGGAGACAAGAGGATTCTATATAGCCAAGCTTGAGAAATTCTGTATTTCTATAATATAATATATAATATATATTTCTATAATATTTCTATAATATGCTTGTGTATTACTGGACAACTTTCCAAGATGTAACATGCATCTGATGAAGTGGGTCAAAGCCTTTGAAAGCTTATGCTGTAATAAAATCATTATTTAAGGTGCTACAGAAGTCTCTAGTTGTGAATCCTCATCTGCAATTCTCAACCACGTCTCACGCAGCAGGTCAGATGAAATCAAAACAGTAAGGTGGCAGCTACATTCAAAAGGTTCACGGAGGTGGCATGCATGGGTTTTTCCCAACCTCATCAGCACAACCACCCTGCCAGGATGTTAAACAGAGAGACTGCGACTTGATCAAGGTCAGCCCATGAAATTCATGACCAACTGGGGATTCAACAAGGCCGAAATTTCCACGGTTTGAGGGAGAAAGGAAGCTCACAGTGTGCAACCTTCCAGTTAAGGTGTAAAATGGGGGGCGGGGAACTGTATGGAAAGTTTGGCAGCCCACCCAGCCAAGGCCACAAAGATGCAAAATGTGAAAAATTTGAAGAGTTGAAGGTGTTAATAGCTCAGTTTCATAGGAAGGTTAAAGTTAGGTATTGTGCCAGTTCCCCTCTATTGAAAAGCGTGAAGCAGAACAGTAAACAAAGAAACTAAACCTAATGTAAATGTCTGCGCTATGTTTGCCTAGGTAGAGATCCATTAGGGCAGTGTGTCTCCTTCTGTATCGTCATGCTTCTCCTTCATATTAATAAATTAATCCAATGTGTCACTCAGAGCAAAAACAAACAAACGTTCTCTTCTGTGAGGCTCCAGAGAACACCCAATGCCCGAATATAGTTAAACAAAGAAACAGGAGGCAGAAATAATCACTCCAGCAACCTCTTGTCCTTTGCACACCAATGCTTAAAGAGGTGTGTTGACCTTCCAAAGAAGCTGTAAGGCCAACCCTGTTTTCCCAGATTTTTCCTGAAGAGAAAAAGACATCCTATCGGGATCCAACAGAAATCATGAGGCACCCATCACATGTGTGGGGGGAAAACCAAGAAAAGCTCAGTTGCCTTATCTCTGGCCTAGTATTTAATCTTTGCAATAGTTAAACCATTGATGTCAATAATGGAGACCATGTTTTGAGGCAGAATGTTCAGAAATGCATTAAAAATGGATGTGGCTTTCACTATTAATATGGAGGTCAATTGGTGGAAAGAGCAAGCTTACAGCAGGGTTTGTATTTGTTTAGGGGGTGGTCTGCCTGGTTTAGCTCCATTTGCCTGCTTCTGCTTTTTATCCTCCTCCTTCTTGTCGTCACCACCATGACAGAGAGGCAGCTCTGATTCACCCCTTAGTGGGCTGGCTGGTAGGTCCCAGGGGGCAGAACGTGGAAGGAGAACTCCAGCTCACTGTTTCTCTGTGTTAATGGGACAGCACTGCTGAGATTTAAGTAGATCAGCTTCTAGCTCATGTCAACTTAAAAACCTGCTGTTTAGTGACCCTCTTACACAGAGAGACACACACAGTACTGCCATAGGCATGGCTCACATTTTGGGAAGACTGTGCAGCAATCTGCAGATGTGAATGGCACAGCCACAGATACATACCCTTCCTCTCCACAGCAGTGAATACCCACACACAGTGTGAAGTGGATATTCCAAATGGAAGGCTATGTGCACAGAAATCCAATTTGTGTGATTTCTCTTTCACACACGAACACACACAGCTACATGTGTTGTACATGGAGACTGCGACCCACTCTTCCAACCAAGAAATATATAGTACTGGTCTGTAAACATGTGAACCGGGCCAAGACTTGCACAATATGTTGCTGCACTATGCCGCCTACCCATGTGATTGCGGAGACAGAATGTGCTGTATTAGGTACAGCAGTTTGCCACCTGTAGTCCTGTCAAGGGATAGCTGCTACTTGCTCCAGGTAAGCAGAACATAATGATGCAAGCTTAAGGTTACAGCTTCTCAGAGATGTACTGCTGCCTTCTTAAGAAGTACCCAGCTGATAACAGTGATTCTAAGCAATGTTTCAGGCAAGGAATCAGGACCAATCGCTCCCTGTTCCTGGGTTAAGAATGCCAGCAATTCTGTCTTTCTTTTTGTGCACGTTAACATAAATCCCTGGATCACTCTATCGGACGGATTCCATCAACTTTGCTCACAACAAACCACACCTTCTTCTGCGACATGTCCTTTGCCAGGGCAGAAGAGTAAAGGTGTCACTAACATACCTCACATATTTCAGTACCAGACACGTACAACCTCAGGTATTAGTGTGCAACCTGATCTAGTATTAAGACTTTTCTATGTTCGCATGGCACAACTTGAGATCAGCCTGAAACAAAGCATCTACCTCTGCATCTTTAAGTGGTTGTTTCCAAGTAGTTTTGCTCAATCCGACTATTATAAAAGCCTAAAGTTCACCTAAAGTTCAATTCTAAAGTTCATCAGTAGCCAAAGTGGTCCCCATCAGATTTTGTGGACCACAAAAGTCACCATTTCTAAGTCATGCATCAGGAGGGCTACCCTTAATGAATAGTGCTAAGTCCAATAGAAATAAATGACACATAGATGCTAAAGTGTGTGAATTTAAGCCAATGATTTCAACAGGGCTAAAGTATTGTTTCAACTTCCTCCAATTTGTGTCCCTGGCTTTGTCTTGATTCTAATTACGCAGCTGTTGCTGCCACACCATCCTCTGAAAGATCAGAATCTGTTCTCCCCATACCACCTGCCAATTGCAATTCAATTATAGCATTTTGCAACAATACAGCAGACACTAAGCAGTTTATCAATGGCTATTAGCCACAATAGCTAAACTCCACAGCCCTCTTACTGCAATCACTAACAAACATAGCTGAATGTGCAGCGTCCAAAGACCTTCAGGATATCAGACAGATAAGCCCATTCCCTCTCCTACTTCTAGATTCCATGACCACCAACCACTAGGTCCAATTCCTGGCTATTTATTTGCTTATTGCCATTGGGCAGTTCACATAATCTGGTACTCACAAGATGTATTGCACAAAAACATGAGCCCTCTTCAGTTGTACTCAGCCCTGTACTCAGGTATACAGAATACATGGAGGTTCTTCTGAGAAAATGGCAGCTAGACCAAGATGCATGATTGGTGCCAGTTTGAATGGGGGGTCCATGCACATGGCGATACGATCTCAAATGGCCTAGAGTTCTCCTCCTGGTGGGGACAGCTTTACAAAGACATCTCCTTACAGGCATGCCTCCTTTCACATTGATGCCAATCAAATGCCAGCTGTGGATATGGCCAATACGTGTACAGATATCTAGGATGTGGGGCTAACCAGACAGCCTCTTCACACTGTTAAAATATCATGGTTAAAAGCCATAGACTGAGTCAAGTGCAAAGCTCTTGAAAGACAGCAGCAGCTTTTGCCAGCGTAGCATTGCCAACACTTCTGCGGCACAAATTGTGGTGTGTGTGCTCATTTATTTATTTACGCTGTCTCCCATTGTTTCACCAATGGCGCTCAAGGTGGTAAACAACAATAATGTAAATACAATGCTGGGCTTGTGCATCAATTTGAGTTACTCCTGCTGTGTGCAGTTGCTCTTGGGATCAAGCTATTAAGATTCTGCTTCGTAAACAGCTGTTTGTGCTCACAGTCAACGCTACATCAAATAGCCAAGTGCACGTTTATGGGAGTCCACTGGCAAAAGACAGGTGGCTTGGTAAAGACTGGGCAGGTGTCTTTTGCTGCCAAAAGCTGCAGCTGGTCACCAGGTACACCTAATAAGAAACAGGTGCAGCTGCAGCTGTTTTCAAATCACGTAAGGATCTGAGGTTACCAAAGGTGCCATGCGAGCTGGTTCTTATACCTCCAAGTTAATGGTTTTAAAACTGCAATGCAAACCATGTTTTACCTAGATGGCTCCATGCAAGTATATCAACAAACTGACAGAACAGAGCAGAGGGATTTGTGACAAGGTCAACGCAGAACTGCAACTGGGACCAAAGGAACGAAATTACATTGCTGGGCTCCTTAATTAGCCATTGGGGAAACCCTGAATTAGGTGTGCTGGGTTAGGCCACATAACCATCAACGTCTCTGTTGCACAGGCAAATGTAGACCCAACAAATCCATTTACATTAACCAAGAACAGATATAAACAGCTTTGGTTTCTCCTTCACTAGAAAAGTGCTGGACACAGCCCTCAGTCTCGTGCATTATTTCACCGCTGTACGCTTTGCAACGTTCATTTCAACCGCAAAGGCACGCTGTACTGATTAGGAGATAAGTTAGCCTCAAAAACACTCGCTCCCCCATGACAGACACGATACGGAAAAACCCATCAACTTGCTTACAAAAAATAAAATACAGAAGTTTCAAAAGTTGTTCGCATAGGCAGTTTTGCAGGCATTCAGGAGTGAGAACTGTATATGGTTGCTGGAGTCTCCTCTTAGTGGCAAATTCTAATATTGCACCTGTGCAGGATGCAGCTCAGACTCCTCGTGAAATGGTATTAAAAGGGGGGGGGTTAAAAAGGTATTTTAAGAGCAACAAAACCAACATGTTGGAAGTCCATAGCTGCAGCCAACATAGAGCAAGTTGAGAACATTTAAGCAGTTATTCCTGTGCAACCAGCACGGTCAACCACTCTATTATGCCTCTACAATTATATCCAGGGAATACTGTGACTTCTGTATGGTGTTCCTAACCCAGATCCTTACTAATCCTAGACAAGTTTTCTATCTGTCACTACTCTATACGGAAACGCCCTCTTCCCCCCAAAGTATCATCTCAGCACTCCTTTTTGTTGTTGTTGACTAATGTCCTGCTCCAAAACACATTTCAATGTTCCGTATTTCCAGTAAATAACATTCCTAAAAGATCACAATAGAAGGTCTGCAAAGTGAATGAAGGGTTGTTTCTTTACATGTGAGATAGGCACTTCACACAGTTTGTATAACAGAATAATACACCATGCATGTGGCAATCCATGGACCTTTGCTCTGTGGATGTCCAGAGCCATCCGGACATCTAAGTTGATTTCATTCACAGATTTCAGCTGCACTGAGTTTCGGGTAGGAATTAGTGGCAAGGTTTAACAACACATTTCTGCTTAGGTTTCACTGCTGTACAAATACAATTAAGGCTCTTTGAGTGGCTTCTGACATGCACCTACCAGCAACAGGTACGTCCACCGGTAGCAGGCTGAAAAAAGCATGTTCACTATATATTATGTCCTTTCTATGTACCAAATGGCTCTCACTGACAGGTGCCAGCAGAGGGTGGGAATCACCTGACAAAATCACCTTATGAGGATGGGGGAAAGGAATGATCCGGCAAACAATGTGGCAGCAGTTGCCACTTTAAGACTCAGTATGTTGGCTCCCCAAAGAAACCGGTCATTTTATATGCCATATGCAGGTTCCGCTCTCAGCACGTGTTGTCTGACACTAAAAAAAAACAGCAGTGGCAATGCCAAGACAAATCTTGTGTGTGACAGTGGATACGTATGACCTGCCGAGACATGGCTTGGGAGTTGGGATGAGCAAGATTCTTCAGCAATGGCTACATAACCAAGTGGTATGGGGAATCAACACAAACTATTGCAAGTACTCGTGGGTAGGTCTGCTCTACTAACCTAACATGACAACAATTATTTCTCAATATCAAAAGATTTGTAGAAATTACAACTTGCTTTTTATGCAATAATAATAAAAAAAACCACCCTGCATTTTCAAAGCAACATTTTTCTATAAAGGGTAGTTATGCTCCGAGTAGACCCACTGAAATCAATGGGACAAACTGGCATGATTCCAAGTCCTATGGGTTTGCTTCTGCTCTAAGGTGCAAGGGATATGACTGCGTTGTCCCCTTGATTTTGCCACATAACTTGATTTCCCCTCTAGGACGGGAGTGCTCCTTGCAGAAGACCCCTGTTTCTCCAGAGAATTTAGGACAGGACTCACTGATGCGATACACTGGGGCGGTCATTTGAATCCTACTAAAACACGTCATTTGGAAAAGCTCCTTCGCAATCAATGAAACGCTGTGTTCTGTTTTGTTTTGTTACTATCCCCACCCCTCAAAATACCATAACTTTAAAGTTGCGCACTTAAGTATCGCGGCTTGCAAAATAAACCTGCAGCGCCTTTCCTGACGCTTAACGCGCCTGCGGATCGGAGCGCTGGAGCCTAAGACAAGGCGCATCCCGTGATTGGCATGACTGCAAACACTGACCCACTGGCCGCCTACAACTTAAACCGGGTTCGAGATCCCTTCCCAATGGGAAGCGGGTGAAGCTGACCTCGAGCTCCAACTGCCCTTCCTGTGGGGGAAAAGATGCCGCGCTGTTTCGCCCAAACTCGTGAAGCCACCCAAGCTGGTTGCCAAACAATCCCTTCTGCCCCCCACGCCCCCAATTTCCCCACTCTCCGCCTGACCCTCAGGCGTGTGCATATTCTGTGCTCCTCGATCCCCAGATCCCCGGCACGGATCTCGAGGGAGAGGCGCGAAACCTAAGGACGCGCCTCCCACCCGGGCACCGTTTGTGCCTTTCCGCGCGCGCCCCTCGTTCGGCTGCCGTGCGCAACCGTCCTCAGCGCGCCAGGTGCCGCCGGTGGCTTCCCGGAACGCCGCCGTTTCAGAAGGGATCCGACCCGCTCGCTTCCCACCTGTTGATTCGCCCAGAAGAAGAGCCAGCAAAGCGACCGCCCAGAAAGCTGGGGAGCCTTCCATGGTGCCGTTGCCCGGCGTCCGATCCTCCAAGCGCAGAGGCTCTCCAGGCTGACCTTTCGGAAGAAGGGTCCCCTGCGCGCGTAAAGACACACAGAGAGAGACGCGAGCAAAGCCAGCTCTGCGCAGGGAGCCCGACTCGCACTGCCTCTCGCCTCCTGCGGCCACGCCTCTGTCTCTCTCTCTCTCCAGCAGCCCACTGGCTCCGACAGACAATATTCCCGCGACAAACTCCAGGGGCTGGCGCGGGGTAGGGAGGGGGGGGGACTTGCATTGTTGAGGGCTGAAGGGAGCCTATCAGACCTAGCAAATTGTTTCTCTTTTTTTTTCTGGAAGCGTTCTAATGTACACAGAGGAATCCTTTCCCTTTTCAGTTGAAAAAATAAATAAATAAACCACTCTCGCCCCTCCAAGTCTCCCAGACACTCCAAGGGAGAGGTGTTAATTAAGAAGGTAGTACTGTAGTTGTTTTATGGAAAGGGGAAGAGACAGTGCAGAAGTAGCTCTCCAACAATGAAAGCCACCATGACTTCCCTTCAAAACTCTACAAAGAAAACATTTATTTATAACAGTTGCTGTTATGGAGTCACCTGTTCTTTATGAGATATATTGTGCCAAAATATGAGCCCTCTTCTGTTGTTTAGCACCCAGGTGTGCAGAACACATGAAGTTATGCAACTCCAGAGGGGAAAAGGTCTTGCTTTGCCCCAAGTTAAGCATGTTTATGTTGCATTAATTGCAATGGAAGGGCTGAAATCAGTGGACATCAAAAGGGCTTGAGTTAGGCTAAATCATGTGCATTATGAACCATTGCTATTCTAATATTTTTACTGACGAATAGCCAATTCACACATGCACCAAATAGGCATATCAGGGCAAAATGAGGGAATGGATGTAGAGTTTGGTATGTGATATGATATGAAGATGTTTGTGTGTATGCATGTGTGACAGCTTCGAAGTGAGGTTTAGATTGTTCCACCTTAGGAAATTAATGTGAGTAACGTTGTGAATCCGGCTCACGGTTAACTATTCTCACACCACTGCACCACATTCCAGTTCTGCTTAGATTCAGACCCAATTTATGCTCTTTGGCTTGTGCTCGTTCTTACTATTGCTCCAATCACTTCCAAAGAAGCAGCAAACAAGAAAAGCAGGGATGGGGAACGTGTGTCCTTCCAGGTGGAGAAGCGGAGGCCTTCCATAGCTTAAGAAAACAGCTCCTTTCAACAAACCGTAGTTACGATTAACCATAATTTGAAAGTTAGGATGTAACACTAAACTGTGATTAAGCTAAAACGGAAGCAGAAACTTACGGTACGCAGGCTGAGACCCTACCTGCCTGCGGACTGTCTTGCCAGAGTAGTGCATGCTCTAGTTATCTCCCGCTTGGACTACTGCAATGTGCTCTACGCGGGGCTACCTTTGAAGGTGACCCGGAAATTGCAATTAATCCAGAATGCAGCAGCTAGACTGGTGACTGGGAGTGGCCGCTGGGACCACATAACACCGGTCCTGAGAGATCTGCATTGGCTCCCAGTATGTTTCCAAGCACAATTAAAAGTGTTGGTGCTGACCTTTAAAGCCCTAAACGGCCTTGGTCCTGTATACCTGAAGGAGTGTCTCCACCCCCATCGTTCAGCCCGGACACTGAGATCCAGCGCCGAGGGCCTTCTGGCTTTATTAGAGATATTGGTGGCCCTGATAAATAATTCCATGGGGCCTAAAATATGGGGAGGCAGGTATTAACGTACACACCATAGCTCTCAGTTTTATGAATTGGTAGGAGTAGATGGGTCTCGAAAGGCTGTATCAACAATGAGAGAGCAAAGATGTATACAAAAGTCCTATCTTCATTCATAGTATAATATTCCAAAGGTAGCACATTGCTTACTGATGGAAGAATTCAAAACAACTTGCCAGAAAAAATCCATACAAAGATTGAGAGAAAGACATATTGCTGTTCATAACAATGCAGCCACTATCAGGATAAAAGAGAATTTCTCTTCCTCCCTCTTCAAGGCCATCAGATACTTGAAAGAAATTGCCAGTGGTGAGATGTTAGTTTTGTTGCTGTCCCAAACTGCAAATCTTTTTTCAAAGGTTAACAGCCTTATCCCACATAGTCTGGCAGCATCAGATGAAAGATTTGCCGTGTATGTAGAAACTGTCTGTCTCGCCATTTCTTTGCTCGTTTTCATTTTTTGACAGGGACTCTCTTTTGTCTGGTGGATCCATCCTTCTTTGCAAAGTAAAACATTGATATATTTACATCAGATAGAGTACTTCAAAACTCATTTCACATTAGGGTCAATCTCATCATACTTTTTTTTTTAAGAGGAGGAGAAGAAGAGGGGGATTAAAAAATTACAAAAAAAATTAATAAATGTCATGACTAGCCCACATTTTGTGGTTATTTGTCCTAGATTCTGCAGAATGGATATGACTTAATCTCTTCAGAAATAAGGAAATCATTCAAAGTTCCTCCATGAGTCCAGTTGCCTGTGGTACACACATCACGATGACACAAATATCTCCTCACAGATCTATTCATTTTGTAAGTTTTTAACAAACGCATTTCACTTAATTCTATTTTGCAAATTCAAGTCAGATGCAAAACATGGTGTTTTGGTGATTTTGGTTCTTTAGAGCAGGCCAGCACCACTTATGACCAACCAAGCAAAAAAATGTAGAGTGGGGGAACTCAACAAACCTCCTTTTCTTGCCTGGTTGGGAATGCAAAGGAAAAGGGTGGGGTTGTCAATCCCTTATAGGTCAATATATGGCTGGTGGCCCTCCTGTGAGTTGTAACATGCCTGGTTTAAAGGACTGCAGATTTTTATTTTATTTTATGGAAGGCACGCATGACCAATGAGATTTCCAGGCCTTTAAGGAATTCATTGATGCGGAAAGCGCAACTGGAAACAGACACGTCCTGGCTTCTGATTTGATTCCCGGAATGTCCCTATTTTCCCCGCCAGTACCACCACCACTGAGCTTGGGGAAGAGGATGAGTCAGTTCTTGTTCTGAGTGGCGGCGGCGGCAGCAGCAGCAGCAGTGGCAGCTGCACTGAAGCATCCTGTTGCCTCTCGGTTGCCTCTCCTCCGCTGCCAGACTCCTCCCTTGGGCAGTTTATGGGTCTGAGGGACAGGCAGAGCGCAGACCTGACTTGGGCAAGAAGAAAGGGGGAGAGGACCAGAGGTGTTGTTGTTTTTTAATGCTTTGCGTGCCCACATCTAACCTTGTCCCTTTCTAAAATGTATTTATTAGTGTGTGCTTTTCTTTTTGTAAATCTACCAAAGAATAAAATTGAGATTAAGGGGTGTTTTCAGGATGGTGGAGGGTGTGTGTGTGTGTGTGTGTGTGTGTGTATGTGTGTCCCGTTGGTTTGTGGTAGTGGAAATGCTCTGGGTAGGGGGCCAAAAATGGTGTGTGTGTGTGTGTGTGTGTGTGTGTGTGAAGGAGGGTCAGTTGTGGGGTATGAGAAATGTCCCTATTTTCACCAGAGGAATGTTGGAGGGTATGATATCAGGTTGTAAGATCTCTTTCCTTAAGTTTTTTTCCATTGTGTACAGGGAAAACATCAAAATAAAGTACTATAACCAGAAAGGTGAGTGGTGGGGAGGGCACCGAAACTTGCTTGGGTGTGCAGCTCAGGCCTGTGAGAGCTGGGTGTGAGACTCATTCTTTCTTAGAGTCCCTCCTGAGGGGATTCTTCTGCAGAGCTCTAAAATGAGGTACAACTCACAATATGAGCCTAAAGGTAAATGTAAAGGGACCCCTGACCGTTAAGTCCAGTTGCAGACGACTCTGGGGTTGCGGCGCTCATCTCACTTTATTGGCCGAGGGAGCTGGCGTACAGCTTCCGGGTCATGTGGCCAGCATGACTAAGCCGCTTCTGGCGAACCAGAGCAGCGCACGGAAACGCCGTTTACCTTCCCGCCAGAACGGTACCTATTTATCTACTTGCACTTTGACGTGCTTTCGAACTGCTAGGTGGGCAGGAGCAGGGACCAAGCAACGGGAGCTCACCCCGTCACGGGGATTCAAACCGCCGACCTTCTCATTGGCAAGTCCTAGGCTCTGTGGTTTTTGTAGGATTCTGCTACTCTTACTTATTTAAAATATTTCTACCCCACCATTTTTGCATCTCTGAGATACCCAAGGCTGCTAACAGTCGCTGTTGCTCTTGTCCTTCAAAATATAGTATGCCTCTACACCACTGCAAAACACAGTTTCATTGGTCAGATCAGATAAGTAGAATAGTAGTTGGTTGACAACTCCAGCTTATATATTCCGTAACAAAATTGGTCTGGGATTATGGATGTCTAGCTTTCAAAAGTCACTGACTCTGGGTAAATTTTGCATTCTATAATTTGTATTCTATACAGTAATCTAATGAAAAAGTCTGGGGTAATGATCACATCCATTTTGGATGGAGATGCAACTGTTCCACGACAAGACTCTGGTGTGCTAGAAGGAGCCAGAATGTTACAGGATGCCTTCGTAATCAAAGAGTCGCTTATTGCATATATCAAAATGGCTCACTTATTTTAACGTTGTTTGGTTTTGTTAATTAGCTATAATGATTTGCAGTTCAAGCTAATGATTTCAGGGTTCAGAGTAGATAACTATTTTTGCAGCGTGACATCCATGTTGCATGGCATTTTAAACTATCTTGAGCAGCAGCTTAAAAGCACTTCTTTTCAATAAGTGTGTCTCTAATTCCTGTGTCCAATCGAACCGGGCAGCAGTGGATTTTTCTCTCCTTTAAAAATAAAACAACATTTTGTGTGATTATGTAACCGAATACATTGCAGAATGGTAAGATGCCATTCTGAAAAATCAGTTACTGCAAAGTTATGCCTGAGACTAGAAGCGCGCAACTCTCAGGAAATTCAGAAGTATACTTCCTTCAGCAACTGCTAAATCTATTTTCATATTTTATGCGCTTGTAAATATCAGGTGTGCAGCAGCAATGGATCAGCAGTGGGAACCATTACTTTTTTAATTTCCTGACTGTGGAGTTATTAAATGTTCAGCTTGTGTATTTCATATATACTATATTCCCCAATGGAATTTTAAAACAGCATACAAGAAGACATATCAACAATCTTTAGATTTTATGAGGACTCATTCTACGAGTTTGTTGATAGGCTGAGCTGACTAAGTTACCCTACTCAGTGGTAAGGAGGAAGAAGTGAGACATCTTTTTCGAGGCAAGGAGGACAAACATCCCATGATACACTCACCTTCCCTCAAATCCACCTATTCTCTTCCCACTGACAAATATTAGCTTTCAAGCCATTATTATTATTATTATTATTATTATTATTACACTTATATCCTGCCCTTCTTCCCAAAGGAGGGTGGGGCAGCAAACATATAAATAAAAATATCATTAAACACATTCTAAAACAGTTTAAAACCGTCACATTCTCTCATCCAATGATTTCACAGTTACTGGGAATTGTGGGTGGTATTCTTACTGAAATTTAGACCCATTGAAAGTCATGAACAAGACTAAGTTAGGTTCACTAAATTCAATGGGTCTACTTTGAGCAAAAGTGTGGTTTTTTTTTAAATAGCCGATAAATGCCTGGATAAAGAGGAATATTATTAAATTCCTCCCAGAAGTCAATAATAAGGGGGACAACTCCACCTCATCAGAGAAGGCATTCCACCAATGGAGAACTGCCGCTGAGAAGGCCTTGTCACAGGTCAACACCAACTGGGGAGTCCCCAGTGGCAGAACCACCAACAAGACCTCACCTGAAGATTATTAGCTTTAGCTCAGTTGGAAAAGCACGAGACTCTTAAACTCAGGGTCATGGGTTTGAGCCCCACGTTGGGCAAGAGATTCCTTCATTGTAGCGGGTTGGGTCCCAAGTAATTTTGGACTTTTTATACTATGGCTAACACATTGAATAGGACCAAGTACAGTGGTACCTCGGGTTACAGACACTTCAGGTTACAGACTCCGCTAACCCAGAAATATTACCTCAGGTTAAGAACTTTGCTTCAGGATGAGAACAGAAATTGGGCGGCGGCGGCAGTGGGAGGCCCCATTAGCTAAAGTGGTACCTCAGGTTAAGAACAGACCTCCAGAACGAATTTAGTTCTTAACCCGAGGTAACACTGTACCTCACCAGCAGGCAGTGTGGTGCTTAAAGGAGTGGTCACAAATGGTCCCATAGGGCTGTCTCACTTACCAGCCTCACAAGGACATTCTGCACTAGCTGCAGCTTCCGGACCATCTTCAAAGACGGCCTCACAGACAGCACATCACAGGAGTCAAATGGACAACTGAGGACAAGCTATCCTCGTCCAGAAACAGTAATAGCTGGTGAATCTGCCTAAGCTGGGCAGAAGTGTCCCTAGTCATAGAAACCAATTGAGACTCTACAAACTGGAACTGAGGAATACTCCCAGGTCTTGAACCTGTTCCTTCACGGGGAGTGCAACTCTCCCCAACCCCCACCAGAACAGGCCATACACCTAATCCCAGTCACCCATCCACAACACTTCCATCTTATCAGGATTCAGCTTCAGTGTATTGTCCCCCATCCAGTTGGTCACTGCTTCCAGATACCAATTTGGTGCCTCCAGAGCTTCTTCTGATTATGATGAAATGTACAGACAGAGCTGCATGGACATCCAAATCCCCAGATTTGTGGCACCCCAGAGCCCTGAAGCTATGAAGCTGGGCAACAATATCCTCATACTACTTCCTGGTAGTGACCCTGCAGAACCACTGTAGTACAATATGTCCAAGTCCCATCCCTTTGAGTTGCTCCATAAGGACACCATAGTCAATAGTGTCAAAAGTTGCTAAGAGGTCACAGAGGACCAGCAAGGTCACACTCTCCCTGTTCCTTCCCCAATAACGTAGGGGCAGTCCTTCCTTCCTTCCTTGTCAATGATGGTGCTATAATAACAGCCACAACCACAATAAAAAGAGCAACTCAACTGAGAGTGAGGTTCTGAGTGAAACTCTGACACCAGAACAAGACTCTCCACTTTTCTTGGATTCTGAATAGTTTAAAATCATGCTAAGGTGTTTTAAACAATCCTAGCAACACCTAGTCTTACAAAATCCATTCCAAAAGACTTTCAGGTACCATGCAAATTTGGATGCTAACATCATTGTCTCTTGCTATGTCAGAGTTTTAGGTAATGTTCCACAGACATTATTGTGCCTTGTGATCCCTGGGAAGAGATAAGAAGACCCAGCAGCTGCTACTTGATACCATCAACCCTGAGGTGCTGTTGACAATTGTTGGGAATGGTAAACAAACCCTACTGTCCTTTCAGGTGTGGCCTTTTTCTTTAGTCTTTGAAAGGGCTCTGAAAGCACTCTGAGCTTTCACAAGACATCAACACTGGATATTTCCCTTTTTCTTCCATCTGAGCTGTCTAAAGAAATTAGGTTGTTTAAGAAAGCCCAGTGGTTTTCCCCACCCTGCATAATTGTGCTCTCTTAATTTTGTTATAATGGACATGTTCCTTTGTCTGATTTGAATTTTCTTTGGTAAATACCAAACTGAGCAGTTATGGAATGTTGTTGTTTAGTCGTTTAGTCATGTCCAACTCTTCGTGACCCCATGGACCAGAGCATGCCAGGCACTCCTGTCTTCCACTGCCTCCCACAGTTTGGTCAAACTCATGCTGGTAACTTCGAGAACACTGTCCAACCATCTCGTCCTCTGTCATCCCTTTCTCCTTGTGCCCTCAATCTTTCCCAACATCAGGGTCTTTTCCAGAGAGTCTTCTCTTCTCACGAGGTGGCCAAGTATTGGAGCCTCAGCTTCAGGATCTGTCCTTCTAGTGAGCACTCACGGCTGATTTCCTTAAGAATGGATAGGTTTGATCTTCTTGCAGTCCATGGGACTCTCAAGAGTTTCCTCCAGTAGCCAAGGGCTCTTTTAACTTTCTACCCACCAGGGCTTCATATTTCTCCTTGTCGGTGTTTGACACAGGTCAGTTTTTATCCATCAAAATATAATAATATCATTGCCAGGGCAGCATTTCTTTGCGAGCAAAATAAATATATGACTGTATTTATATATATATTTTTAATTCTAAGTAAATATTAGGCATTTGGGAGACAGAGGAGAATTATCGCTCATTTGCTTATGATCACTGTGGTAGACATTTTTTTATTCACTGAGAAAATGCTATTTTCCTTTTTTTAAATTTTCAGTCTTCAGTGCCTTTCCTGCTTTGTGCTTCTGTAAGCCGTTACAATGAATAATGATTTCATAATCATCCCCGATCCAGTCCTTTTGAGGGTTCATGTGATTCTGACTACTGAGGAAATTAAAGACTAAGAAGGAGCTTGTCAACAGAGTTGGCTTCTCTTCCTTCACCACCAGCCTGAGGAAATCTAGATCTCTTGTGAAGATTTCAGTCATATTGTCACATAGAGAGTTCTTTAATACCAAAGAGTTTTGTTTTTTCTGATCTGTCGCCACAAGCCAGAATGTCTTTTCTTGTTGTGGGAGAAAATTGATTGTAAAAGTTAGGCTTGGCGCCCATACTTACAACCCATAACTGACTGAGAGCTGATGTAGCATACCGGCTGAGAGAGAGAACTTTGAATCATGAAGTCCCCATTCAAATCCTGACACTGCCATGACGTCACTAGGCAGCCTTAAGCAAGCCACCATCTCTTGGCCTCAGTTTCTGGATTCCGGATTAATTGCAGTTTCCGGCTCACCTTCAAAGGTAGCCCCATGTAGAGCGCATTGCAGTAGTCCAAGCGGGAGATAACTAGAGCATGCACCACTCTGGCGAGACAGTCTGCGGGCAGGTAGGGTCTTAGCCTGCGTACCAGGTGGAGCTGGTAGACAGCTGCCCTGGACACATAATTAACCTGCGCCTCCATGGACAGCTGTGAGTCCAAAATGACTCCCAGGCTGCGCACCTGATCCTTCAGGGGCACAGTTACCCCATTCAGGACCAGGGAATTCCCCACACCCGCCTGCCCTCTGTCCCCCAAAAACAGTACTTCTGTCTTGTCAGGATTCAACCTCAATCTGTTAGCTGCCATCCATTCTCCAACTGCCTCCAGGCCACATCAGCATTAAACAGCAACAAACATTTCAGTCACTATAATATCAAACGCAACACCATATACAGTGGTACCTCAGGTTAAGTACTTAATTCGTTCCGGAGGCCCGTTCTTAACCTGAAACTGTTCTTAACCTGAAGCACCACTTTAGCTAATGGGGCCTCCTGCTGCCGCCACACCGCCAGAGCACGATTTCTGTTCTCATCCTGAAGCAAAGTTCTTAACCTGAGGTACTATTTCTGGGTTAGCCGAGTTTGTAACCTGAAGCGTATGTAACCTGAAGCGTATGTAACCCGAGGTACCACTGTACTGTACATTGAACAATTATGGTTCCTTGCTGCCCTGCAGGTTGTTGTAAGAACTACAACTAGATAACACATATCAAGTGTGCTGGACACTTGAAAATGCTGCACAAATGTTATTATTGGACATATAAGCTTAACATTCTAGGGATGAGTTATTTCCATGAAATACCCTTCAAAAAATAAGTTCTTGGAAGGAAAGGCACACAGAGGAATGGCAACACATACAAACACACAGCAAATTGCTGGAGGCCATTTTAAACTGATCAGCGTAAGACAGCAAGGAAGTAAATATAAATGTCACCGAAACAATAACCCAAATTAAAAGAGCACGCATTGTGTTCTAAATCTTACAGAAAATGTGCTAAAGATTAAGTTGCATATAAATAAATAAGACAACACACATCTGAAATTGGAGACGTGTAAATCATGCCCCAGGGGGAAAAATGGTATTAAGCAGGTTTAGGCATAAATTATCTAATTAGCGGATTCTTCTACTGATGCATTTTGGAAAGCCTAAAAGGGAGATCAATTTAAGGACCACATTTTTGTCAATTTTGTTTGTTTTAAAAAAATCTGGCCTGGGGGATGCTCAGATCCGTTAAGTGAATCGATACAGTAGGATCCAAGCTTGCTTCCAGAGGGATCAGCTATCAGTTACGATAAACAGATTTTGCAAAAAACCCCAATTTTACCCTGTTGTTTTTAACAAACATTTTGGCTGCAACTTTTCATTACTTCTACACCTTTAATAATTTCTCATTGTTGCCCATTAGAATCTTAGCCTTCATCTCAAAAACATCAACAAATATTGTAAAGAGCCGCTTTATGATGTCATTTATAAAGAGATGCAGGATCTGCAACAGCCATTAAGCTGTTGCTCTAAGTTGCTTCAAGTTTAAAATAGCTTTTAACTAAACTTTCCAATAAATATCAGTGAGAGTGGTGAATCATCATACAGTTCTGACATTTTATTTATTTTTTAAATAACAGCAGACCTCTGGCCAGAAGAGACTCCATACCCTCCAACGTTTCTCCGATGAAAATAGGGACATCCTATTCTATTAATTAATTTATCATCATCATCACTTATACCCCACCCATCTGACTGGCTTGCCCCAGCCACTCTGGGCAGCTTCCAACATATATAAAAGTATAATAATACATTAAACATTAAAAAGCTTCCCTATACAGGGCTGTCTTCAGATGTCTTCTAAAAGCTGTATGGATACTTATCTCCTTGGCTCGCAGGTTGCATTGCTCCATACTTTCCAACATTTCTCTGATGAAAACAGGGATATCCTAAGGAAAAGCAGGACATTCTGGGATCAAATCAGAAAATGGGACGGCTTCTGTAAATATGGGTCTGTCCATCAAAAATAGGGAAAATTGGGGGGGGGGGGAGGTCTGAGACTCTAATATAGCTCATACTCTTTCCATTCATCATATTCTGTTCTCCCAGAGAGGACATACCTTACAG